AAACCATGATGTATTTTATGTTGCAACTAGCTGCCAATTGCTTGTCCAATATATTTATGATGCATTTCTTATCTGATATGGTTATTGTATAAAGCGATTATCAAATGCATGTTCAAAGTTATATACGCTCATTTTGTTAAGCAAGTTAAAACAATTTTGTTTCGTTTTCATTATACAGTAGAAAATCAGAGAACAACTTTCTCCCAATTCGATGAACATTGTCTTTGTGATGTGAAAGTCTCTCTTTGTGACTTTGGTTGTTGCTGTGATAAAGTAAGTTTTTCTTTGTGGATTGATATAATTTTCGCCCTCTAACGTAGATTTTAGAATCGAGCATAAAAGAACTCAAGTTCTAACGTTAGTTTAAAAATCGTAAATACACTATTCAGTTACTGGAGTACATACTGACTCAAGTTACATCATTCTTAATCTTGACGCTTCTTACGAACTCTAGCCTAGTTTGTTGACTGTTCAACAGAAGATAACAATAGATTAACAATAGACTGACAAAAGATTTCCCCTCGTATTCTTTGATTTTCAGGATTGTTCTTCCTCAGAAAGGAAATCGTTTACTTGCAATTCGGAGTTATTTAATGACTTTCACGAACCGTCCATATTCGAATACGGTTGCCAGAAAACACGAAGCATTAGTGATGATTATTTGGCTGTACTTTGTGTTGTCACCGACAATAATCCTTTTCTCGGTTTACTGTACAACACGTCGCCAGCATTCATTAACGAAGGTGTACAGTTTGATGTCTTGATGGCTCGCACCCGTAATTATGAATACGTGGAAAGCGAAACACGTATCTTACCAGAAAATGACGCAATAAAAGGTGGATATCGCTTTAATGTCAGCGTTAAGACAGACCGCGGATTCTTGACGCTTCCTCAAAGGATTGGGACCGATGCCTGTTCCCGTCACGCGCCCGTGGTGTTTTTGAACGCTGTGGACACTTGGTGCAGCGCGGAGTTTTCTGATGCAATGTGTTCGACGGACTCGATGTGGAGTTCCTTAGACTATTTAGTACCAAAAACTGCATCATCTTGCCTTACGTCACCTCAGGTCCTCAATGATCCCGTAAACTCCACTGCTGTTCCTACAGATGTTGCTTATTATTGTATTGAAAATGCATCTGCTTACACAACGATGTACGATCAAGACTGGGGATTAATTCATCAAAATCGCTCGTTATTCGACACATCCGAAAGACCACTTGAGCAATTTGATCCTATGCTCAGATGCAAGTTTGACGATGGTGTAAGCACGGCACCTGTCCCACAGTTCACAGCAACACCTAGAATGTGCATCAATGTTGTTTTGAAAGTTCATTATGATATTTATTGGAAAGGAACGAGTATAGTCCAGGTAAGGGCTAAGATAACATTGGGAAATATGCATTCGCCCGCTGGTAACCTTATTGTGTCTCAGCGGTTTTCCGTGAAGTTTATTTACCTGAATGAAGTAAACCATGCCAAACTGCCTTTCATTGAGCCAGCGATCGACGAAAGATCAGGGAATCCTGGATACATCAGAGGAAGAAAAGTGATTGCGAAAATTATCCGCGAAGGAAAAACCCTAAATAACGTGAGTGTGTAATTTTTTTAAATTTTTAATCAATGATTTATAGTGCAGATTATATTCTTTTTAAACATCTTTCATTCTAAAAAATTTTGAAACGCTTGTACAATTATTAGACCAACTCAAAAATGTCGTTTGGAAAGCTTGGTCTGTGGGCTCCAGCGACCAGCGGCTTATGTATCGGAGCAACTTCATCTAATGTAACGTTTGGTGTAAACAGTTTGACTGGATGTATAGTAAAGTTAAGCTATCAAGATTTTGAAAACTGTAGTTTGTTACGACAGACAGTTTTAGAACAACAGCGAAAGCTTATTGCTGCAACACACGTTTCGCGACACGGTAGAGCCTCTTTAAACAACACCGTTGATTGGTTGCCTTTGATGTAAGTTATCTCGCATATAAATAATTCTCAATATTTATCATTTATTTAAAGATGTAATTATATGAAGACAATGCAAACGATTTGCGCGTAGTAAAAGAGATAATGTCCTGTATTGCTTCATAGTTTAATCAACATATTGTAAAATTTTAGTTAAAGGAAAAAACATTTTTAAAGAACTTTATAAAAAATTCAGGTTATAACTTCTCCAAATTACAATGATGCAATACACAACGCCATCTTTTAGGTACCAAGTGAATAATTTTTGAAAAATGAAATTTCTAGATTCAACGATCCCACCTCGGTTTCAAATCACAGCTCACTTAACACAACTGGAAATGCATCGTTGAACTCCAGTTTGGAAGAAACTAAAGGACTTTGTCTGAATATGCCGGCTAGTCTAGTATACGAGATTGCATACCGACAGACTGGGAACTATTATGGAAAACCTCAATTGGAAATAGTTGGAGCCCGCGTGAGGTAAGCGGTAAGACTTACCAATTCTGCTCCCTGTTTCAACTGTATACACATGAGAGGATGGTGCATTTATTTTGAGATTTTAATTCATTAAACTTGTTGCTCTTTCACTTTGTATAGTTATAATTTGTTGTCATGGCGATTTCAATGTATCAACGGAAGGTGCCATGAATGTAACGACAGCCAATGCGTTGACAGTATTCAGTCTTTTGCTGTGACTAGTTCAGTGAATTTTTTTGCGCTTTCAAGGCTAGACACATCTCGCTTAAAAAGGTAAATACTTATCTTTTAAGATTTCTTATCGTTTGCCATCTCGTTACGTAGCACATTGGAGAGGAGCTGTTTACATTTCGTCTGTCTTTTCAAATGTCTTTTATAAGAATTAACTTTGAATTGTTATCGTCCTAGGATTTATTGATGACCCATTTTTTCATATTCTTTATGACAATGTTTAATCGAATGTCGGATAAGTAAAATTTGCAATCATAAAAGTGTAGGCTCTTCAATGACAATAAGGTTTATCAAACAACGGTACATAAATTTATACTTTGTATTTAGTTTTACACTAGTACGCACGAATTTCAACGAATCCCAGTCAATTTATTGCATCAACTTCCTTCCTCCAAACTTTGATGAGTTCCATAAGTGAGTTTATGATAAAGCATGAAAGCTTGGGATTTAATAATAGTTAGTGTGAACAATTTTTTTAAATACCTTATTTCTTGTTACTAAGTCAAAAACTGCGTGATTTTGATCAGTTTTTTTATGTCTTAGGAATGAAGACGTGAAAAATATTTGTTATCAAGATGCATGCCCGGGAGAAGTGCTTTACCCTCTGTTGACGTCGTACGACGGTGAATCACGAGAAGTGGCGATTGCTTACGGTTTGCTTCTTGTCGTTTTCATTCTACTTTTTATGGCCGTGTCAACGTCATTACTACGTAATGTGAAAAAGTTGTTCGTTGGATAGATCTATTTTGAAGTACTAAGGTTAGTTTTTGTGAGAGTCAGTAGGGGGAGTGGGGGGTTCATAGGATTTCACTGAGTTTTTCTTGATACAGTTCGGTTATCAGATATTTAACTCTAAAAGAAATCAAGACACATACGTCTTGCATGGATTTTGATGTCATAGAACCGTTGATAGACATGTTGTATTGTTGTGATACATGTTGCAGTGATTGGTTATGTACATATGTCACGTGACTTGTCAAACTTTGTGCAATGAGACGATTAATTTTTCAACCATAGACAAAAACACAGTAAATGAATGTTTAAAAATACGCGAATTTTGGAAATACAGAAACCATTATTTACAAACGCGAAAAAAATACTTTTCAGAATTATGTATGAAAAAGAAATTTGTCTGATAAATATCTCAAACAGTGACAAAATTATTTCACTAACTACTAAAAAATAATCTATATTTGACATAGATGATTATTGACCAATCTGAAATTCAAAAAATTTTGTTTTGACATTATTTTTCTATATAACTTAGGTTGATGGCCCTCTATACACATCTGGAACAAGCAGTTATCGTATATCGTACATATGACATGAATAGATGTCAAACAAACCAAACATTTTTGACTGTATGGTGAAATTAATGGATGTTTCCAGTCCTAGTGGATTGTGCTTCAACATACCGACATCCGGCCTCTCCTCATTCCCCCGTAGCTACCGCGGTTTGTTCAAAGCAGTTCTGCCATGATAAGGTGGCTCTGCATACGAATGCCTGTAGTAATCTATTTGATTAGCAAGGTACTCTAGATCTTGGCGAAGCTTGTCATTTGGGTCACTAGTGTTACCTAAAAGTGGAGAAGAAAGTCACTTTTGGGAAAAATTCGATTGCTTCCTTTATGACAAACTTCTATCAATTGGAATAAACATATAAGTTGGTTTTTCTTTTTCTCTGTAATAAGAAATATTTGTCAAGGTTAGTTCTTTATTGATTCGTTCTCCTAAAATATATATCAGGTCAACATTATTCAATTTCTACTTCTTTCAGCCCACCGTTTCTATGGCTGATAGGAAGGGGAATCCTAGATGTACCAGCTTGTATCTTAGGTGCCACTGTTGAACTGTCTGCATCCATGTGAGATCCTAGTGGTTCCGTGCGTTCCAATGTGCCCCTCGGTTCTTCATTAGTTTCATCATTTCTCGGCGATGGCTGTTGTGCTTTTTGTTTTGCAAATAGCTTAGAATATGTTGACGGTTCTTTCTCTCTCTGAGGAATCTTTGACACTCTAGTTATATGACAACGGTGATTTCAAACAAACGGGTTGAATTTTATAGTTACCATACAGTAGTGAGTTGGAATATGATGTGTTAATGTTGATGATTGAGTTTCGTCTTTTCCTAAGAAATCCACTCTTAAAAATGGTAATTTTTTTTCGTAATTCTTATCTGATTTTTGGTACGCACCTTCTTTGGGGAATGGTTACAACGTTTGATTCTTCTGACATTCCTTCATAATTTTCACTTACTGTTTTGTCCCCTGGAAATTGAATAACAATCAAGTGTGATGTAGTGTTGAAGCATGATTTCTGTATGTGATGTAGTGTTGAAGCATGATTTCTGTATACTCCCTTTAATTGTTTTTATTAAGTGAGATTTCTTATGTTGAAACTCGAGTCATTATCCCAGTGCCTTTATCAGAATGGATCTGATGTTGACTTGATTTCTCCAACCTAATTTCTTCCTGATATTGGAGAGTTGGAACGTTTAGCAAGTCTACCTTTCTGTCTACTCTGTTTTGCCAACCACTCCACATCTTTCTGAATGTTCAAAAGTGTTTGTTGTGTTTGACGTGTTGAGCCTGAACACTTCTTCACTTTGTCAGAGTTGTTGTTGCCAGTGGTATTTGACCTCGTATTTCTAACAGGTGGTAAACTGACCACACTGCTCGGAGACGCACTTTGGCTTACGTCTTTTGCCTCGCCGTTTATTCTGTCATTTTCTCCTGAACTGCTGCTACCAAGCGATGTGAATAACTTAGGATCATCGGTCAATGACCTCAATCGACCAACAGCACTTGGTATACGGGACGAAGTTGATACTGCACTGGAGCTTCGACTAAATCATTATAAATTGAAATTTAAATGCTTGAATAAATTGAATTAATCAAAAAAAGTCCGTTTTATAAAGACCTCTCTAATTGCTCTAATTTCTTGATCAGCAACTCGTTTTCTCTAGAAATCACCTAGAAATAATAGGTTAAAATTAAATCAACCCGATGCACCCAAACAAAGCAAAATAATTTGATTCAAATAACATGATTCGTATTTTGCACACTTCGAAAAGAAGACCCACCAGATTTTGCCGTCTCATCGTGTCTCTGCTCGTATAAAGATCCCCGTTCTCTGTCCTAACAGCAAGAAAGAAATTTTGATGAAATATCTTACTGGGGGCTGTGAACACAGAGGGTCTACTCCTATACGAAATACACTCGCTCGTTGGACACGTTCTTCTAGACGTTTATTATTGATTTACTGCCAATATTAAACATGCTATGTATTTCACATTAATTTACTATAAAAAGTAAGTTATTCTTCACAAAGTCGATAACTTTCGAGTCACCTGAGGTTTTCGTTTTCAACCATATATTCTTGTAACATGTCGTACAAACCAGGGGGGAGACTGAAAAAACGAAATAGTTAATGCGTAGTGCTGTGGAATTTTTCATCATGCTTACAAGTTTAATGCAACTACTGACCTTGTTGATCTCTCTGCTGATCCAGCTGCAAAAGGGGTTGGTGTTCTATCTTCTGTGTCTACACGAGATAAAGCACAATGATCATTAATGTAGAATTAGCTTTGTCGTAGAAACATGCAAGCAAGCAACATATCGATTTTTATAGATAAGCAGATTGAACAGAAACCTTCCATCTTTTCTATGTGTTTTTTTTTTAATAAGATTACTCATGAGAATTCTATATGTATGTTAAGTTCTTTCGTTTCTTTTTTTTTAGTCCAGTAACGGTCTCTCCTACCTGTAGAAATAGGTGTTTCCCTTAAACTTTCTCCTCCATCATCTGTCCATGCTTCGTCTACAGTAGTTGATGTTGGACGGGAAGAAGGCAACCCTAACTAAAATGTTCGTTACAAAAATGATATTTGGGCTTATTCCTTTCTTTGGTGTGTAACTAATGAATAATAGAAGTGAGCTTTTGGATAGAGGAGTATAATTAAGGGTGAGTAGGGATTGTAAGCATTGGATAGTAGAGTATAATTGTTGGTGGACAAGGAATGCAACTAATAGAGAGAGGAAATGAACTGTGGGAAACTAAATTCAAATATAAAGACAAATACTATCATTCATTCCAAAATTTAGGATTAAGACCGTAAAATGCCCTTGTTCTTTTAAGGAACGACTAAAAACAACCTTCAATTTCTTCCTCGCACACGACAGGAAAGTTAGCGCTCCAGTTTATAACTGAAATTCACGATCATTGTAGTGTCGCACACGACAGGTAAGTTAGCGCTCCAGTTTATAACTGAAATTCACGGTCATTGTAGTGTCGCACACGACAGGAAAGTTAGCGCTCCAGTTTATGACTGAAATTCACAGTCATGGTAGTGTCGCACACGACAGGAAAGTTAGCGCTCCAGTTTATAACTGAAATTCACGGTCATGGTAGTGTCGCACACGACAGGAAAGTTAGCGCTCCAGTTTATAACTGAAATTCACGGTCATTGTAGCGTTCGTTATTTTATGTTTATATTTTGAGTATTTGTGAGAGATGAAGTAATAAAAAGTTTTTCTAAAAATTTTGATCTCCATGTTAGGATATGATGAAATCTAGTTTTGATACCTGATTTTTAAAGTAGGAATTTTCTTTTTTCAATGTTTTGATTTCGCGTTTCAAACTGAGAATTAGTTTCTCTTTGGCGTCCTTCAAAATAATCAAAAGTTCAGGTCAAAAGACATTTGTAAAATTAAAACAAAACAAGTTTGGGGTGTTAATATTATAATCTGTTTTTCGTTTGCGTTCTAAATTGTATATTCTCTCCACGAAGTTGTGTTTGCAGCGTGCTTCTGAAGAAAAAGTCATAGCTAGGAATTATTCTCTAGTAGGGCTGTCCCTAGAACGTTAGGGAGTTATTCACATACTAAGTTGTGCCCAACTGATTTATTTTACAAGTTACTTTCTTTTCGATCAACGTCCTAGGGACCGCCCTGTTCTCCAGTGTAGAAAACCATCAGCAAATACAGTCCCCAAGTTTCTAAAACTCATTGAAAAATCATTGATCTCAAGGGAATTGATTGGTAGTGGTAAAGTTGAGTTATGAAAATATATGGATGAATGCAACCATAACATAATTCACTTTGCGTGTACTGAACATGTTGAGAAGATGTGGCAAAGTTCTGAAAAAATGCCAAAGATAACGTGGGGCTATTCGTATATTTGAGTGATGGAAAGTGGAAAGAACCATTTTATGAATTTTCAGAGTCGTGCAATTTCCACTTGATGAGTCAGTTATCAAAAGGCCGAAGATATATGACTACAGAACATGGGGTCGTTGTTTGTGTAAGTTTGATAAAAAGTTTTGCTTATGTAAAAAGGTCGAAATGTATATAGAAAATGAGAGCGATTGTGTTTTCCTTTAGTAAGTCTGTTGTTGATCATCTTTACTAGTCTTTACTGTACTTAGAAACTATGAAAAAATAGACATTGTTATTTTTTTTTTGAGAAAGGCGTTCTAAATACTATAACACATTTTAATACTATAGTATTAAAATGTTGTTATAGTATTTGAGAACAAAACTTCTGAATGCAATCATTACACAAAATAAAAAACCACTTTACCATTTGAACGACAGGTTTATTCCTAATTTTCTTTGCTCTTTGAGCGTATCTTAACGTGTTCAGTGTGTCCGAGGCAACGGACGACGACGGTGATATGCAAGCAATCTATAAAATCGACGGAAACTTATGATACAATAGTTAAAATATTATAGTCGACTGTACTATGTTGGTGTGCAAACACACAGACTGAAAGCTAAAAGCAGGAAGGCCTATTTTAAAGCGGGGACAACATTAAATGTTCGCAATGACATGTAACACCTACAATTTTCATTTGCAGACAAAAGTAACACCCAAAATATTTCAAAGAAAAGATGCATATACAACCAGGTACGAGTTTTGTGCATATATAACCAAGTAAAATTTGGCTGTATGTATTATAATCCGTATATATGAAGGTCACGTTCCATATATAAACGGGCGTTTAATTTGCAGATAGAACAAATGCTAGCTATTATCTTTAGCTATGTGTACCATCAAGGTCATTCCTTCGCCACCAATACTTTTTGCCAGTAACTTTGTGAGTTTGCTATCTCTGTAAGGAATGTGACCATTACGTTTCTTTGCGTCACTCAATGCAGAAATACAATTACCTGCAAAATGCACCGTAAGTCAGACAATACATCAATACATGGCCTAACTTAATGCAAAATTTCTAGATATATATGCAGTATATTCGATGAAGAATGCGCAAGCCCTGCTAAATTATAGAAAGTCTCTACAACCACAAATCGATAGACCTCTAGATATGTTCATCTCTACTCAAACACTCAAAACATTTTACTAATTTTAATTAAAATTTAAAAATAATTATCGAGAATGAAGGCGAACAATAACGGCGATGGGATATCAAGGCATAGTGAAATAATTTATTAACCTCCATTAAATATACAATATTTCATCTGCTTAGCTGGGTGCTTTAAGAAAGGTGTAAGACAAGTAACACGTGACAATGACCAAGGTTTACGAAAAAAATTTTTGTTTTTGCCATGTATGCACAACTGTTTATACCTAACGTCAGCAGACTTTTGTTTATGTTTTGCGATTCGGTTAATAGGTCCCCTGTGGATTTGGTTTCTTTAACTCTTTCATTGCCTAAAAAGTTTTCACAACAATTCATGTCTAGCAAAGATCAGTGAAAGCAAATAACGATTTGACATTTACATATTTCAAAGCAGTTTATTTAGTTATGTCAACATGGGCATCTAAAGGGTATTGTTCCTCTTTTATATATGATCCATCTTCTTTCTTTCCGGGTCTTCAAAATAATCCGCTCAATAATTTGCACTAGCCCCTTCCCCATCTTTGTTTGGCTTTAGATAAATTGAGGGGAAGTAGGCTGACTATATATAACTCACCAGCTAAATCAACAAAGCTTAGTTTCCCGTACTTCATGACAACAAAATCAGCATCATCGTCAGGTTCGCACTGAAACATTCATGAATAGTTAGGCCCAACAAACTGACTGGTCTGGCTGTTTCAACGCATGCGCTTTTGCAGTTCATTATAATTACAATAACTCACACTTTCGCTGTCAAGATTTAACGTCAACATACAATGACTTCTACTGGAATGATCGTTGATACAATGTGCGCGAACTTGACGGTTTCTCAAACCTTTGGTGGAAAGAGATTAGTGGAAATAAACAGGAGTTCTTTTCTCATAAGTGTTACAATAACCACACCAAACCTACCCTCCTCCAGCACAGCCATTAAGTCATCTTCAGTCTCACAAGTGACTGTGAATAAATCCTCAACATAGAAACCACGATCTGTTGACCAGCGGACAACGAGCGAATCGCGTGACGACGATAGTTCCAGCAAATCCTGCACCTAAAAAATTGCAGCAGAGTCGTACCTACGTATCAACCTTCCGTGAAGTTGGTGTCTAGATTGTTGTCAACATAATGGTAAATTCAAACCCTTCAGTTATTTTCACGAAAGTTGTTGTGAACATGAGAATTATCATTTTAAGTTGACTTAACCAACATCTTTTACGGAGTTTGCAACCTATCACTTAACCTATCTCAAGCATATCTTACAAGAAATATCTTACAGGAGATAAAGTAGCATACAACGCAAGGTAATGTGAGATTTTAATTTGGAGAATGAATATGACGTAGTGTTGCACCTTTTCGTTATACACTTCAAGATATGAAGCTCGCATGGTGAAGTTTGATCTTTTACTTTTCATTTGATTGATTAAATATCGAAACGATCTGTGTAAAAATAAAGGAATGTGAAAGATTACCATAACCAAAGACGAACACATTGAAGTGCTACATGACCATCTTTTTAATTGACGTGCTTGTTGTGAAGAACAGATCAGAGTGATGAACTGCGACAGCAAGCATTCACAACAGTTTTACAAACCACGATAACAGTCGTTTCCTTCTTTCGTGAAATTGACAATGACATAGTCTTACCTTTGCATAAGACCGTAAGAATCTGCTGTTATGTCGACGAAGTTAGCATTCTCGTCAAAGTGACTACCCTGATTTCAAAAGCATCATTAGTACAACAAATTCGTAGCTCCATGCGCGACAAAGTACAGTAAACTTTAGACAATATGTTGTAAGAGAAACTTATTCAGATGTTACCAGGTTGACAGGTCCAGTCAAAGTGTATGTTTTTCCTGAGCCTGTTTGGCCAAATGCGAGAACTGTACAAGAGTATCTGAAAGATTTACTTTATTTGAAAGATTTACTTTACTGAAAGATTTATTTTAAAAACGATAGCACTATTTAAGATGAAGTCATTATCACTATTTACGAGCAGAAATCTTTCGTTAATTTGCCTTGACGTTTTTTCCCCTGAAATTTTACTTCTAGCTTTCCAAACAGGCAGTTAATCAGCAAACACGTGCATGATGCTCATTGTAAGATTTGTTACTTAGCAGCAGGGAAAGTTATTTATAGATTGAAGAGTTGAAATAAACTAATAAACTTTTTATAAACAGGACAAAAAATTCATACGCTTGGAAAATGAACAAGTTATAACTAAGAAACAATTTCCTCAACTCAAAATTTTAATGGTAGTTTTTTATGGAGGAGTTGCAGACTGCAGTTCAAATCGTCTTCCATCCAACAAGAAACATGAAACTTTTTACTTTCTGTTTATCATAGATTTGATAAAAAAAGGAGGCAGATTTACCATTACATAGCAAGCAAATCGAAGTATATAGCTATATTGCATACCCTTCTAACGCCATGTCTATCAAATGCTTGATTCCACATTCTTCAAAAATCTATAAGTTGAATATCAAAATTTAGTCATCACACACTTATATATGTCTGACATGATGTCATCTTTTGATTACGCCACTAAATTTGTTTGACGACAATACTGATGGTAAATATTCATTACCTTTTCCTGACACACGTTTGGAGAAAACACTTGATTAAATGTAAACGGTTTACTTTGACCAATGTTGTTATCAATCTAAGTAAAAATAACATTTCATAGCATTCAATTAGGTAACGGACAGATCATTTTTTCAGGTAAATCCCTAAGAAAAACAAAGAAAAACATTGCTTGTAATAAGAAAATGAGTTGACAAATTAACTGCATGGTTATAAAGAAAAATAATGCTTAGGAGTTTCAAGCCAACAATTTGTAAGCTGATTTGACGATCTCTCGATGAAAAACGGATGAAATCAAAAGAGCCAACCATGTTTAAAAAATATGATGTTTGTACAGTTATACTAAGCAGGGGCAAAACTAGAACGTTAATTGGGGGTGTATGTTTAAATATTCAGTTGTGCCCTACTGATTTCCTTTTAAAGTAAAATAACTTTTCAGAAGAAATCAGCAGTGCATAACAGAATGTATGAATAAACACCCTCCAAATAGCGTTCAAGTTTCGCCTCAGATGCAAGGACATGCGTCGCTTCCTGGACAAAGGTACGGTTACTTGACGTTCGTGTGCATGAATTATTTCATTGTTTTTAATAAATACTGTATCTTTATGTACACATGGGGTTCTTAATTGTTCACAGTTGACAAGTACTAATCTCAAAAGTAAACAGTGATAATCCATCAGTATGCAAATCATATGTTTTCATTAATTAAAATAAATTACCAACAGTAAGTTCCACTATTTTCACTTGTGACAATACTAAACAATTCACACCATAGATACATCAACTGTCGACAACATGCCGCTTTTTAAGCGCAAAAAATGTATATCAAATTATATTTAAATTGTTGAAGGAAAAATTCGCCTTATCTGATAGTTATGGATGATTCAGTTGAAATGGAAAAGATCCGTCGTAAACTTACAAAAAATGAAAAAATCAACCAAACTAAAAACGAAGCAAACACAGACAGATTTTTTCTCATAAAATTTTTCGAGTCGCCCCAGTCTTTTCTATAATGAGAGTCACCTCGATCGTTAGTATAGAGCCTTGTTGGCCTTGTCCGATCCATTGGTCCAATCAGATTGCGTTACAAAAAGGATTTAAGACTGAAACTACTAAGACGAATTATATGACCATGCTAAGAAGCACTGTGTTAAAGAGACGCGTACATTTTACCGTATGCTAGTAAAGGTATTAAAGTCCTAAGGTAAAAATATTTTTGAAACATCTCATTTCTATAAATGCTAGAAACCAAAATTGTGTATATTCTTCAATTTCTGACGTGAACTTCCGTCTGTTGCCGTTAGCTAACTCATCAGTTACATTTTCATTCTATGTATTTTCTGTTTTTCCTTTACTTCACCTGGGTTAAGAAAGACTATTTCTACATAAGTGTACATTTAGCGTGTGTTAATAAAACTATGCTATTTTTAGACTTCCTTTTTTAACTTACCCAAACTGCGGTGCCTTCCTCTGGAATCTTAAGAACATCCTTATCTTTTCTTTGCGTTTCAGCGTCGCTCAAAGGTCTCACTCTACAAACAGTACGCACACTTTCGTCGCAAGCAGTTTCCATTAACAAAAAAATATGGAATCGCAGTTGCAGTATAATGAATTCCTGAACAAGATGAATTGTCACTACGGTGAAGATAAGCTCTAAACCATAAATCTTCATTCAATGTCAATGTTTACATAGATTAATCGCATAACGTAAGTAGAGATGATAGTATTTGTACGCGCCCTGACCGAAATTATTTGCGCCTTATTATGCAGGAATTAAAAATTTTCCTTTTCAGTCGTTAGCAGAGAGTAGTGGTCGTTTTTTAACACAATATTCAGGGACCTGTACATACAGAAATTATACTAAATGGGTTATCCTGTAAAATAAAGTATTCCTTCTATCCTTTTTATACTGCGTTCTACCCCACGAATACTTGGATTGTAGGGCTATGGGAGTGGGGTAATAGAAAAGGTAGAGATATGCTGGTGGTATTATTATATGATTAAGATGATAAGTGCAAAATCCATGGTCTTTTGTTATGTTTATACTATATGACAGATGTAATCAATGAATCATTGATGTGTTTCATCTTATTATTTTAATGTTCCAATGGTTTGTAATACATTAATAATACAATACATAAGAAATAACCAGGCTTTATCTACTAATATAGTGGTAAACATAGTTTGGGTATTTGTCATGAATCAATGTACATGTGAATAAAAAGTCAATCCATAAAGTGATGAAGAATAAAAAAAGTTGGTCTGACTAAAATTGCGGGCTTTTACTATTAGTTGTAGACACAAAAAGAGTTTTTTGCATGTCCCAGAATGTAACCCTCACCTTGACGTGCACAAATAATGATTGGTTGGTACATCAATGTATTTAAGAAGTAGTTAGGATAGTACATAAAGTGTAAATATATTCGAGCTCCTTAGATACATTATGTACTTAAAATGATACAAAAAAAAAATCAGCTTGATAAACTATGTAAGGATTGTTTATAAGAAACAATTTTATGAATTTCCTAATGCTTACTCATGCACATAAGAAAGAACAAAAGTACAATGAACAAACCTGACAACAACATGGATGCTATCTTCTGAATTTCCACTGTCTACCCTATGTTCAATATCTTCAGTTGCCAATGATGATGAAGTTGACTTTGATTCTTTGCTGTCATGATGGAAAAATAAGTCTTAATACAACATGCTAAGATTTTTTACAAACTGAAGGGATGTATTATAGAAAAAATGAAATATATATATTATAGTTTGTCAGAGAAGTTGATGTAAACTTTGATAAACAATTTATGGCGAATGAACTTTGTCCATTCATGCATTTTTTTTTAACAATAAAGGTGTGAAAACAATGTACAGGTGATAAATAATTGTACACCTGTTACCATAGTACAAACGAGGAAGAACTGCATTATAAATGTGTATGTAAACATACATTGCATGAAAGATTAGCAAGACGAAAACGTAAATACCTCAAGGCTCTATCGTTGCTCGTCTTTTCCGTTTGCACGCCAGATAATTTTGCCAAGTATTTCGTCTGTTTCGTCGTTTCGGGTTTGATATCAGCGCCCTGCATTATTTTGCCGCCGTAAGTTTTTCTTTCAAAAACGCAGCGAAATTAAACGGAATAGTTGGAATACAGAAAACGTTTAAGTGGGTTGACAAACAACTTTATTGTCGTTTGTCAGCAGCGACATGAACATAAATAAGCAAACACCATCTGTAAATACATCAAACACAAGAATGATAAATTAGTTACGCTTGGCTATGGTAAGGGAATATCACAATAAAACATTAACTATAGTTTGTCTCTTGAAATTATGACAAAACAACAACAATAATTTTTACTTGTTTCCGAACACCATTGTACAAGTCACGACCGTTTTCCTGTTGACATTAAGAAATATAGTTTCGTTTAGGCCTTTGTTGACTGTCGTTGCAGTTGTAGTTTTCCAGTCTTGCTGCATAGCAACAAACGCCGTCTGGGCAAAGAATAAATAAGCTCGTGTTTTTCCCACAAATTTGCCCAATACAATGTTCTAGTACTTAAGTGCCATTGTTGAAATAAATCTGTCGGAAATCTCCCGAGATTTTAATCGCATTGCGATGTTATTGCGTTAACAACTTTATTACTACAACGTTCAATCAAACTCTTGGACTAAAAACGAGTTCGCATCACGCATGATTGATTGGGCATTGCTTTAATGTTCCCACTCCCTCCCTGAATAATAAAGTTTTAAATAACAACACGGGGGAAAGGCAATAGTAAACAAAGTAAACTTACGTTTACATATCGTGTGTTAGTGCTAAAAACCGACTTATCTTTTGAATGTAAGCGGAATATTTTATTATCGAACACAGTAAAACGATTTTGGCAAGCTGACCAGTGACCAACATCGTTACATTTAAATAAATTAGTATATAATACCGTTAATGTAATTAAACATAATGAGCTTGTTTTTACTTTTCACCCTTCTTAAAATTTGCTTAACTTCCCTAGATTGGTTGTGGTTCTGTATAGAGAATACACGAATAAAAAACATTTCAGAATAACTAGTTGGTAGTTATACTGACTCGATAAAACTAGTCATTCATGGCTGAGATATCTGCTCCCATTCACAACTGTCGTATTGATCATGAAGACATTTTTTGTTTTCTTCATTAAAAAAACCTGGCTTCTTCACATTGCACTAATTTCAAAAACAATCTTAAATAAATCAAATGCGTTCTATGACTTGGTGAGACGCTTAAGATAAAAAAATAATGTTAACTCTTTCAGCGTTAAATCTTTAAACTGCTCGTTCACAAAGCTTCAGAATCTCATCCTGTGAAAACCAATATTGATCATTAGTCGATATGAATGAAAATAAAAACCAAAGCAAAATTCATTTCTTTTTTCTGCTGCTCCACTAGCAAAAAATGCAAAAAAAATCAACAAAATTTAATATTTTCATTGTTTATGATACCTGTTTTGCGAGTTGCTTTGCCATTTTTTCCCCATGTTGAAGCAGTTCTGTGATTGAATCATCTTTACACTGTAATTCGTCTATTTTCATTTCCAATCTTTTTTCAAGAGCAACGCAGTTCTCGCATTTCTCTCGTGGTTTCTGAATGAAATTTTGTAACCTTATAAATATTGATTCCAGATTTACTTAACTTTCATTCGATACATGATATAAGAATATCAAAGAGTTATATCATTGATTTCAAAGGCAAAACTCACTTGTTGTGAAAGAGAACGAATTTTTGACTTGAGGAACTCAGTTTCGCCAGTAACTCTATTGAGTTCCTTCGTCAATTCATCTATCTGACGCTGCCTCTCCCTGCATAAAACAAATTTTAGAGGTAAAACTATAGTAAACTGCTTGTAGTGGAGTGCAACATATCAGTTTTTATAAACTTTTAGCTTTGATATAATTTTGTGCTCGTTGTCGATCTGTATAGCCTTGATTTTAGACGAGGTAGCTGGTGAATGGGATGTTTGGCATACTTTGATTTGTGCATCAACGCTGACTCTAGTTGCATCTTTAGAAGTGAAATTTTATTATCTCGTGACATGAGTTCGTATTCACTTTCTTTCTGTGCTGCAAGCCGTCTTTCATCATTCTGAAGAAATATAAAATATTTTAGTATCAGCTTACTTCTACACGAGAATAACAAACACACGAATTGGACCTGCACGAGAAATTCCTTATATTTTTGCTTCGTTTTGCTTAACTCCCTATTTAATTCATCTATTTTTTTGTTATTTTCCAATATGATGTCGTGGAGGCTTTTGGTTTCACGAAAGCGCGTTTCAGTTTTGTCATTATACTCTGTAATAGTTTTTTCACATCTTTTCAACTTCTCCTTAAGTTCATCAACCTGGAAAAATTGACAAAAAAAAACAATGAACTTTTTAGGAACCGTAATTCTCACGATCATTGGCCAAGTTGTGTCATAAATGAAACGTTTTAATAAGATTATTTCTCACTTTCTTGGTATTGTTTTCTTCCATTTCCTGCATTGCTTTGTTTTTTAATTTTAATTGCTCTCGTAAATGGCTCACAAGCTTTTGCAAAGAGACACATTTCTGAAGTAACTTCTGCTGAAAGATAAAGTCATCTCATAGTATTCAAAGAATCACTGGAATGTTAAGTATATCCGTCGTCAAATTTTGCATAGAAATCTAAGAGGACACATGCATAAAAATCGCTTTCAATATTTCGGAGTTTGGACGTTCTAGTTGACAGTGAAAAATATGGTGGAGGGTAACTATAGCAACTGAAGTAAACAAGAACCTACCTCATACTCTAACTTGTTTTCCGATGCGTTTTTAGAGCTTTTGTAATCACTTTTCGTTTGTAAAGTATACCCCCTTACCATATCTATATTCCACTTCATGTCGACGCTGTGTCGATGACTTGCAGAAGAACAACGAGAAGAAACTGGGGGCAGTACGGTAGATAGCGCGCCGGTCTTAGATTTTGTTGGAGATGTCGATGATTTTAGATCTTTTATGGTTGGCTTTAAATCTGTTCGTATTCTCGACATTACAGTACAAAATACAGCAAGAAGAGAATCTTTCCATGTGCTTTAAAGCCTGCCATGTTTCATTAGATGCAGCGCTTGGATTTGTTTACAATTACTGTTTATATTCGACCACAAAGGTTGAAGTGAAAATTTGAGAAATCAATATTATCGTAAATGTTTTCTTTTTCTCCAAGCCTAATTACTTGCAAACAACTGCTCTCACAAAAATAGCCCTCGGCAAATACAAGATGTATTAAAATAGCAATCACCGAACACAATTCAATAACATCTTTCACGTTTTCGGAAATTCAATTTGCGTCATTTGACATTTGTAAACAACGGATCAGTTTAAATTAAGATACTCGTGAGAACGGACTATGATCTCGCGAGAACGAACTTTACATTCGTGGAACGGCTTGGGTAGGAGCGGTTAGAGGTGTAGGCCCGTTTCTAACGTCGCATTTTACATGCGCCGAATGCATTTAAAACAAAAGGAAATGAGATAAAATTGCTCATTATCTTTTGTTTTAAATGCATTCGGCTCATGTAAATGCGACGTTTGAAACAGGCCTTATTCATTGGGTGTATTTCGTAAATGTTTATATAAGAATTGTGTTTATTTAAAAACATGTCATTTCAACTATTTATTGACAAGAGGAAGTAACATGCATAAAGACAAAAAATTGTTCTATAATAAAATAAACAAATAACAGCCACTTTGGAGTTTCCATTTCTTACGAACTTCATTCATAAGAGCACTTAATTTCTTATGAGCTTCATTCATAAGAGCATTTCTTTAGCTGCACTTCTATTTAACTTGACTCTCACAAACAACCCCGTTACCCTCGAAGACATGACCTTACACCGTTGTATTCACGAGCGTGCACGGGCGTACCTATTTCTTGCCCATTTAGAGACTACATGAAGTATTTCCTTGAATATGAAAGCAAGACCTGACAAGGAACTTACATCATCGATTTCATGTTAAAAGTTGGGCAAAGTCATTGGCAAAAATCGTTTGGTTTCTGCAAAATTTCTTTACGTTTAATGGCTTCCCGATTAGATCTCTTTCAAAATATCGGTTTGAGTGAGCACAAGGCCAAAGAAACTCTAAAGAATGAAATTCTTGCTAAGCATTTGGAAGGCATAGTGAACACGGTGGGTGAAAATTTAAGTGCTTTATAAACTGACTTTGTTTTCTCAAGCAAATCGTTGAGTTCATTCATTTGCACAGTTGATAGCAATTAAGGGCGTTTTAAGTGTCAAAGAAATCCCTTTGATTTGCTCATATCACATAATAAAATGCACAAAATTAGAAGACACATATTACTTGGAATTTTTTAGGTCTTTCAAATGTACTAGTATAATACAAACATACAGAGAATTTTAAAGTGCACATCAGTTGTAGTGCAAGTTATGATGCAATTTTGTTGTAGGCAATTGCATATAATAATGGTTCCAATATTGATAAGTCAGTTGGCACTTTGTTGTACAACTTTGCAACGAGTAATGTCAAGTCTCCTGAAAGGCTAAATATGGTGGTCAAGTATATTTGTTCCAAGGAAATTGCATCACAGATACAATTAAATGGTTTGTGAAAGTCTTTTGTCAACTGCTTTTTTATTGAAGTGCAACTTCTTTTATATCTACTCGCATGTTACATTTTAATTGATATTCTCTCATCATTTCTTGTGAATTATTCTTATGTGCTTGTACATGAATAGCTGCTTTGGAATACCTAAAAGCCAACCCAATCGATCCGGTTGAGGGAAAAGAGTTTGAACATCATTGTGGGATTGGAGTTAAAATAACACCGGATAAGATTGAAGAATGTGTAAGTTTTCGAAAGATGTGAAGTTTGCTTATTGCTATTTTCTTCAAAATCACCCTCTGTTTTATAACATACGTGCTTGTACTCAATGAAACGCTTTTGTATTTAAAACACTTTTTGGTTATGTCTTTAGATTGAGAAACTTGTGGCAGCAAATAAAGATGAAATTTTGAAAAAAAGATACCGTTTTAACACAGGAATGATAATGGGTTCGTATTTTATTTCATTTTATTTCCATATTTTTCCTTATATGTACATTCGTGTGAGTTCAAAATGTTGATCATAATTAAATAGTATTCACTCCCCCCTGTCTTACGTAATACTTGCATTGCGTATTTACTTGTTTACCATAGCTAAAGCACGTGAGGAGTTACGATGGGCTGATGGTAAAACATTAAAGTTTGAGCTAGATATGCAGGTATGATGTGAATTGAATGATAGGAATATTGGAAATGTGGATGCACGGTATACTGATTTTAGGTAGAGTGTAGAATTTTCTTATTGCTAAGGATAAAGTGGTTTAAAGTACATAACATTTAATTTCTTTAAATTTTGGCTTTAATTTCTTTTGCATTTAATTTCTTTAAATTTTGGCTTTAGCTGCTTGACTTACTGGGACCTAAGACAGAGGAAGACTTGAAAAAAACAAAGGGTGGAAAGGTGAAGAGAAAAATAAAGAAATTTAAGTACGAAGAAAGTGCAAAATCAATCACAATCATATCCATAAAATGAATCAACTTAAAGCTCATAGTGTTTAAAATATGCTGGAACCAAAAAAAAACACATGTTGTTTTCCATTCATGGCACAGGCTCCACCTTCAAAAGCTCCTACTAAGGTTGCAGCACCTGTGGCTGAGGTAAAACAAGGTACAAGACTGTTTGGATTCTGACTTTAAATACCATGATATAAGTTCAATAACATTTACACACTGATGATTGTATGCAAAACTTGCCAAAACTAACTAGTACTTGGAGATTGACTGCACATAAAGATAAATTTATAAACAATGTTGGATAGCACTCATGAAAGGCTTTACAAGTACCTGAATGAATAAAGGGTATAGTTTCTGAAGGTTTGGTCATACCTCCCTCTCCAAATGATTGCTGTTCACTTCAGTTTCCAAAGTATTGCAAGTAGAACTTTTTACAGTAATTAGTGAAGCCAGTCTCTCAATGATGTTTAGATATTTAAAAATATTTAAAAATATTTGTCTTCATTGAGGATGAAAATAAAAAACACAGAAATACCATTTAGCCTTTTCTCTAGAAAGTAAAACAGATGAAGTGACATTGGTTGATCTGGGGAGTGAGGCTGCAAAGTTTCATAAACCAGGTTTGAAAGATGATGATTTCATTCATTGTTCATGCATGTCACGTGTTTGTAATGATAACGTTTTATGATGACGCTTAGCAAGACATTCTTTAGAAGTCGTCTTTTATATTTTTAGGAGAGAATTATTTAACTCCAGGATATGTTGTTACGCCAAAAACAATGGATCTACTTAAAGAACATTTAAATCAAACTAGTGGAAAGGTGTTTACTTGGATATGATGTTCAAGTTATTTTAAACATTTATTATAATATTTTTTTTTGTTTAAAGGTTGTCACACGTTTCCCGCCAGAACCCAATGGGATCCTACACATCGGTCATGCTAAAGCAATTAATTTCAATTTTGGGTATGCGAAGGTACGGATGGATACGTTATTGTTTGTAGATCACACTGCGTTTGACTTTTTTGACAATCTGTCTTCCAGTAAGGAAGCATTTTTGCACATAGGCTGGCGAAACAAAATGTTTTTCGGAATACTGCATAATATTTATACAAATATGTTGATGGATTATTATTGCACAGGCGCATGACGGAATTTGCTACCTTCGATATGACGACACGAATCCTGAGAAAGAGGAAGAAAGGTTTTTCAGAGGAATTCAGGAAATGGTTTCTTGGCTTGGTTAGACTTAACGTTTATTGTCAATACGAGTTTTCTTTGCTATATATACAAATGATGTTTGTAATAATGTATGACAGATTACAGTTTTATGGACATAAAGGTATTTGGTGAATGATCGTATACATTTTAGGTTTCAAGCCGTACAAAATTACTCACGCTTCTGACAATTTTGACAAACTCTACGATTTCGCTGTTGAGCTGATTAAAAGGTAAAATGTATTTTTGTATATTTAATGTTATTCTCGTTTTTGATTTGTCAGAAAGCACCGAATAGCTCTCGATGTTTTAAACTGCACTTTTAAACACTTGAACAAGTGCCGACCAAGTTATGGTAAAGCCTATTTACCTTTAATCAAACAATCTTAGTTGATCAAAGCGATAGCCGAATATATAGAATATTTATATTCATTCTTAATAGTGAGAGTACAGTTTTTATACAGTACCAATAGATGAAGAAGGCATGTTATCCATGTATCCCCAGTACCTTCATCTTTGCCTTTCATTCATAGTAATTGCACATCATTTAGCTTCCATTATTAGCTTTATCGATTCCAGAAGAAAAAACTAACTGGCGTGTAGAACAAACAAATATTCTGTTTCAGAAATTTGAACTGATTTTAATGCGAAGGCGGCTGTTGTATTCCTTCAACCGTAAAGTAATCGAAAATTAGCATTGTTGGCTGCCATTTTACAATAACGCTTTCTTCCAGAAACAAAGCATATGTTTGTCATCAACAATACGAAGAAATCAAAGGTCGTAATCCACCTCCCAGTCCATGGAGGGATCGCCCCATTGAGGAATCATTGCGATTGTTTGAAGACATGAAAAATGGGAAGATTGACGAAGGAGAGGTACGAATTTCCTGTTAATGTAACTTTGTCACATGACTATGGTGGTTGTAATTCATTATCTACAGAACTTAGGTGTGCTATGCTGAATGATGTTGTAATGAATATTTTACCTCAAAACTTGAAATATTTTTCTGCTTAGGCGACACTTCGTATGAAGTTTATTATGGATGATGGGAAGGTTGACCCTGTTGCTTATCGTATAAAGTTCACTCCGCATCCGCAGTCAGGAGATAAATGGTAAGTCAATAAATGAAGATACTGACACAGTGCTGAAAAATTGTTTCCTTGCTTGATGGCACATTGCTGTCTTACTTGATGGCACAGTGCTACCTGATTTGGTGGTACATTTCTGCTTTACTTGGTGGCACAATGCTGTGCCTGATTTGGTGGTACATTTCTGCTTTATTTGGTGGTACAGTGCTACCTGACTTGGTGGTACAGTGCTACCTGACTTGGTGGTACAGTGCTGCTTTACTTGGTGGTACAGTGCTGCTTTGCTTGGTGGTGCACTGGTGTATTACTTGATGGCACAATGCTGCCTTACTTGGGGGTACTGTGCTGCCTTACTTTATGGCCCAATGCTGCCTTACTTGGGGGTAGTACAGCCCTATGTGGTGGCTGCCGACAGTATAACCCTATGTGGTGGCTGCCGTCAGTACAGCCCTATGTGGTGGCTGCCTCTTTTGTTCAGGCGTTTACTGTCGTATTTGCAGGTGCATTTATCCGACGTACGATTTTACTCATTGCATCTGTGACTCAATTGAAAACATCACACATTCATTGTGTACAAAGGAATTTCAAAATAGGTATGTTGTTTTTATAAAGATTTCTTCAAATTATAAAAAGTGAAAGATTTACTGCCTACAAAAAGATTTAATGCATAAGAAGACCATGTCTCCCCACATCAGCTCTGTTTGAATTCATTTTTCGTAGGCGGTCGGCGTATTACTGGTTGAATAACTCACTTGATATTTATTGTCCCGTTCAATGGGAATATGGTCGACTAAACATGAACTATTCTGTCGTCTCGAAACGCAAGATTGCCAAACTCATCAGTGAAGGAATAGTCAAGTAAGGAAAAGTCATTAATCTATGGCTGCAGGTTGTTTGAGATTGTATGGGTGTTGTATAGGGATTGTAGGCAATGGAATTTTCATATTTTCTCGTTCTATGTTTCTCTCAGGGACTGGGACGACCCCAGATTATTCACATTAACTGCGTTACGTCGTCGAGGTTTCCCCCCTGAGGCTGTAAACATGTTTTGCTCTAAGGTTGGAGAAAAATTAAAAAATACTGGAGGATTGCAATGTGATCATGTAGTATTGATATTATTCTAAGTTCAATTATTTATTTTTAAGGTTGGTGTTACCATGGCACAGGTGACTATCGATCCAGAGATGTTAGAATCCTGTGTTCGAGATGTTCTCAATAACACAGCTGTCAGGTTGGCTTTGTTTTTTTTTGAGTCTTCATAAAACTTCGTAGAAGAGTTTTTCAAAGTCAAAGATTCAAAACTATAACAACATTTTACCTTTCAACACGATTGCATGAGAGCAATTCATGTGTGAAATAATATTTAGAGGAGTTTATAAAAAACAGCTTGTTGGGAGAATATGTTAGCGTTTTATTTAGATATTTAAACTTCGAATGAATTGAATATAATTGGTTTTATTCTACCTCATTCTCTGCTTATATCCGTTTATTGAATGCTTTATGAATTTATCTTACATAAAGTATTTCGTTTTAGAGTCATGGCAGTGCTTGATCCAATAAAAGTTACTATTCTAAATTTTCCTTCCGACAAGGTAAGATCACTTTTGTTATCTCCACATTATACAGCACAAAGGAAAATTTCCCTATTAACGATTTGGATTTATGTCTTTATCCAGGCTAATATTATATATTATTTCAGCCAATACAGATCACGGTGCCAAATATCCCTCACGATGATACACAGGGATCCCATCAGGTTCCCCTTGATCGTGTCCTCTATATTGATCGTTCAGATTTTAAAGAGGTCTTTTTTTATGAAACTGAAATTTATAACTTTATACTTATGTCAGTTTTTAACCTTGCATCTTGTCCATTTGTGTATCAGCTCAACGAGAAGGGCTATAAAAGACTAAGTATCGATCAGAGTGTTGGATTACGTCATGCAGGTTACGTCATCTCTGTAAAAGAAGTCGTAAAGGTACTGGGAACTAGAAATCTGATTGAACCTATGAATATGTATATACATGCTGATTGTTTCATGTAATATGCACCGAATTTGATGACTTCGTGATCTGTTCCCTTTTGGATTCAAATTTCATTTTACTCTAATTCAGAAAAAAATATTTTTGTACTACGGTGTGCTTCTGTGTTATAGGATGCAAAAGATAATGTTATAGAATTAAAGACGACTTGTGAAAGCGTTTCGAAAGCGGCAAAACCGAAAGGTTTTATTCATTGGGTTTCAATACCGTTATCATGCGAAATACGGATTTATGAACGATTGTAAGTAATCTTTAATTAAACTTCTTTAGATCAATGACATTGTCTTTGCTGAACAAAATTATATGATTTGAACCAAACTGCCATTGCTTCAGCAAACATATTGCCTTAGCCAAACCATCTTAGCTTGACTAGGTTTCTTCTGTTTAAAGGTTCAAACACAAGTTTCCGGAGGATCCGGCTGTTGTTCCAGGTGGATTTTTATCAGACTGTAATAAGGTACCATTGTATATTTTCTAAATGTTGCATTTTTTTACAATTGTCGGACATCTTTAACGTTCGATCTTTTTAGGATTCATTAAAAGTCATTTCAAATGCTCTTGTTGACGTAACTGTTCGAGATGCTCCAGTTATGACAAAATATCAATTTGAGCGAGTTGGATTCTTCTGCATCGACACAGATAGCACTAATAGCAAGGTATATGTGGGGGGGGGTGGTGGTGGGTGGCTGTGTGTCCTTAGTTGATCTATGGGATTTAAATGAAAGTTTACTAAATAAAGAAGTCTAGTAGAATCTTTAGACTAGCAGAAATTTTACTGCAGACTTGACCAAGCTGAGTTTATTTACACAGATTCGCTTTATCTTTTGAAAACTATTCATTGAGCGATATGATTTTCTTTATTGATGTCGTTGCATTGCGCTAGTAAATCTAATCAAAACTAGTTCGCACGAAACAGTTGAGTTGTGCTTTTATATTGTTGTTCCAGTTCATTTGTATACTTCATGTTGTGCTTTTATATTGTTGTTCCAGTTCATTTGTATACTTCATGTTGTGCTTTTATATTGTTGTTCCAGTTCATTTGTATACTTCATGCTGTGCTTTTATATTGTTGTTCCAGTTCGTTTGTATAATTCATAGTCATTTACTTTTTCATGTGAACTAATCAATTGTAATTGCGTTTATTTCATATGTTTTACTTGTAGATAATTTTTAATCGCACAATTCCTTTGAAAGAAGATTCTGGCAAGAGTTAGTAAAAGCTTGGTTGAGAAAAAAAAAATTCAAATCAAGCAAATGTATTGATAATGCAACTTTTTCCAATTGAAGTAATTTGTAAATGTCATATTTTCTTAGCCCAAATCATGCAATGAAATCAGCACGTTTGCATAATTCTTGTATTTTTATTCATCGAATCTACGTAAACTGGTGATTTTATATTTTCTACAAGATTTTAGTCCCAGTTCTTAATTTTTATTGCACCAAAAGCCATGCCCGCACGACTTTCTCGCCTTTTGCTTCTCAAAAGTAGATTTTATAACTGGTAAATCTTCTTGGTCTTCAAAAATGTCTTGAGTGACTTCGTTATCGTACTCAGTCTCCATCTCATCACAATGAGCCAATGAAAAGAAAAGAATGCACACGAGGCCACACGCAATAAGGAATCTCATTTTTCTGAAAGAGCATTGCCACTTATGAATAACTGTATTAGAAAGCATTAGAGTCGTTATGATTGGATTTATGATTTGACTTCATCTAACTTTTGTCGCTTTTGACTTTCATTCATAGGAAATATTTCATGACTTTAAATGATTCATATCGGTGGCTTTCATTATTTACATCGTTTCTGGTCAAATTTTCGTTAAAACATCGCTTCTAATCAAAAACTACGATGTTATAGACTACTAGACTTTAAAAAAACACACAACAATAGTTAATACGTTGTTGTCCGTTGACTAAATAATCTCTGTTGCATGCTACGAGAACGCCCGGATCTACAATTCCGTTTTTAAAAATGTAACATACCTTTTTTTGCCTGTTTGTTTTCTTCTTTATCTCTCCTTGCAAAGCAGTTGAAGGTATCAGTTTAATGAAACAGAGGATACTTGCCCTTTTTATATACTCACTGACAATTGTCATTGTTTTGAAGACAAATATTTCTTAACACTACAATATTTAGCCGATGTTTACATTCAATTATTATCATTCAAGTATAATTTTAGAAATTGCCCAAAATAGATTTTTGTGGAACTTTTTTGTTGTCTCTATTAATTAATTGTGTACATTTTTTTTATAAAGCAATTGCTTTCATGTAAATATGATCTAAAATTATTTTAACTTTTATGAAACTTGTGTGCGTCGATGTTTTAACTCGTGGGATAGTTCAATTATAGCAAGGCTCTTTATACTCTACAGCTTTATCTGAGCGATCTTTCTTAGAGATCGAAGAAAGGATCATCTGTTTTTGATATAATGTTGTTGTGCGCTTTTTGAAATAGCAGCGAAACGTATCAAATCTGGACGAACTTTATTCTTGTAGATGTATGTTTTATTTAACTTTGCCAATAACTTGTTACATACAAAGAACATACACACATGCTCAAAGACAGATAACTTGTTACAGCCTTCACCATATGGCTTTCTCTTCTATGATAATACGTCACAAATACCACTAACAACACGATAGTCGATTAGCTTATTAGGAGACCCGTTACTGGACAAACACATAGATATTATACGGAGGCTGGTCGCACGAAGCCAGGATAGGTTTATCCATTTGATGGTAAAATTTTCACTGTTTAAAATTAGTCCTAACTATTCTTGTTAGTATATAGACTACATAGACCTTGCGAATGGCTCAAATCATTCCTTCTACTAATCCACTGTGCAAACATCATCACAAACGTAATCATCTAAATATTTTTTGTGTGTTGCATTTGAGCGCTGGCGTTAAAAATAATTTAGATGCACTTGATGTATTTACAATAAAAAAAAAGTGAAAACAACAGTTGTAAGACAAAATCAATGTTAGTATTGCACCAATTTGTGGAGAGAAAACAATTGTAAGAGTCAAATAACTATTTTAGTCTGTAACCTGAGAATCAGTGGGCGAATCGGGCTATTTTTAAATTGAGAAAATTTTACAATTCTATAGTAAATTTTGCAATGAAGTTTGTGCGGCCCTAAAACGAGGACATGATATTTCCATGGGAAAAGGCATTTTCTTAGTAGAAGTCAATTTGTGAATCTCGGTAAATTATTTAATCTAACGAATAATGTCTCATGAAGAGATGCCTGCTGCCAACTATGTTTCGACTTTATTACTTCTACCCTCATATAACCCATTTCTACGCTCTTACCTCCCTACCCACTATAGCTTTATCCTCTACCCAATGCCCATCCACGATTTCCCTCTGCACCCTCAACCACTGTATATGTTATCCGAGAAGCAAATTCAGTCAGCTTTTATTTAAATTCACTTAAAAGATTAAAATTTGCTTAGTTTTAAAATTGACTGTGATTTGCTACCTTTCTGCTTCATGATACATACATAGGTTTAGGGCTGTTATGGAGTTAGCCATTATGTATCCTAAAAATGTGTTTATTTTTTAAGGTCTCCCTTATCCTTAGTTTATATTTCAAAACTGTGCGTATTGAATGTTGCTTGTATTTTAAAGTTTGAAAGTTTTGTCAGAAAAAAATACACACGAAAAAACTTAATCTTTTTCTCGATATAAAATGCTAGTCCAGTAACTTTATATATCAGTAGAGTTGCTTGTGCGGAGACTGGGTGAGAATGGCAAAGTTGAGTTGATGTGGATGTGGTTACGAAACGAAGATGAGTAGAAAAATCATAAATGTTTGTCGTTTTCGAATGGTGAATTTAACGTAAGTCATGTCGTGGAGTTCATTACCGCTTGTTGAGGTACTTTTTGAAATTTTCATGGAATATCTTATGACGGTGATTCAAATTCTTGGCGTTTAATCATAGCGCAATCCAATGTATTGTTTTATAAATTTCCTAGATGGATGGGTCTGATATGGATAATCGAGTGAGGGAGACGAGCAGGTAAGAGTTGTACGATTTATATCCACGTTCATCGATAACTTGAGTTACTATAGATTGTCTGACTTTGCTTTAGACTATCATGAACTGTTCGAGTAACTAGACCTTGTATGTCTTTATCTCGAAGATTAAGTTGAGGAAATTAAAGGTTGTAGACTTTACAGTCAATTGTTAATAAGTAGTGAAAGTTATTTGAGCCAGCTATGGCTGTAAAGTATTTAAGTTTAAAGAGGCAGAGCAACAAAGTATGTAGTGTGATGGACTAGGGCTTTGATAGTCTAAGGTAAGATTTGATTGTTTTGTATCCTAAGGTAACTATATCAAATGTTTTGTGCCCTATATGTGTGAGCAAGTTGCATCACTTCATATAATTTGGACAAAGTCTTGCCTGCTTTACATCTGTAAAATAAACTACTATTCTAAAATACATTATGTAGTGTATGAGAAAAAAGTTCACTAGAATTGCCTCAAAATAATGGTTGGTCAACAAAAAATTACAAGTCAAAAATTGTTTTACAAAAGCACTATATTATGACAATGTATGCAACATAGCTTTGGAGCGCATAAAAGTCCAAACTCGAGAGCCTGTCGTCTCAAAAAGACTTTTTCATTATTTTGTGCAAGTTGTGTAACCGGTCAAAGGCTGACATAGACTGAGCTAAACTGAAGCTCGTCGGTCACCTTGACCATACTTATATCTGTCATAATTTTGAGCCTCGATAAGAATAGATCAGACTTTATTTGTTATCACTTCTTGAAACAAGTGAAACAATGTGTTTTGTGGATTTTTCACTGCTTTAAATGAAGATATAGTCCATACTATAGCTGTGTAACATAGATTACCCGAGGTCATTTTTTGAGGTTTTTATCTATGAGCAAACAGAAAAGTAAACTTTTGCCAATCACTTCAAGAGTACCTTGGGGCACACTACATTTACTTCTACAACCAAATATGATCATTTACATGCTTAAATTGTGTTTCATATAATATTTATTTTAAATTGTCAACCTTTGTTTAATCATTTTTGAAACCAGTCTTCCCAGTAACTCTTACAGCTTTGTTTCACTTGATTTGTTGGCAGATGGCACAACCAAGATGATATTGATGGTATTGAAAAAGATATTGGTGAACAACTTAGTGCATTTAGGGATCAGAGTAGAAGCAACCGGGATGATGAAAGGCATAAAAGTACAACCAGAGCTGAGATTGACGAGTTTGGGCGTGATGCCAACCGGAAGCCATTTGATCGTAATTTTGGTAGTTCTCCTGAGCGAAGGAATTCCCCGAGACGTAGAGAGAGAAGTCCCAGTCCACGTCGTGGAAGAGATGGTGATTATGATGATTGGGACACGCCTTATACACGTGATAATGATAAAGGACGTAGTGAGAACCGTTATCAGGATCGTTCTCCACGTGGTTCTGATCGATATAGGGATAGAAGGGGTGATGATTATAGAGGAAGGGACTATCGTGTTGATAGAGATCGCTGGGAACGTGATGACAGGGATTACAGGGGACGTGATGCAAGAGATATGTGGGACGAGAGGGACTATAAGGATCGTGATGCAAGAAGTCGTTGGTATGATAGAGATTACAGAGATCGTGATGCGAAGGATCGTTGGGATGATAGATATTACAAAGATAGGAATGCGAGAGATCGCTGGGATCATGATGATAGAGAATGGAAGCATGATCGCTTTGAAGAGGATGAAAGAAGACGGAGTGGTCGTGACAGAGATAATGTAAGATGGTGAAGTAAAGATTTGGAATTACGGTCTTTTGCTACGATTAATGAAACGATGATTTTATGACGTAGAATGAACGATGGTCCGAACGTAGATCTCAAGACCGCTATGTTAGAGATTATGGACATCGTAGAGATTATAGAGAAGATCCAAGCGAGATTGTGATGTTGAAAGGCTTGCCAGCAACAATTGAAGATACACAGGTATATGTTTTACTTTATATACGTACTGCAGTAGTTTCATTCATTGATGCGTGTTTTTTATTGGTAGCTAATGACATTGGTAAATATTTTTTGCACACTGTAACAAAGAGCACTTATACATTCCATGTATTCTTAAGCATTGATAAATGTTTGTTTCCGAGATGTGATTGTATTTGTAGAAAATCCCTCGATCACTTGTGATTATTAAATTTTATTGTAAAAATTTAAAATATTAGATTCTATTCCAACATTAAATGATGCTAGGGAACCTGATAATCCTTGTTTGTCATTAAGCCCATGGATTGTTTGCTCGTCATACATGAGAAACAGTAAATGAGAGAGTCAAATCATACCAATAAAAATTGTATAAAACATGTTTAAGGTTGTCTTGAATTATAAGTGTCAGAAAAAGATTGAAGTTATTTGAAAGATTGTAGTATCATGATGATGGAGTATCCTTGGTTTATAAAACGAAATTTTATAAAAGAAAATCTTAGAACTCTTATAAAACAAAAAGATAAAATTCGAAAGTAAAAAACCCCGTTTTCGGGCCATGCTTCCCGATACCTTCTTAAGCGCAAGGCACTAGAACGCCGCATGTTAACGTTTCGGTAGGAGATTTCGGCCCCTCCACGCTATCCTACTTGGGAGATGCAATAGTAAGCTTCCGCCCATCAGACCCCGAGATCACCTGCGATAGGCTTTGCTCAGGGTACGCAGGGAGAGTGCGGTCGCCACCAAAGTGTGGGCCCCTAAGCCACTGCATACTATATCGCACCCAGCTTCCACTGCTAGTTGACATCTACTATACCTAGTCTTGGCTTTATATATATATATATGCAAAATTTCGAAGGCGTACGAAAGTTGTGGTATTATCAATGTCACTACTGCGCATGCCCAGATTTTTTCTGTGTTAATTTGTGACTAAGTGAGCTAATGCCACAAATGTAATGCAAGTACATATAGTTAGTCGTTACCATGACTATGAACAATTAGTCAAGTGGACTAAGCATGCTATTTAGTTCAAAATCGGTTCTAGTAGATGCAATTGGTCGTTGCCATGACCATGAACTTGTGCCGCTGGTCAACTGCGCATGCTCAAGCAGACTGCGCATGCGCATATAATTTATCTAAAAATTTCCGACTTAGTGAGCTAAATGCCAGAAAAGTAGTGCAAGTACATCTAGTTATTCGTTGCCATGTTTATGGACAATTAGTCAAGTGGATTGCGCTTGCTCAAGCGCATGCGTAGATGAATTTTAGAATAATTGGTGTCTAAGCGATTTATTTACCCTAGAATTAACGCTATTAGATCCAGTTGGTCGTTGCAATGACTGTGAACTCAAAAAATTTGGTCAAATCCTATTGCGCATGCTGGAGCAGACTGCGCATGCGCTGATAGTTTCTGTAGTAAATTATATCTATTACATCCAATTAGTCGTTATCATGACCATAAACTAATAAACGAGCTGCACTTGGTCTAGCCAATTGCACATACTCATATGATTTCATAATAATTGCCACAACTATAGACGATTTTTTCACTAAATGTTTATGACTTAGTGAGGTAATCGCTCTCAGAGCCGTGCTAAGAGATCCAGTTGGTTGGTATGAACACATAAGTTAGTCAGGTAGATTGCGCAAGTATTCGGTCATTTATTATAGGCATGCTGTGTGTCGTCTTCGGCTTGCTTCTACAAATACGTTTTCAAACTTGTTACGTCAATGACCATTATCTGTTTGGTGTTCCCCCACCATACCTAAATACAAAGTAGGCAATACACATCAGCAATAGACTTTACATTGAATACATAAAGAAAATAACTTACGTGTAAATCGTGGACAACAAGATAACATGTGGTTATTTAGGCTATAGCTTCTGATAAGTTTTATAAAAAAATTTTTGCTTGCCATTAAGTCAATGAATGTTTGCCTCATTATACACGAGTCAAAATTATACGGAAGTTAATGGAGAAATGAAATAAATATATGAAATATTTTATGGTTGATTCAAATTAGTTCGAGTAAAAATGTTTGTTTGTTTGAAACTTTTCATTATTTTGGGACCCTTTTTTCTTTTGTAATAATATCTTTTTCAATAAATTTTCAGATCCACGAAATCCTTGCGGAGACCAAACTTCCTTACAAGGACGTTCGATGTGTGAAGAATCGTGAAGGTATGTTGAATGCAAGCTAAAATCCTCGAAAAGCCGTGTTTTATGAAGTTGTTTTTTTATCACAGCCTATATTTGCTTCATTTGTAGTTTACCATAATCACAAATGCATCACTTCACATATTTTCGACTCATGTCCTTGATTATGGATATAGTTATAGAAGTCAATCCTAAGAGATCAGAGATAATCGCACTGGAGTGACACATTATCCCAGTTCTATATGCATTCACGCTACCTTATAGCTATATTAAATCAAGATATGATATACACAGCAGTGTACATAAGTTCAATTTCTTTGTTAAATTGTGTTGAAATTCATGTTCAATTTCTTAGCATTCAATTTCAAACATTAGGTCAATCCAGAGGCTTTGCATTCGTTGAATTTCTTGACGTTTCAACTGCTAAACAATGGATAGAGGACTGTAAGGTATGGCTTTGAACTTACATGTACACCCCCATATTACTCTGTATAGTACGGTTTTATAAACACTGTGATATAGCTGATATGTATGTTTTTAAATGCTTTTAGGGCAAGTTAAACATTGACGGTTCAAATGTGTACATGGATTTCAGTCGATCAAAGATGTCAGTCGAGTCTCATCGAGATTGGGTTTGTAGCAAGGTAAATATTTTTTTAAAAAAATCTTTATCGAGAACATCTCTGTTTTAACCATGTGTACATACAACATCTGCAGTGACGCTGTCGTTTTACTTGATACTTTTTTCCAGTGTGGCACTCAAAATTTTTCTTCCAAGAGAAGGAGTTCGTGTTTTTCTTGCAGTGCTCCTAAAGATGGTGTGCGATTTGAGCCCTTGAAATTTACGTAAAATACTTTAACTGCTCTTTGTTTATCATTTGTCTTTGTTTATTGTATTATTGTAGAGAATGATGAAATGAAAGAAATGGGAACAATTCCTTGTAAAGGTAAACAATTCCTTGTAAAGTTTATGCCGTTCTAGAAAATGCTTTGCCATTTCTTCCATCCTCTTTGTATGCCTCAAAGATTCGTCAAGGTAATTTGTTTCATTTCATGGTCTATCGTCATTTTTACAGAACATTTCTTGTCTTTGTTTTTCCCTATCTTTTCCTTCGTATTGCGCGCTTAATTTATAAGTTCGTCAAAGTTCTGTTTGGTTGATGTGTACTGGAACTTGATTGGGCGGAAGTACGCTAGTGTACGAGCGTTTGCGAAAGCGGAATGTTTTTGATTGAATGCAGTGTCATCATAAACGTTGTATACTGTATTTTACTATATAGTTCTCATACTTCGAGGCCTGGACATTCTCACGACTGAAGAGACGGTATGTAGCGTATGCTGATCACGTGTTGATCGCAAGATGTTCAACTGTTCAGCACTCTTTGAAAACGTGCTTTTCACACCGTTCAGCATGCATCGTTTGCGTGTTGGTATCGTGGCGTGAACGTGTCAAACTCTCATTTATGATGTGGTTTATATAAAAAGAACATTGCGCCAATTCTGTATGACATATTTTTTATAAGGACAGTGTTTAGTAATGTGTTGTTATCTAGGAACATGATAGTTTTAAATTTTAAGTTATGCAGCATCCCTACATAGTATTTTCATGGAGACATAAGGTTACTCACGTTTTATAAAATACAACAAATTCCGCTAATCATTAAATATATGGATGAGTTCTGGAGCGTTGTTCGCATCGTCAGAAGCGAGGCCAAAACTGTCGCGAGAAGATGTAAACGGGGTAACGGATCACTCCATTACGTCATCTTTAATTTCTCTTATTTTGTTTTCAGATCCGTCAGTCATTGGCTACGTTTACAACCACGCCCATCTTCGACGTCAGACTCATCAAGGATAAACTCACCGGGACTTCACGAGGATTTTGTTTCGTCGAATTGGGCTCTGTAGAGGTATAATTACTGAATGAATCTAGTAAGAATCATCTCTTCACTTTACTTATTCATTCTGGATAAAACCGACGGTTTTAAACCAACTATTTATAATTTTGTATTGATCAAATGCCCTTACATGTAGAAACTAAGAAAATCTTGTGTTAGCCATATTGCTAATTAAATGAATCCATCATGTTTAGGAAGCAACTCAACTCAAAGACGACCTTCAAACATCCTCTTTTAAGATAGATGAGAAGTTGCTATTTGTCTCTTTCGCTAAGTTTGGTGCAAATCCCTCAAAGACGGGGTGAAGTTTTGGATTTGATGATCGTGATTTCATATATAAACTATTAAACAAATTTTACTAACCCTCTGTTCTATATTTAGAACGTCAGCAGGTACTTCATTCACTACTACAACTTCTGTCAGTGACACAAAATCAAAGTCCTCCAACCAAGCAAGATCTAATGTTGCTGCCAATGCGATTGCGCAGGCTCGTGCTGCTGCGCAAATGAGTTACACCGCTGACAAACAGTATACTGAAGGCTCGATGGACTTCTATTCGACTGCAGATGTAAGATTGTTATCATTATAATGTAAACTGTTTAAACTGTCAACCTGTAACTTGATTGTGATTTGACAATATTTCCACTTACCACTTTTTTTAATATTTTTTTTAAGGTGCGAGTGTCGACAACAGGTAGATTAAATTATTAAATTGTGACATGACTGATAGTTCTGTCCTTCAGTACCAACGATAAAATCATAAATATTTGATTGGTAACTATAGAGAGGGAAATTCTCCCTTATTTTCAGCGATAAGACAATAAACATTGATTGAAGTTACGGAGAAGTTCTCTTTCATCACCAACGATAATAGAAACCAAAAAAATATGTTTCAGCCTAAATTGTTTATTGTTAAAATGATCACCAAGTCGTTCAACATGAATATCCTGATCTCGCGTTGTTTCTAGATTCCATTGAAAAGGAGAAGTCCTCGGATACTTCGGACACAAACACAGCCCAAAAAACGGCAACAACTCAGGCAGTTTCGTCATACGTTTACGATGCAACTAGTGGTTATTATTATGATACGACCACTGGTTTATATTACGATCCAAATTCACAGGTACATACTTATGGAGTATGGAAAATAATATGGTATGGTCTCAATCAAACATTGTCTGAAGGAGAAACATAAACGATAAACCTTACACTACTTAAAATGTAAACTTAGATGACGTAGTAAAAGTTGGGGGGAATAAACAAAGGGAAACCGGAGTAGTTGGTACTGTCTGGAAATATCTTATAGATGACGTGAAATGATTCTCTACACTTTTTAAGATATAAACTAATAATGATTAGAAAACAGATAACGAGTACTGTCTTTCATAATAAGAATGATTTTATTGTTTTTCTACACAGTATTATTACAACAGCGCCACACAACAGTACATGTATTGGGATGCTGGAACACAACAGTATGTTACTGTTGTTTCTTCTGGTAACACAAGGTAATGTGAATGTTGCTTGAGGTAATTAGTTATTCTTACCTGTTCTAATAAAGTTGTTTTGATTTTATAGCGATTTAACATCGGGTGCTGAGAATGCGGCTAGCAAAGGTGACATTTGTGTTAACATGACACTTGCTTACAATACTCATTTATTTTTATTCTATTTTGAAAACATCTATTGACAACATCTCTATTGACAACATCTCTATTGACAACATCTCTATTGACAACATCTCTATTGACAACATCTCTATTGACAACATCTCTATTGAAAACATCTCTATTGACAACATCTCTATTGATAACATTTACTTTTCTATTGACAACACAACGTCTCTATTGACAACATTGACAATATCTATTGATAGCATTTCTATTTACAATATTTCTATTGACAACGTTTCTTTCGACAACGTCTCTATTGACAACGTCTCTATTGACAACATCTCTATTGATAGCATTTCTATTTACAATATTTCTATTGACAACATTTCTTTCGACAACGTCTCTATTGACAACATCTCTATTGACAACATCTCTATTGACAACATCTCTATTGATAGCATTTCTATTTACAATATTTCTATTGACAACGTTTCTTTCGACAACGTCTCTATTGACAACATCTCTATTGACAACATCTCTATTGACAACATCTCTATTGACAACATCTCTATTGATAGCATTTCTATTTACAATATTTCTATTGACAACGTTTCTTTCGACAACGTCTCTATTGACAACGTCTCCATTGACAATATCTTTATTGACGACATCTCTATTGAAAATTGAGCAAATGAAATATTAATGATTTTAGAGAAGCAAAAAAAGGCAAAAAGTTTAAATGCTAAAAAGGTTAGCTCGTGAGCCTATCTTCTAGTGCAAAACAAACGTTTTAAAGAAAAGGAATATGATCTTTAGATTGCAAAAGACATGGAACGATGGGCGAAAAAGCAAGCGAAAAACAAGGAAGTTTCTCGTCCACAGATCACAACAGCACAAGATACAACAAAAGATAAGATATATCAATACGACCCGAGCGATCTTAAGGTAAAAGTGGATAAATGTTAAGTGGAACAAATTGCATTGATTCTCGCTAATTGAAAATCGTGCCGTGTTTTTGAGTTGCTTAGTATTAATTAGCAGCATTGTGCGTCACCGTTATACAAATCAACTTTCGATGATATAATGAAGCTCGGTACACACGAAATACACTTGGCAACTGAAACTCTTTAGTTTCTTTGTTTTATTTGCAGAGCGGCATAAAGATGGCAATTAGTGGATCAACCAACGTCACCACATTGACAACTTCGAGTCCACTGGCTGTATTATCTGAACTGGATGGTCCCACCAGTGTTTCTGAGCCGACAGGTGGGTGATTTATTTGGTACAAATGAAGCATCTTGGTCATATGTTCAACGTATAGTGTACTCCTCATAAGTTTTTGATATGGCTTTCAAAACACAACGTCTAATCTTTTTAACGAAGAGATTTTAGATATTCCTACGCGAATGAGAACCAGAACAACTTTTTAATGCTTTATGAAAACTAAATTGCTTCATTTTTATTGGAACAACTCGTTCTAGTGGTTATTCTCGTAGTTGTTCACTTCAGATATCCATATTTCTTATGTCTATCTTCATTAATCAACATACATTAAACTTACTAATGTCTATCTTCATTAATCAACATACATTAAACTTACTAATGTCTATCTTCATTAATCAACATACATTAAACTTACTAATGTCTATCTTCATTAATCAACATACATTAAACTTACTAATGTCTATCTTCATTAATCAACATACATTAAACTTACTAATTTCTATCTTCATTAATCAACATACATTAAACTTACTAATTTCTATCTTCATTAATCAACATATATAAAATTTACTACTTTCTATCTTCATTAATCAACATACATAAAATTTACTAATGTCTTTCTTCAGAAGCAGCAGTAATCAACCTGACTAAGGTCTTTCATTACAAAGCAATAGTAATCCAACTTGCCAATATTCATCTTCAGAAAGCAACAGCACTAAAACGTTTTGCCTTTTTTATCTATAGAAAGCAGCACTAAACTTGTGGCGGAGTATGAAAATGACGATTCGCCTGGTGAAGATGAAACGGAGGAAAATTACACTGATTTTACCAAGTTGGCATGTTTATTGTGCAAACGACAGTTTCCATCTAAAGAAATGCTGACAAAACACACCCAACTTTCGGATCTTCATAAGGTAAGCGAATATTTTATATATGCATCGATGACCATCACGGTAGATGAAAACTACAAAAAATTGTCAATTGCTGAAACTAATTTCAACGTGCAAACGTTTTATTATTGATTTTTGTGCTATTTAGGTTATCATCAAATCACGTATTTGATGCGCTTAAGTTCAAATCTTCAAGTGGTTTATGATAAATAATGAAATCTACACACATTCATTCGTGATAATGTTGGCGAAATGCTGTATTTAAATGCTTGAGCGAAGAATTAACACAACTCATGATTGTCATCTTTATTTCAGCAAAATTTAATGGTTCAGAAAAAGTTAAAAATGTCATTTTCCGAAATTAACGAATATGAAAAGCAACAAAGAGAGGTTTGTGCACTTCAATGAGAAAAAAATTGAATTAGACCTTAATTGCTTTTGTGCATCAATGTGAACGTTGAAGAACATGCTTTTGTAATTTTTCAGGCAAAATATCGCGATCGTGCTAAAGAAAGGAGGGAGTTATTTGGACAGCCTGATTCTGCCCCTTCTGGAAAGAAGAAGAGGAAAGGGAAAATGTAATTATCTTTTCACAAAATACCACGATGTGCACTACGGGTGTTTCGTGGAAGATATAAAACACTGAAATTCGAAAGAAATTAGGATTGTCATTAGCAGTTGATTCCTATATGTTTTATATTACAACTTATCTTGGTTTGCTCGCTAGATTCATTGTCTATACGTTTTACGTTTTATAATTTTTTTTACAAATCATGCATATCGTATTATCTAATGGTTCAAGCGGTATGGTTTTAAAAAACAGAGTTTTCCATTATTCAGCTGTAATATCGTATAGGACTTGCTTACATTTCATGGCGAATCCGTTAACACGACTGGTGACGGTTTTCATTATGACATTTCTTTCAACGTTTAAGTTTGTGTTTAACAATTTCAATGAATTTTTGTCGAATTAGTTCTCGCTGTCTTTCTCAGGGTTTATGAGCAGCCGACAAAAAATGGTATCCAAGAGGACAATATCGGAAACAAAATGCTTCAGGCGATGGGTTGGACTGTCGGAACGGGTCTTGGTAAAGATCGACAAGGAATCGTTGATCCTATTTTGGTAAGACATTCGACAATATATTGCTCATATAAATGACTTCAGCAAAGCGTGCATCGGACGGAAGGTATCTTAAAATTTTTCTCTTGTGCTTAGTTCTTTTATGTATTCCTCGGTTAGGTGTGTCTGTCGCACAAATAGCAATAAATTTTAAAGTATCATTTTTAAGTTTACTCGGATTGCTCTCTAACTTCAACAAATTTATTTTCTAGGCGAAAATGCGCAATCGAACTGCAGGTCTTGGTTTGAAAGGCAGCGACTATGGAGCAACTGCTGGCGATTCCGAGAGAGATCTTTTAAAGAAAATGGTGCGTTTTCTACTTATATTGCATGGTATGAATTAAATGGAGCGCCATTTGGTTTTGAACTGAACGTTTGTTCTGTATTAGGCACAAGCTCGATACGAGAACGAATGAGTTTACATAGAAGCAAGAAAAAATACTTCTTGGTTGAAGATTGAAGATTGGAATGTACATACAAGAAAGCGATTATGAATAGATAATGCGTCACAATTCTTTGGAAATATTTTAATAAAATATATTGCCTTATCTAAGCACTGGAAGTATAATTCTTTTTACTTTTTTCTTCGTTTAAAGTCCCTGTGTTATTTATTCCTAGTTATAGAATGACAAATCAAAGATACAGAAAAATTGAAATGACTGTCCTTTTTAAGATTAAGGTAGCTTAGAAGAATCTGCAAATCTATTTCACATCAAGAGTTCCTTTACTTCGAATCTTACGGAAAACATGACAATATTCTAATAATTTGTTTGTTGAAGGAACTACGAAGTAAAAATTCCGTTTGGACGATAAAATTCTTCCTTTATGGTTGAGCTGCGACAAAAATTAGCAGGTCTCAGGGATCTTGTTATACCCTTGTTCTTCCAACCATATTCGAAGGAGCTGGTGATCGGAAATTCGTATTTATTCTCGGGAATAATAGTTTTTCTTTTCTCGAGATAAGCGTATCGTCCTCCACCGTCGGCACTAAAACCGTCATACAATAATCCCAATGTTCCACTCGATGCAGGTCTCATTTCTTTTTCATAAATTTTCGGTAAATCGCTGGGTTGGTCAGAAACCTCTTGCTTATTAATTTCTTTCGCCGGTAACTCGTTCAATTTTATTTTTAAAGCTGTTTCAAGGTTTAGCATCACCGGTTCGACGTCGATTGTTGCTTTTTTTGCTCTGCGTTTTGACAAACTCCCTAAACTCGCAAACTCTCTTGAGTATTGGGTCTGCCAGCCAGTCTAAGCATCGCTTCTTTACGAATGGTCTCTTTCCAAAAGTTCTGTCTTTGTGTGTCCATATTTAGTTCACGCACCATCTCTATGATTTGCTATCAGTTGTCCTTACGTATAATTCTTGAGAGTAAAAATACAGCAATATTTAGTAGAATATCACTTATGTTTTTAATGAAAGATCACCTACCAATCATTACTATGGCGACAGTGGAATGGGAGCCTGCATTGTTACTATGACAGCTGATATGTTTATAAAGGAAGAATTCGTGTAATCCAAATAGTCTGGTTTGTCTGGATCATATTGAGCATTGTGCTTTCAATGGTTTGGATAAATCGTGAACTGCAGAAAGTAATCATGTGTTCGATTCATCTGTTGAGTGCAGTGGTTGAATGAGGTCTCCACTCCTACAGAGTCTTGTTCTAGAAATATATCATATTGAATAGTTGAAAATTATGTAATTTGCAGGAGTTTGAGAACATATTTCAAGAATCAAGAATATACATTCTCAACCTCCAAAACAATGAAATTTTTCATCTTGATAAACCATTTTTGTAGTTTTACTAGTTTCCCATTGGTTTTCCTGCCTCGCTGGACTGTAAATTCATTTTATGCAACGCACTACCCGCTCTTATTGAAAGATTGGAAACGAGTTGTAAAGTGACCTCTCGCCCTCTCGCCTCATCCAAAATGGGAGTCAAGACTTTATGATGAAAGCAGACATTTCTTGATATCTTTTTGTTGTTTTGTTGTATTGGTAAGTAATACTGTATTTTTATGTTCCGTTTCTTTTCATTGCGCTTATTCTTTAAGGTTTTTATGTATATTAAATCATTGAATTGACCAGATTTTGCGATTGATTAGTGTTTATATGGGCAAAAATCGGATGCAACTGTGCCATTGTTTTACTTTGGGGCTGTGGGGAGCCTGTCGTTTCTCCCCACTAACTTATTTTGAACATCTAAAAATAGCGTTAGGATCTGGAATAATTTTTTTATGGGTTACTGCTGACAAACATTTCATGGTATTTGTTATAAAATTATTATAAAAATATAGTATTTATGCGTCTATTCTATTGAATGATAAAATATTGGCAAGTCACGTTTGAAATGTCACAATTCTTTGATTTAATTGTTGCCATCTCAACAGTTAGAATTATTGTGTTGAAAATATGTAATTTCTGTGAGTAGAACTGCTTTAATCACCCATCTATCTCTTTTTAGTTGTGGTGTATCAAATATTTGTCACAGTTCCAAAAGAGATCATGTTCTCAGGTAAATATACACTATTTGTCCTTTGTATTGAGATTGAGGTTTGAATGTTCAAAGAAACAGTTCTACAACTGGATTTGAATTAGTTGAGTTGGAACATTGTGTAATCATTTCACTGTATGTAATATGATTGGTCTGGTAATTCTGGTTATTTGACAGAAATGTCAACTTTAATATATGTTATGTTTCCTGAGGATAAATTGTCATGTTTTGCTGGTCCAGAAATGGCTCAAATTATGTTTTTGTTGTTTTTGCAGACTGTGAAGATGACCTGTGTATATTTGTGTGTGGAACATGCAAGCAATACTTCACAAAACTCTCTGATTTTTCTCAGCACAAGAAAGAAAAGAGCTGTATAAAGAAAACATCTACACTGATGCAAACAGAAATTGCTCAAGAAATTAATGTATTTATATTTCAACTAATCATAAATGTTAAAACAAAGAAGCATGCTTGTGCAAGCTTCGGTGATTTTTTCAAACTGTTAATCACGAGGAATTTTGCTCAATCTGAAATGCCATTGTGGTGCTAATACAAACAACAACAACAAACAAACAACATTTGTATACCGGCCAGTATTAATCCCCGCCAGGGGGGTTGACCGGTCCATGAATTTAATGGTGCTAATGGTTATGAAAATTTCTGCGTGCTAAACTGAATTCATAGAGAAATTCATTGTAGTTTTCTTATTTCCATTCTTTAGTTGAGTGTTGATTTCAGTTGTGTAGTCAGTTCAAAGTTTCTTTAAAAGTTGACACATTGACACATTCAATTGCAGCTGCTAATATTTATATCTTTAGGAGAATGGGCAGTTTGAGATTTCAAACTACAATGGAACAGAGATGTTGAATGATTCTGAAGGTATACCAGGTTCAAAATAGAATGGTTTGACACTGTTAATGCAATTACAACAACATAGCTCATTAGCTTTCATGTAGGAATCATGTTATATTTACATCATAAGCATCCATATGGGAAATATGAGGTTATATTTTTGGATCATTTTCATCCATATGAGAAGTATGAGATTATATTTTTGGATCATTAGTATCCATATGGGACATTTGAGGTTATATTTATGGATCATAAGTATCCATATGGGACATTTGAGGTTATATTTATGGATCATAAGTATCCATATGGGACATTTGAGGTTATATTTATGGATCATAAGTATCCATATGGGACATTTGAGGTTATATTTATGGATCATAAGTATCCATATGGGACATTTGAGGTTATATTTATGGATCATAAGTATCCATATTGGAAATATGAGGTTATATTTTTGGATCATATTCATCCATATGGGAAATATGAAATTATATTTTTGGATCATAAGTATCCATATGGGACATTTGAGGTTATATTTTTGGATCATAAGTATCCATATGGGAAATATGAGGTTATATTTTTGGATCACGTTCATCCATTTGCGACATTAGAGGTTATATTTTGGATGCTAGCAGGACAATATGTTAATATTATTTAGATAATTCTCAGCGGAAATATCCTAGGAAGCAAGACAAAAAACTTATAAAAAGGACGATACGTGAACTTCAAGATGAGAAATTGTTAAGTCCTGAAGGGAAAGTAAATGTTGAGTCATTATTTATCTCACCTGCGCATAATCACCGTCCAACCCAGGACTTTATCACAACAGAACTACAACGCACGTGCAAGCATCCAGTTTACACGTGCAAAACATGTCACGCCGAGTTTCCAAACACTAATGGTCGCGTTTTCAAATGTGTTGACTGTCGACGCGGTTTTTACACTGAAGCAGACCTCAATCAACACATGTTACGCGCCAAACACAATAATCTATGTTCAGTATGCGGGAAAATATTCCCTGACAAATATAAACTTCGCAAACACGAACTTAGTCATGTCACAGAAAAGAACTTCCGTTGTGAAGAACCTGGATGTACCAAATCATTTAAAAGTGCTGAAGATGTGCGCACGCATGTTCGATACGTTCATGCCGTGGAGAAACGTTTTCATTGCACGCATTGTTCACGTGCGTTCACTCGTCTTGATAAATTTAAACTTCACATGAATACGCATGGTATCGTAATGAAGCCCGGGCCCATTTCACCGACGTCTGATGTGTTAAAGCCACCGACTTCCAATTTCCTAGCGCTAAAACCCCATCAAAGGAGGGAAGTAAAGTCACTGAAGTTGTTGAGACTGCTGACATTGAGAGCGCAGATGCTTCTTCTCATTGTTCACGTTTACATGATGCGTCTACGACCGTTACCGACGTCGCTGATCCTTCAGATCACGTGAAAGATGTATCTGCAGTGTCATTTGATAATTCTGTCGACTCAAGGGACAGGTAGGTTTAACTGTGAACGTTGAAGGGTGTAGGAAGAGTGCGAATTTTAATCTCATTCAAACTTTGGATTTTATTATTGTTAGTTAATATCTGTTACTTATACTTGGAATTCTTCTTTACTCCTAGTGTCCTAGGAAATCTAACCAATGCAGAGAACGGTGAACTTTTAAACTCGAGTTTGGTATTACCAACCGAGTCGACATACAAGTGTGAAAAATGTCATACTAGTTACCAGAACTCGGTTGAGTTTTCAGCGCACGAGGAGCGGCGTGCAGATCACGTGTTGCGTTGTGACCAATGCTCTGGGAAGTTCCTTAGTTTCTGTGAATTGCGCTCGCACATACGTGCGGAGCATGGTAACGAGTCTATTCTTCGCGTCCAGTCAAAGCCTGCACAACCTCCTGGGAAAAAAGAGAAGAAGCATTTCTGTGAGGAGTGTGGAAAAGGATTTACACGTGCAGATAAATTAAAGCGTCACTCAATTATTCATTCTCCCAACAGACCGTGTATTCCTTGTATATGTAAGGATAGTCATGGATGTGACAGGACGTTCTATCGTAATGACTCAATGAAGCGTCACGCTCTTACTCATTCTGAAGATAAGCCATACACTTGTGAGGATTGCGGAAAGAGTTTTTCGCGTCCAGGATATCTCACGAAACACATTGGACAAACCCATAAACGAGAATTCAAGTATTTATGTACGCTTTGCGATTACGGAGCCCGCGAAATAAAACGTCTCAAGATTCATATTCGCACTAAACACGAACTAGATCCAGATCTTCTTTTGGCGACCGAGGCATCCGAGAGTAGCCTGGTACCATCTATGGCTCATACTAGAGAGGCTGCTCCCCATATGTCTGCTGGGTCACCCAGTACAACTCAGTCTTCGACTGAGATGAATCTCTCTAGCCAAGATTCAAGCCCTCATGCGCACGATTCGATTCCCCAGCACAATGAAGATATGACCTTAGCGCAGGAGGAAGCAACCTCATCTCATGTAGTTCGAGAGGAAATGACTTCACCTCATCAAGATATGCACGCTGGAATGGAGTACATTAGCTGCAATGAGGAGTCTTTTGGCATAAGTGGCGGGGGGTATAACTCAAAGGCAGAAGAAATTGCTGCAAATGGAATAGACGAGGTTGTGCCTCACAATTCTGATATTGAATCTCGCATACTTGTGCAGCACACTGGAGAAATAGATGATGGGCACTTAGTGTCTACTGCTGGACAATTGACACAGAGTATAGAAGCGACTACGGCAGTTATTGAACCTCTTACCAATGACCTGCCTCCCACGCAATTAACATCTGCACACAATTTGGATCGACACACGCAGAATATGAGTCCTTGTCGTGGAGAATTTCACCATAATGCCTCTGACGTAAATCTAGAGGATAGGTACGATCATAGCACAAATGACATCTCCCGTAGTGTTGAGTCACCTAGAAAATCCGAATCAAGCCCGGTTACTAGACAATCTGTGATTAGCCAGGAGCTCACGGAATTTCGTATGTTACCGGACATTCAACATGCTGTAAGACATACCTTTAACGATAGGAGGTCCTCGGATGTTTTCGGAGAGCAGTCGGTACGCTCTAGATTTCCTTATGGGTTTACACCGCAACAATTTCGTCCCCAATATTCGATGGCAACAGATTTTACGACAATGAGTCACCATACTACGTCAACACTAAGTCAGTTCACCCAACATCAGTCCTTATTTAGTAATATGCACATGCAATTTCAAGGGGGGAGCGAAAATCTGTCAGAATATGAAAGAAAGACACCCCTGAACAGTCGTCCATTGTCTTCACAAACGCCATTTTGGCGAACCTGAAAGGATAAAGAAATTATATTGACGCTAGTGGGTTTTTCTGTTGTATTTTGCACTTTGTTTGACATTGAAGCCATCATGTCCAAGACATACTTAGGAATACTTACAAAGTTAAACTAACTTTAGTCAGGTCACTCAAGAAAAAAATAGTGCCGTTAATTGACATGGAAGAATGAGGGAGCGCTGTTTCTACATTTGCAAAAAATTATGTAATGTCCGTTCTCTTACAATTCTTGAATATTCTTGAATGAAAGTGTTCAACTTTTAGATGTTTTGCAATCTGATAAATTGACCCCAAAATAATCTCTAGTTGAAAACATCAAGAATTGAACAATACGACCAGCAGTCTCCTGCAGAGCACTACGATATTTTGTTGGGTAACTTAAGCTATTTTCCACTTCACGTGCATTGTCTTACGTCACAAAACTATTTGTCAAAAAACGAAGGTATTCGCTATAATTTGGTGTACAAAAGAATGAAGTGAAGAATGACTTGAATAAATCTCTGGTTTCATCCATTTTGTAAATATGGCTTAACGATAATCATTTTTACTTGCCAAAATTTTTGGAATTAAAGATGAAGTTGAAAATAGTTAGTGTGTCATATTCAGGGGCTTGGGAGGCCTTGGGTGTGCGATATGGAAGACCCACAACTTTTTAAAGCTTCTAAAGCCTCTGGTCATATTATCACTTAAGATTGGGGAAATTGTAGTGTGGACAAATTAACAACTGGCCTTGTGTTGTATTTAGAGTTTATTTGTGACGCAGCCTAAACTTTTCATTTCTGAGTTAACTTTACAGAAGGCAAGAATATTGTTCATTCAAAGGTTGAAATTAAAACCTTGATAAGATAACATTTACTTGTTAATAAATAGTTGTTTTGATAAAAACTAGGGAATTCAAATGAAATTCGATTTGTTTTCAATTTCTGTTTCAAAATATTGAAATAAGGCCATGTAAATTCGGTAATTTAGATTTTTGGTTTTTTGTTGATACAAAGGTGATCAATTCCTTTGTAAATATAATTAAAATGTTTCGTGTTTGTAGATGTAGATTACCAGGGTAGTAGAGTCCTGAGAAAACTACCCTAAGGTTGTCGAAACATCAGTCAACAACAACAACAGTCCTTAGGATTCTACTAACTTGTACGATCTACATCTACAAACATTTAACGATACTCCTGTGTTCAAAATATTCACTGTATGTAAAAATGTATTGTTGATACAAGTGTAACATTTCGTGAATATGATGACATTGGGATGATTAGCTATAATTGTTGTTATCATGGTTGCTAGATTATGTGATAAAATCTCGGTTTTCTAACCAAACTCATTAGACATCATTATAGAGCTTCTACAAAAAATTCCGTCACTTTGTTGTGAAGGCAGCACTATGTATTGCAGACAAATGGCACGGATATTATGGACTGGGATTTTTCTTACAGTTTGTGCAGCCTTCAGGAGTCGAATTTTCAGTGAAGGTATTTTGTTTTTAAACTGATAGTAGGAAATGTGCATTAAAAATTCTTTATCTGTATTCTTGTTTACAAAACATAAACGCTCATAACTTTTTTACGATATGTACCATTATGAATTTGAATGGGCGATAATTTTGGAATCGTACACTTTCATCAAAAAATTGGGCGGCAGAGGAAAACAAAATTGGATTAGCTACATTTATACAGGATTGTTCTATAAATAATACTTTGTTCTACTTTATCTATTTATCTTCAAACCAAAGGGAAAGCTACTCAAACCAACTTTTTCCTGTGCCAAATTCAAACTATTCTCACTAGAAAAACATCTCGTATTTATACAGCCATTCCACTAGAATTTCTCTTTAAAGCATCCTAAATTATTTATATTTGTAGATTTGTATCAACTTCAACCATTTTTATAGTCGTCGGTTTCTTTCTTTAGTTCAGAGGACCACCTGTTCACAAGAGTTTATTCAATTTTAATAAACTTTACTTGACGCTAATTACGAATTAAAGAAACACATGTATCCATTTCACATTTATGAAGTTTAAAGATACTTAATTCTCAACTCTATAACGTTGTGTAAAATTAGCTATCAATTTGAAATTGCCTTTTTTAGACTACCAGTAATACCTACAATCATGTTACTTTTAGAGTTAGTGCATTTATAAGTCATTTGTTTGTCTGTTTCCCTTGAGTATTAATCTTTCGTTTAGTGTTGCATTCAAAGATAAAAGATAAAATTGTTCCTAGAGATTCACAAACAATCATATCTTCTTCAATCTTGATCGACTATTACACAGAATATCAAGTTAATTTGCACTGTTTGCATGTATGTCAGTTCTAAACCTGCTAACACTACAAATGACTCGTTTATAGAATGTGAATTTACAAATCTAAACTATAATGACTTATAGCCTGATTATCTCTCTTATTGAAAGTTTTACTGTGGAATATAAGTTCATTGATTAAACTAAATTTTCTATCCAACTTTTTTCAGATACAAAGACGACTGTTGGCTCCAATGTTACATTTCCATGTGTGTTTAACACCACCAACAGTCTGCTGGCTAGTCTAAAGTTTGCTTCTAACATATCGGCTGAGTGGATACCAATTGCTCTATTCCAACAAAACACAGGGCTAAAATTGTATGAATACCAAGATGCCCATGCAAGATACATCAACATTGATGGCATATCAAAATTTGTATTGGTGAACGCTCAAGCAAGGGATAGCGGAATTTATCGATGTATGAGTTACGACTATCGAATGGAAGAGACAATACACGATGTTTATTTGCAAGTTGGAGGTAATATTTGTAGTTTCAATGATTTTGCCCATAGTTCTCTGAAGTTAAAACACAAGTTTTCATCTCTCTAGACTTTTTTAAATTATCGAAAGAAACTGTTTTTATACATCGAAAATTCATATAAATATGCTCACGAGCAATTTTTTTTAATATAGTGGCTCCTGTCATCGAACCTTTAAAAGACAAGAGAATACTAGAAGGCAAAAATGTTGAGATTGAGTGCCAGGCGAAAGGTATTCCACATCCCAATGTAGTCTGGTTTCGCACAAGCAACTCACAAGTCGTAAATATTGGTCCTATTTTGAAGATAGAAAAAATTAAAATGTCGCAGTCAGGCAAATATCAATGCAGAGCGACTAATGATTTAGGAAAAGCTCCCCCGAAGTCGATGAACATAATAGTTTATGGTGAGTTGAATTACTAGAAATTGACGAGGCTTATTGGCAAGAGCAATTCACACCGAGTAAACTTTATTCTTATTTTTACAAAACTATCGTACTGAAAATCTAATAGCATGATTTGTAATCGATTCAATCTAAATCAAATTTATTATCTTCAACAAAGCTTGTGATATATTTCAGAGATGGCACGAGTAAGAGAGTTTTATAATGTTGGGGCATTGGACGGCGAGGTTTTCAAATGTGAAGAGGTTATTCTGCTCTGTGAAGTAGATTGGAAATACTCGGGAACTGTGAAGAAATTATCTTTCTATCACAACGACAAAATAATGGCAACTGATACGAATGGTGATCTATTAAAAATAAAGAGTATTAGAGAGGAGAATTCTGGGATATACACTTGTGTACCTGAGACGATTTATGGCCGAGGACAAAATAAAACGCTGACGCTCAAAGTGAAAAGTTAGTTTCTCAGCATTCTTCTGCTACTTTTAAAACTTTCCTGAGCAAACAGGTGCTGAAAAAGAAAAGATCGAGAATCATTGTAAATAAGATTGAGTGAACTGTTGCCAAAGGGCTGTGGGAGGATGTATATAGGAAATAATTGTTTTATAAGCCATAATTTGTTTTTTATACTTCAGCCGGTCCAACCATCTGCATCTCTCCAACCGTGACGTCATCTCCATTTCTTCCTCTCCCTGCATCTTCTACAGGTATGCAGTTTGTTTTTACATATAACTACTAGTTATGGAGGTCTAATCAATATCGCCAGAAGCTAGATGAAAGGACCCCCGGGCCCATCTCCTGAAGTTCTGTTTAAGGTACACGTTGAATGGTGGATCGGTGACTTCCCTATAAATGCTATTGGGACTACTTTTTTGTGACCATTATATAAATGACCTGTCTGCATTGTTTTGCATTGATTGTCATCCGAGGACCTGTAGTAAATTTTCAACTTTATATGTCATGCTTTACTGAATTATTTCGTTTAGCAAAACCAATTAAGTCTGTTGGATCTTCAAAGTTTGCACGGAGTGGCTCGTTCTTGAATCGGTGCAGCTTGTGGCTTTTCATTTTCCTTTTTTGTTTTAGTTGTTTGAGCACATAGTAAGACCTGCACAACTCCTAAATGCTTTGTACTTAGTTTCTTCATTTATCATTTATTACACTACACTAAAAGTGCAAATTGTCCAAGTAAACTAAAAAACAAGTTCATATAAGTTAAATTTAACACATGAATAAAGCTTCCTCGCAAACAATAAAAGAATGTATTTCTGCTTGTAAATATCTTGAAAAGCGTGTTAGTATGGGGCTGAGTTGACAACTAAAAACTCCTCTGCTTTTAATTACATGTATCTACTGGTAACTGACTTGATATACTGTTAATTAACCAATAAATACATATTAAACAATTAATAAATATAACCAAGTTGTTTGAAAAATTTTGAGGGCATTAACGTAGGGTTTTTTGATTTAAAATCTCCAGTGCCTTTAGCATCATTTATTTCTTTATAACTGTTGTTTAAACTTTGAGTTTTTACGTACTTGTTTACGTGTCTACGCTACTGTTTAAACTGTGAGTTTTTACGTACTTGTTTACGTGTCTACGCTACTGTTTAAACTGTGAGTTTTTACGTACTTGTTTACGTGTCTACGCTACTGTTTAAACTGTGAGTTTTTACGTACTTGTTTACGTGTCTACGCTACTGTTTAAACTGTGAGTTTTTACGTACTGGTTTACGTGTCTACGCTACTGTTTAAACTGTGAGTTTTTACGTACTTGTTTACGTGTCTACGCTACTGTTTAAACTGTGAGTTTTTACGTACTTGTTTACGTGTCTACGCTACTGTTTAAACTGTGAGTTTTTACGTACTTGTTTACGTGTCTACGCTGCTGTTTAAACTGTGAGTTTTTACGTACTTGTTTACGTGTCTACGCTACTGTTTAAACTGTGAGTTTTTACGTACTTGTTTACGTGTCTACGCTACTGTTTAAATTGTGAGTTTTTACGTACTGGTTTACGTGTCTACGCTACTGTTTAAACTGTGAGTTTTTACGTACTTGTTTACGTGTCTACGCTACTGTTTAAACTGTGAGTTTTACGTACTTGTTTACGTGTCTACGCTGCTGTTTAAAATGTGAGTTTTTACGTACTTGTTTACGTGTCTACGCTACTGTTTAAACTGTGAGTTTTACGTACTGGTTTACGTGTCTACGCTGCTGTTTAAACTGTGAGTTTTTACGTACTTGTTTACGTGTCTACGCTACTGTTTAAACTGTGAGTTTTTACGTACTTGTTTATGTGTCTACGCTACTGTTAAGGAAATGTATGTAACTAATGCTGCGCATTTTTGTGTTTTAAAATTACTCGTTAGTTATTTAGTTTGGTAAGAGTTATTTACCAATAAAAACTGCTGAGAATGTATTTAACAATGTACAATGTCGTGTGCCAGTTCTCGACAAGTTAAGTTATTAAAAGCATTTCTTCTTGCAATCAAAATGCACAACAATGGCTCCTCACGGTCGGCCAAAGGTCGCAATCAGCTGAGAGCTCGGCTGCAGTATTAGTCATCATTAATAAGTCATTGTGATCATTCATCGTTGGCAGGTAATTCTCACGACATATTATAGATTTGTAAGCAAATGTAATGACGTCATTTATACTTTAATATAGAATACTAAGGCAGAGGGATCTTAGGGAATGAAAGGTATGATAACTTGGAGTCATAATAAAACAAGACTGTTGTATGTGTATATTTATTGCGATAGTTACAGCATTTGTAATGTAAAAACCGTTCTTTCAATTTCTAATAATTCCTCACAGGCGCAACATCAAAAACAATATATCTGCATTTCTACATATATGTGCTTGGCCGAAGTCCACTCTATGATAAAGATTTTAAAATTTTGTATACATTGTTAGGAAGATTTTCTTCAAGCGTTAAACAACGATCTTGTGGCCAATTCACTTAACACTTCATGAAGTAACGCAGAATCACTTTGCGAAACACTTGCTTGATTTATCGCAGGCACGTAGGAATCTTGAGGTTGAGACGTGGTGTTAGACGATAGATAATGAACGGAGACACGCGGTGGAGAGCCCTGGTTCTGAGGAATGACCATCGCCTGTGCTTGTATTACAATCTGCTGCGGTTCATCATGCACCTCTGCTTGCTCGATCATTGGCTGGATTGCAACCTGCAACGTATTTTGGGAAGGCTCAATTTGAATCGCTTGCTGGTGTAAAATCGCGCTTTGTTCAACTGTTGGCTGCTGAACAGTGGGCTCGGATACTTCTGAGGGATGGATGACTTCAGGTTCATGTTGATATTCTTCATGATCACCTACAGGGGGATGTTCAACTTCCTGCTGATTTGATGGGTAATTAGATACACGAGAAGATTCTTCCTCAACTATCGTTTGATAGTCTGTTGTGTCAGCGGTATCCCCTTCTCTATATATGGAAATAACACTTCACGATTAACAATAATAGAAAATCATGAACAGTACACAGCCTTTAAAATTACGTACCGTTGGTAACCTTCAGCTATACCAGAAGCATTTTCGGTCGTTACGGTGCCTTTTCCAACGTTTGCATTCTCAGTAGTCTTGTTCTCTCCAGTGATATTTTCTTGTACCCACGATGCAGCAGCACTGTCGTCTGCACTTTGTGTCGAAGCTACCATTGTAGTGGCTGCGGGTATGACAGATGCGGCTTGGCTCGTTGCAAGAAGAACGCTTTCACTAACCATCGTTGGTTTATCAGGTATCACTTCGTTGACCCCAGAATGTTTTTGTTGCATGTGCAAAAAAAGCTTCTTGGGACCACCCAGACCTTTGTTACATACGGGACAACGATGCTTGAAGTCTCCCGTGTGTATGCGCATGTGTTCGTTCAAGTTGTCCTGGGACGAGATAAAAGGGCGTTACACAAATTAAAATGGCAAGAAACTTTAGTTCGAATACTATCCACAGGAACAAAATGAAAATAATTTAAACAACAAGGCAGGTCACCTTTCTGGCGAACACTTTGTGACAAGTTTCACATTTGAAAGGTTTTTCTTTCGAATGAGCGAAAATATGGCGCTGTAGTTTGTCTTTGCGGTAGAAGGTCTTTTGACAACCGGTGAAGCTTTTGAAAGGACAGGCAAAAGTTGGACGGTTCGGTGAGTGAATAAGCATATGACGGTTTAATTTATCTTTACGCGCAAATTCTCTACCACACTCCTGGCATTTATGTTCCTTTATACCAAGATGAACACATTTCCTAAAAATAAGATAGTAAAGTAATGTTTTGAACGATTCATTCATACTTTGATAAACTTATTGATGTCCATCCATTTACAGGAACGAACTTTTTGATATAAAACACAGTTATCTTACTTGTGTTTTAGGAGCTCCGAGGCACTGCGAAATCCTCTGTCACAGTTTTCCCAATCGCAGGTATGTGACTTAATTTGCAGGTGGGACTCTCGGTGTTTGCTTAACGCATGTTTATCACGGCATATTTTACCACACTCAGGACATGGAAGATTATGCAAAACCTAAAATATGAATCACCACATCGTCAATTAACAATAAGTACTCCTGATTATGGAATTTCTCCCAACCTTCAGAATGAGAGACCTACGCCTAAAGCCTGTTCTCCACTTGCCACGTATCGTAACGTATCGTAGCAAAACGTAACATGGCGCATGCGTGCTTGTGCATATTGACCATCAAATGCATAAGCACGCATGCGCCATGTTACGTTTTGCTACGATACGTTACGGTAAGTGGCTAGTGGAAAACAGGCTTAAGGGACTGGAGAACTCTGAAAGTTTGGGACTTTCTATTTGGACCATTAACATTGGAAAGTTTACAAAATTTGTCTCAATTATTAAATTATGATAGCTACCTACCATGAAAGTAAAGACGTAACGATGCGTGGCATTCAACATAACTAAAGGTTAGGAAAGTATTATCTAAAGCTTACTTTCTCACGATGACGAAGCAAAGATTTCTCCGTATAAAAACTTTTTTTACAATCTATGCATTCATGTTGTCTGAAGTGCTCAGCTTTGTGTTTTTTACAAGTTTCTTGATTTGGAAACTCCACTTCACAAATTCTACATTTGAAAACGTGTTTGAACTCCCTTTTGTGTTTGTTTAGATTCTCCAGTGACACAAAGGACCTTTTGCAATCACAGCATTGATGAAACTTCTTGTGAATGTACTGATGGACAACCATGGAGTTGCCTTGGTCAAACTCTTTTGGGCAAACTCCGCATTTGTAGATGCCATTTTCATCAGGTGTAAGATTGCTGGCATCAATAACCGTAGGTTGAGGCTGAACACTGTTTTCCTTCATCTCTTTATCAACTTAATAAATAAGTGGAGTGAGAACTTTGCAAAAACATAAAATAAACATAAATGGTGTTGTTCAGAATGAGAAAATATGGTTGCAATTGTTGTCATTAATGCAATTCTTAAAAATTTTAAACTCCCAGTACTTATTAATTACTATCATTATTACAGTGTATACTGACATAGGTATTCCTGCTAACAATTTTTAACAGAGTAGTTGGTATATTTCAACCTGGAATGACCTAATTTCCCCAACTTTCCAGCAAAAATTACCCAGTTTTTGGGGCTACCCCATGCCTAATATGCCTATGAACACTAATATTATTTATGTCATCATAAATATTGATCAACCTTCAACATGGGGGTGCTCTGATGCACTGGCTGCCTTGATGATTTCTTGTTGCGTGCCTGTCTCTTGTGCTTCCACAACTATTCCACTATCTTCAATGATTGTTTCACAAAATCCTTGAACTTGAGGTTCAAGAATTGTAGTGACACTCTCTGTGCCATTAATAACATGTTTTGGTGGACTGTGTTCAATTTTTCTATCCTTAAAATAACATTAATATCTTTCACTTTATTGTCCAACTTAAAGCAACAGTTCAATGTCCTAATACCTTGCTGGAAAGGTCCGGTGTTTTGTTTGTACTTTGCTTTGAACACACAAGACGTTTGTGGTCGACATAGAGTTGTATGTTTGTGAATTCTGCCTTGCATTTTCCACAAACATGCAAATCAAACTCATCTTCAACAACTACAAGCAAAGACAATCACATAAAATTACAAAAACAATCTATAGGATTTATTTTGTACATGAAAAGGCTTACTTTCTTCCACTTGCATTGTCTCAGGTTCTGACATTACAATGTCGTGTGTCGTAGGATTCAATGGCATTTTATCCATCATTGTCTCATTTGACACTGGAAAGTTTCCTTGGTCTGATGTCATCTAAAGGGAGAGATGTCAACAAATGAAAGAACTGATGTTTGATAATAGAGCTAGTAGTTTGGCTGTTCAATCATTTGAAAAATAAATTTAAGGTTCTTCTCTGGGACTCTGCCTGTAGTTTCATATATAGCATGTACCAATTCTTATTTTTTTGCAAGAGCTACACATTAAACAAGATATAGTGCTTCTATCTTTTATACTTTTCACTTTCAAAATTAAAAAAATTTTGGAGTATGCGGGAAAGCATCAATTGTGAAGACGTCTTTGTCGGGAGGGGCAAATGACAAAGACAATATGGCGATCTACAACAATCGGAGAAGAAACAAATGTTTATAACCCCCCGTCAACTATGAAAAAGCGCGATCGATTTCACTAAATTGACCATCATCTGATAAATCTTTTGGTTTTTCTTTACGTAAATAAGATACGGGAGAAAGCGTCCAAAATCGTAACAAACTTGCATGTAATAAATTCATTCATCCATACTTTCAAACAAATAACGACCTATAATTAAAAGTTCTACGGAAATCTGTTTCACATCGAAAATTTCGGGACAATCAAGCTAATTGAACAACGAAACATTTCGCATTTATTGAATTTAGCACATTAGAAGATATACATCAAAAACGTCGGGGAAACCCTTATATTTTACGATAAAAAAATGTGCGCAGAAATCCTTCAGTTTACTTACGAGCAATCTTGTTCGTCCCCACCGGTTGTAAAATACGAGTCGTCGTTTTATGTAACAATATGCTCTATATTGCAAAAGATATCCCAAAAAACCTATGGTATACTACATTAGAGCATTCACTAGTCTTGCATTTTCAATGAATGATATCATCAAAAGTGAAATTGAAGGAATAGAGATTCTCGAAACAGTCAAAATGTTTTCTTCAAATACGAACAGGAAGGGGCGATGCCTTCGTATCTCTGTTACCGGGGAAAATAGCCTATACGGTTGAATACTGTCGGGAGCAAAATTTGCATAACATAATCATACATGGTTTCAGCCAATTGAACTAGATTAAGAGAATGTAAATAATCATTAAAATTTGAGAAAGCTTTTGGATTTGTGCAAATTTTGTGATAATAATCTTTGTCTCGATAAAAATGAAAATGACATCAATATTTTATGACCGGAATAAGTGGTAGAGAGACAACCTCGTAGATGTTTTGCTTTTCACTCCAGTTTGTTTTACCGCCATCGAGTGATTGAGCACGTGGCGCGGCCAATTTCAGTGAACTGTAATTCAATTCGCGATTTTTGGGTGGAATATAATAATGGTGGTCGTAGTTGCCTGGAGATGGTTGTCAGTTGTCAATAGTTTTGAATTTCTGGGTCTCATGCATCTAGTATCTCTGTTTTGCAATGAGTAGCAGAATACCAATCCTGTTATTAGATGCATCAGGCTTGAAAAGACTATAGAAGTGCAAGGTTTAGTTTTATGAGCGCAAATAAATCGGCCTGTTGTCAATTTTATTCAATCCACGTGGAGACTTCGGGCCTTAAGGTAGGAGTGTTTTGTAATATTCTCTACAAATTGCTGCCATGAATTGATTATATGAAAAAGAGGACGGCGAAGTTGCATATGGTTCATGCATATGGTTCATGTTGTAAATCATTATAAATCTTCATTTTTTTATCTCATATCACATTGTATCAATGTATAATAAGACTCACGAGTTATGATGGGCTAACTCAGTGGAAAGGATTTAAGTCATGTATTCTACTTTTTCTGTCATAGTTTTACAATGGCATTGAAGAGAAAACCCTTAGACATGGCACGCAGCAGACTGAAAACAAAATTAAATGAAATAGAAGAACAAAAAAGTTCCATTGAAAATTATCTTCAACAAATGACAAGCAAGGTAGATATATTTAACACAGATTTAAGATTGCTATTTTAGTTTTAATAATAAGCTAGAAAAACTTATCCTACTGTTCAGGTCAAGCAGTCCGCTTGCTCTTTATTGGAAGAAAGCAACTCTGGGAGATTTTTTAAAGCTTATCGAACAGTGAATCAACAATTGGAAAAATGTCTTGAAGATCTTTTTATCATCAGTGCATCAATATCATCAATTGATGATGAACAAACAGAGCTTGATGGTCCTTTCAATGAGGAAGATGACCATCAAACAGTTGAAATTCTTAAGGATAAAGCTAGTGCTCAGGACTTGAAGAACATTGAAAAAGCTGATTTATCTGATGCATGCTCTCAGAAAGATTTCAGTGAAGACACTTTGAAAGACTCTCTGTCTTCAGTACTTTCACTTAATGAATGTGCAAATATTGAACACATTGTTAATGAGTTAAGCTCTGAATTATCAACTGATTTTCCACTTGTAACTGAGGACAGAAAGAATGATTCACAAGATCGATTGTAAGTCATCATGAAGAAAAACTTATCGAAGCAACTAATTCAATGGTGTCTGAAGCTTCCAGTTCGCCAAGTGACTGTGAAGAACCAAATGAAAACATTTTGTTTGATGCTATAGATGACAAAATAAGAGCCTTGAAGGTTTTAAAAGAAATTGATAGCTATAAATCTAGTGAAGTAGTTGTCAAAGAAAACACTTTTCTGGAGAGCCACCACAAAATAGTGATGGAGAAGACATGTTCAGGAAAAATAGACACAGAAGATTCAGCTCACAAAGATTGTGACGGTGATATTGATAAGGAAAAAAAACAATTCAAAATAGAAAATGGTAATCCTATTTTGGTATCTCATGTGGAGGAATCCATTTTGCAGACTGATAAACCTCTGTTATCTTTGCTAGGTGTGCAACTTAGTGAAGAAATGACGAAATCTGTTGCTGATCATGTTAACACTACATTAGAGTCTGGTATTGTGGAGAGTGAAACTGGTAAACAAAACTGACAATTTTTGTTAATAATTTTTCTATTTAGGGTCTGACTTCAAATTTTAGCATTGAATTTGCAATCAAATTATTAACTTGAGTCGTCTGTATGAGGTATACTGGTACTGCTACAGACTGAGATGCAGTATGTTATAAAACAACCATTTGATTAGTATATAATGTCTTTTCTCTGTTGTTTTTGAAACTTCGAAAAATATCTCTATTGATCTCCTAGTTGGTGGATAATATATATTTATTTTAAAGTAAGTTACGATCTATTGTTGTGACCATTTTTATTATTTAGATAATTCTGATGCTGTATCTCCTATTCAAATTGCGAAAGACGAATTTTTGAACACACTGTATGATTGTGGCGTTAAGAAAGGTTTGTTTTCAACATCTTTACGTATTTAGCTACAAAATCATATGTATATTTGGCTTTCTCAAGTCAATCTTTTATTTTTAGATTTACGTATTCCGGCATTTGAAATTCCTCTTGACAACAGCTTGACGGTGACTCTAAAGGAATTCTCAAGTGTCAAAGATTTTTGGATTCAAAAAGTGGAGGATGATTTTGACATATTAATGGAGAAAATGTGGTAAGGTTTTCAAAGATATTTTTAAGTCGAATGGCTTGTCCTGCCTACACGGAAACAATTCTGCGTAAAAATTTTTCGAGAAAGGTATTTCGTCAAAAGTTGAAGTAATTTTTGACTTTAATGTACACGTTTAGTACATCAGTTTGACTGGGCTAATGACTGCGAAGTCATTGGAGCTTCGTTTTCTTCTGTAATACCTACTCCGAAACTCAGCTTTTGCAAAAACAGAAAAAACGGTCACTGCGCAATTTTTTAGTCTATCGTACTAGTATCCAAGTCATAAACCATATTGTGAGTATTTTTACTGTCAATACCGGTTATACCGGTTTACAGTCGGACGGTTTTTCGGATGGTTTTGACATCAAGCAACCCAGTCCACGTATAAATAGTTGCTCAATTCAACATCAGTGTATCCCGTACAACTTAGTTGATGAAATAAAATACAAATCTTCTGATGCATTTCATTCACTAAAAGTATGAAGCTATTGAGTTTGCACAAGTGATGTTTCCACCTGCTCCTCGTTCATATCCTTAAATTCATTTTGCAGCTATCATTTTTCTAAGAGAGGTAGACATGGAGATAAAGGTGGCTTGAAAACCACTCCACGAGTTGGTCACGTGTGTTGCGGTCGGTACAGTGCTGACAATGTTTGGTATAGAGCTTTTATCACGGAAGTGATAAATGATGATAATGTCAACGTTCTCTTTGTGGACGAAGGAAGAAGGGAAACTCTACCGTTATCGAGATTACGAGAATTGGACAGAAGGTTTACTGCGCTGTCTTGTCAAGCGCTGCGTGTACAGTTAAAAGGCGTGAAACTAAAGGATGACGTTTGCCTAGATGAGGGTGAGTGTAATACTTTAGATAAATTTCCATCCATTGCATAAAGATCCTTAGACACTACTGTGCTACTGCGTTGTGCTACTGCGTTGTGCTACTGCGAAAAAGAACATGATAATCTGTTAATAATTTTGTATTTAATGTTGATTCATTACGTCCTCTTCTCCTGTTTATGGCTGCTCCCTAATTCTGCATCGCCATGGCCCGTTTTATTCTCCAACATGATCTTTCTATCGCATCATCTTAAATCACTCTCATGTTCCTCACTCCATTCATCCATCACTTACATGGCCTTCCTTTTTCTCTTCCTTAGCAATGATATCGTCAACATCTGTCTCCTCACATAATATCTACTCATTACAAACCGATCCGCTGTCCAGATCATCGCAGCCTCTTCGATTTTTTAGCTGATACTGCCACCATTTTCATAACATACATCATTGTTGGTGTAACAACATTCTTATAAATCTTCATTATAGCTGATAGACTGCTCGTTTCTTATTACACAGCACCAGTTACAATCTTGTAAGCACAAGCAAAATGGTGAAGTCTCTTCACTTCTTGAACCCAAGTATTTGAAATATGCCACCTTTTTACATACTCAGAATCCGTTTTCTCTCTAGTAAATGATTGGTTTAAATGTCAACTGTCAGGGAAGATCATCGATGCAACACTTTACCCGAAAGAAGACGATTCAAGTCCAATCCCGATAGAGCTATTTATTTGTCCCAATTCCCCTCAAATGACCGCCCAATCGTACGACAGAAGTGAATACAACATCAGCAACATGCTTGTACGTCAAGGTTACGCGATACTTGTGACGTCACCGCCTCCTAGATTAAGCAATGATGAAATCAATTCTTCAATCAAGTTGCCCAGCAACCATGTTGAAAGTTGTGAATGTTCATCAATATCCAGCGGTTTTGGTGAACTGCATTCGCCAATACCTGTTTATACGTCAAGTAACAATAGTATTGCGGACGAATTATCAAGTGCCAGCGGTAACAGGATGGCGTCACGTATTCCTCCTCCCTGCGTTCCAGTTGACTATGATGGTTCAGTTCGTGTAATGGTATCACATGTTGTCAGTCCTGGGGATTTTTATGTTCATTTTGTTACTCCTGAAGCTGGAAAGCTCGACGAACTTATGCAACTAATGAATCATACTTATTCAGGTTTGTTTTTCATTTGCACCTGCTTGTTGTACTTCATGTTACAAATATCAAATAAATTTAAGTTTACGTAAGCCATGTTGTGATAAATCAAAAAAGTTTTTCAATTTTAGTCCATCTACTTGTTGAGCACGATACCGTGAACGAAACTTTTCATCCCAGTGTTGGAGAATTTTGTTGCGCGCGATCGTTGGAGGATGGAAACTGGTACCGAGTTCTTGTGCTGAAAGTTTGTCACGCAGCAAACTCAGAGGAAGTAACAGCAGAGGTCTTTTTTGTCGACTTTGGCAACGTTGGACATGCTTCAAGTCAAAATCTCAGGAAATTACTTACTCAGTTCCTTTCACTTCCTGCACAAGTTGTGCGATGTACATTGGGTTCTGTGAACGCCAGTATAAAACAAGATACAAATGAAGTCTTCGACCATGGTGGTTTGTACTTGTTCATAATTGGCCGGCATCTTGAAAAGCTTCAAAAATTGATATTTAATGTTTTTCACTAACTTTCAGATGTAACTTCACAAGATGACGAAACTAGCAGAAAAAAATCCTGTAGTCAAAAATGGCGACGCAGGAAGCACACTCAAGAATCTGTAGTAATAGCTGGTGGGGACGAAGATGTTCGTCAGGATGTGGACGACATTTTTCTAGGAGACGACTTACCAACGGAAGAGAAGATTTTCCAAGGAGAGGACAATTCTCAAAATGGCAATTTTTCTGTCATTGATAAGAATATATTTGATGGACGAAGTCGTGTGCGCTCATCGATTTCTGAAGAGATTGCAAGAAGCTACGAACAACCTTCCATATTTGCCGACACGACCATTGAGCTATTTAAAGAATTCTGGAACGATTTAAGGAAAAAAAGTCTGAAGCCAAGTTGGTCACAGTCTTCTTGTGAATATTTCAAATCACTGACGGTTGACGTGCGAACGCTTATTGGTTATATTGTCCCGTGGGACGCGAAGATGTTTAATTACATCGTCAATTATTCTCATTATGCTCCAGTCTCCGAAGATTTACCCAATCTTGGTCCAGTGCTGGAGCTCAATCTCTATGATTTCAGTGGAGAGAATGACATTTTCATCAATGCTGCTATGGTTACCGCAGGCTATGCCACCTCTAATGTGATCAAGATTGACCAAACGGGTAAGGAAGTTGATGATGTCGAGAATAATTACGATCATTTAAAAAGAATTTCAACCTAAAGAAATCATTCTGTAAACTAAAGTTAGATTTCTTAGACTTTATCTGGTTTAATGTTTAATAAATATAAGTTTGTGCTATTTCTCATCCGCAGTGAATTGAACAAGAGTTGCAAAAGAACTACAGTTATAGATTTCATGCAAGGAACAATAATTTTTTTGTAGATGAAGTGGATTTTACAGTGGAAAATGAATCGTCAACGACAACAGCAAATGATGTTGTCAGAATCAGTGAACAAGAATTATCAGAGCTTACGGGTGCTTCCCATAACATTTTTTGTCTGATTTGAAAATATTTGTTATGAATGATGCAGAATGTAAAATATCTATGTTTTAGAAGTTACACCGGAGCGTAGTTCTCCAACAAGCCCCAGGACCGAGTTGCTTGATGACTGGGACCCAATGATGAATGATTATCGATCTGTACGTAATGCTTACAACGTTACAACTGACAATTTGGATGTTGCCATTACTGGATATGGTGCGTTGTTTCCTTTCGCGTTCTCTTCATGAAATTTAATAAGAATTTTCATTGAAAGCATTATTGTTTGCTTGTTAATTACTTTATGAACGTTTTTATCCCACTGCCTTCATTTATGCGGTAACAATTAAAGCAATATCAAAATTGTTCTCGGTGACTTGAACGCTTCTGTAAAATTTTTAATTTTTCATCAGCCGTATATATGTTTTGTTTTCACAGTTCCTGTCAAGTTTTGCTTTCTAAACAGTTACGATTTGTAACAAGCGGATTTTGCAGCCAAGGCCTATTTTATTTTCAAGCTTTTACACGACTTACAACATTTCTCGAAAAACATAAAGGAATCTTTATAGTTTTGTTTATCTTTAGAGGAAGATCGAGGTAAAATATGCCGTTACTATGGGACAAAATATGGTTGCTATCGAGGAAGCAAGTGTTCTTATAAGCATATTGATCAAATTGGAGGTATTTGTTTCATTTTCCCCAATATCAATGAGGTTTTAAATTTTATGCATAAACTTCCTCTTACAGAGGTTTCAGATTTGTTAACTTCCATCTACGGATCAACAGAGAGCAATGTCCGCCTGCCAGACGTTGGAGCTTGGATACTAGTCAGAGTAACTGGAATTGAAAATCCATCTCACTTCAGGGTTCAGTTGCCGTTTGGTGTTGAAAATCTAGCAAGCCAGCTGATAGCAAGTATTTATATGATGATGATTCAATTTTTCATTTATATTAAATCAAAAATTATCAGTAACAGTTTAAATTTTACAGTTGAAATAGCACAGTCTGTAAGTAAGATTTGGGGAGAGAGGGGCTGACCCAAATGTATGACTATGTTTCAAGAGATTTTGGGTAGAAATCAGGGCATCGTTTTTTTATGAGGTGGTGGGGTGGTGGCTGCAGCATGAATAGTTAAAGTTAGTTTGGTTTACGTTTTTTCTCCATGGTAATCCTGAATTCATGAATGAGCGATGAAATTGTGAATAAATCTGTGGGAAGAACTTTATCCAGGATAAATAGCATTACAGTAGATTATAAAGTTAGCTTTGTTTTTTTTTTCATCAGTAGTAAGATTGAATCAAAACAGCACGATTTTATGATCCTATGAAATAGAGTATAATAGAGCTACTGTAGTATAACTACAGCTTAGTTTACTTTTCTCCTGTATAGCAACACTGGTTGAATGTATAAGATATGATCCTTGATGGATCTGCAGGAAGTAAAATTATTTTTGATGCGCTTATGACGATTCTTCATATTTCTTGTCGGAAGAAGAAATGGCATCACTAATAAAATAATCCAATAGAAACAAAGTTTTAGTTAAAATAATAACAGATTTCGCTGTTTCAACCGGGAAATGAGAGGAAACATATTTGTTTATGTTATTTGAATGAAAGTCTTTAATTTTTAGAGCGAAGTGGCAAAGAAACATCAGGTGAAGCGAATTTGAAAGATTACCAATATCTTATGAAAGAAATGGGGTATTAATTTACTTCATGTGTAAACAATGACCAGCCTTCCTAGTTGAGGAACGTTGATCAATCATATCAACTCGTATTTAGTGAACTATCAGTACAGAGTTTGCGCATCAGATTGATTTGCGACACTTGAAATAGCGATGGTATTTTGTTGCGCATAGGGTGTTTTATTCGAAGAGATATGGGAAAGAAAGATCACTTGTTCCTCCAGCTTTGGGTGAGTTGGTCGTGGCAAGATCTTCAGTAGATAATACTTGGTATCGATGTCAAGTTATCTGTAGTGGAAAAGAAGATTCTATGTATAAGGTTAGTGTTCTTCTATGTTCGTTTGTGCTGCTTCTATAATGGTGATTAGCGAGTTTTTTTTCACAGGTCTTACTGGTTGATGTCGGTATTACTGAATGGATCTCTCAATATGCCATTTGTCCCATAATTCCTCAATTTCTTCATCTTCCCTTTCAATCTCTGCGATGTCAAACTTCAAGTGTCTATTCTAATTCTGGTCAATGGACAAATGAATCAATGTAAGTATTCTTAGGGGCTGATTACATGAGCCCGCGGTAGCCTGGATTCAGCGAAGCGTTAAATGATTTTGGCAAATGGAAACGATTCAATAATTATCATCCGATAAATCTTCTTCAGCAATTTCATAATATTTGATTTTATAAATACGCAAGCATTTAGAATGGAAACAACTAATTTGGCCTAATTTTAGTATTGCCATTGGAATAACTTGTGGCACTTTACGAACAGTTGTAATTTTTCCGCTAAAAATTTTGCCTCCTTTCAATGCCTCAAAATCCTCTCACGCTTCACTGAATCCCGGTTAGCCGGGATCATGTAAACAGCCCCTTACTGTTTTCCTTGATATAACTGTTTACCAATGGCCAAGGCAAGCCTAACTTTTTCTTGTAATCCATTTGTTGCAATTACATAAGCTCTGTGGTAAACAAGTACGTACAAATGGTTCTCTGTAGCGAGTGGGTTTATCCAGTGACAATAAATTTGTGTTCATAAAAATTATGGAGAAAAAAGAGATCATTTTCGTTTAAAGAGATCTTTAAACTGCTCAGAACACTTTTCTATTCCTCGCTGAGTTTTGAATCTGTGTGTATTTTAGAGTACAATTTCAAACACTAGTGATGAACAAGACATTGGTTGCTCAAGTGCTGTCAGTGTAAGTGAAGTTTTCATAGCTTGCGAGAAAAACTATCGAAAAAAATCATCCCTGAACCCGTAAACATATCCCTTGATTCTCCTCTCTAGATTCCCGTGTTTGCAAGTGAATCTGTTTGATTGCCATGGTGGACAGGCGAGAAACATCACGGACAAAATTATGGGGTTTTGTTGACCAAGCTAAGCATTTGCTCTTTCCAGTCAAATTTAACAGTTTAAGATCCTAACCTCGTAAAAGAAAATGCAAAAATGATGATTTCTCCAAGACAAGACTTTGTGTTGAAGCTGTATCTGTTTTGTTCAATATATAAAGACTAATGATACGGACATGTGATTAAATACGCGGACAGTTTAACATAATATGCGTGGGCATTTACGGCCTAACATGAGCGCGTATGATTGGTCAATATAAGTTCGTTTTGTGTTTGTTGCAATGTGTCACGGTTTCCTGTTTCAAATTTTTAGTATGCGAAATTTGTGAATACAGTATGTAAACAATGAATATTAGAAGTGTCATCAATTTTTACGTTCAATTTAAAGGATGAAAGTTTCCGGTAAACGCGATTTCGCCTTGATATCGCTTTTGAAAGAATGAATATCATATTTTCCCCTTGAATCGAATTATTTATACTGGATTAAGTGCTCTTGATGGTCATACGTCTCAGTTGAATCAGTTGAAATTTTACATTTTCAGGTGTTGTTGTGATTAAGAACATAGAAAAGTTTCCAACGTAAAATTAAGGTTTGTAATGACTTATATAGCAATATTTTTTGAACATATATTGCCCTTGTGTTAGCTGTTTTATAGCAATGCAGCAAATTCCTTGATGAGGCATAGACTTGTCTAATGCGAATGATTCTACAAGTTTCTATAAACGCTTAATACACAATGCCATGGCACCTGCTGGCATGAATACCTGAATTTAATTTGTTAATCACACGTAATATTAATCCATTTATCAAACAGCTTTATCCTGTAGCCACATTGCAATATTTCTGTTTAGAGTACAACTACAAAAGTTGTTGAATGAGGCAAATGAATTATTGTACATGTCAAAATTTGCTTATATATTTTCATATGTATTTATTACGCCATAAACATTATCTAGTCACGATAGAACAGTTTTCCATTTAAGATTTTCTTTGACCAGTAGTAAGCTTGGCATATTTTACTGAAATTGAACACGGAAGTTTTGGCACGTTAAATGCTTTAATATGCGATAGTTCATATGAATTTCCTACTTTCTATATCTATATCTTGTCCATGTTTTAGCAACCGTAATTAAAGTATGAGTATGTACTTTTTAGACTATGCTGAGTTGAAACATGTATCAAGGCAATGTGAACAAATTTAAAACTTTTTTTGAAAGTCTAAACTCCAATGACGTTCACATTAAAAAGTCAGACATATCCAGTACTGATCAAGAAAAACAAAATGTTGAACCAAAGCAAGCTGCTGGACCTTCTAAACCTTTGTCAGCAACAAACTCAAAGCCAAGCATACCCCACAAACCTTGCTCTCTGGTCAACTCCAATGGTAATTTTGAAACTTCAAATTTTGTACTGAAGCACAATGGATACTCAGAAAGTAAGAAAACAATGTGTCGAGAGAGTTGGTATAAATAAATAAAAGCAGCAAAGCCGACTTAACTTGTCAATACACTGGTGTTTGTTTAAGAAATTACACAGTTTTTCGATTATTTAAAAAACTGTGTATTTATCAAATCTTTGATGTTTTGGTCAATCTAATTGAATAGAATTAAATGTGAAAAGTTTATATCTTGAATCTACTAGAGAGATCCAAAAGTGTCTGTTGGAATTTACGTTGAACATGTTTGAATAAGGGGGGTTCAGGGACAGGATGAAAGGAGTGGCTGGCACCCTCTAGCCAGGATAATTTGATAGCTTGTGAAAAAAATATTATTTTTGACATTGCCAAATGACGCACACCTCACTTGAAGAAATACTGGATCCACTCCTGTTAAATATGTTATCATGAAAATGATTGGACACCATGAAGGCTGTTTTTTATTTTTTGTAACAGGTGATGAGAATGGTACGATTGAGACAACACAATGGAACAATAATGATGTCGATACTAATAGTAATAACATTGATACTCATTATGATGAGGTTAATGTGGATCATGATGATGTTGACGGAGATCATGATGAGGTTAATGTGGATCATGATGATGTTCATGGAGATCATGATGAGGTTAATGTGGATCATGATGATGTTCATGGGGATTATGATGAGGTTAATGTGGATCATGATGATGTTCATGGAGATCATGATGAGGTTAATGGGGATCATGATGATGTTCATGGGGATTATGATGAGGTTGATGGGGATTATGATGAGGTTGATGGTTATTATGATGAGGTTCATGGGGATTTGGGGGATAGTGATGGAGAAGATGATGGATCAGTATCAGAGTTTGAAAGTGACATTGAAAACGAGGAAAATTATCCTAATAAGAGGCAAAGCAGGATTATCTTCAAGGAACTGGACCACATACCTGATCTGGTTTGTTAAACTGTTTATGGTTGATTGAACAGAAGTAAATGTTTTTTTATCAATAACTTATTTGAAAAGCAATGCTTTAATGGACTTTTTCAAAGCAAACAAACATTAAACCTTGAATAATGTTTAGTACATTTGCAAATTTCGTTTAAAAGTCTATCAAAACTAGCGCTATCAAAACTAACTTCAGTATGTTTTTTATCACGTGTAACATTGTTGCAACAATTCCCAGTGTGGCAAAACTTTTTTTAATTATAACGGTAATTGATATAACGTTCGAGTTTGTTTCAATATAAACATGGTTAATTGCAACAAGGTAATTCTGTTTGTTTGTGTTAGGATTTTTCAGATTCCCGCGAGAAAAAACTTTTCAATATTGCCAAAGAGATTTTAACTACTGAAATAACGTAAGTTAATTGACTTGAAAATCTCTTCAAAACATTTGATAAGATTTGTTCTCAATATTCTCAATGTAGGTACGTGAAGACACTTAAACTATTGGACGAGGTAATGCATGTTTTGTTTTTATTAATAACTCAGTAATGGCCACTCTATACAGATAACTGATTCTCATGTAGTGATTCTGGTCGCGTTGGGTACATTATGTAAGCGCTACGTAAGCTGCATATAGTCATGTGTAATTTAAAAACGCGTTCAAATCAATAAACTTTTCCCTGTATGAAATTTAATTGTTTGCATTGTCGAACGCTTGACTTGTACTCTTATATAGTTACGTCTTTGGTTTTAAATTGCATTTGCTTTTCCTCTTTGTCATTTTTATAATAAATTTCACCAGTTGCCTTTATTAACATACAGCTTCTTCAGATAGATACCAATTATTTTTAACGTTTTTTTTGTCTTGATCATCTTTTTCTAATTTCTCTTCTCAAACCAACTATTCATGGTTTAATTTAATTGTAATCTATTATCGTCTATGCGTGTTTTCTTAAATCTTTCATTTGATAAAATCGCAATAGTTTGTTTTCTTTTTAGCCGTAACATCAGGTATTGTAAAATGTTGCGAAGTAGAATCTTATTTATCTTGTTAGGGTTTTCATGCAAAACTGGAGAGAGAGGGTCTTATACCCAAAGAGGCGCTACTCGATGTATTTTCCAATATCTCAGCCATTAATCAATTTCATAGTAAATTTCTTTTACCAAAACTGGAAGAGCGAATGGCAAACTGGTAAAATAACAAAATTTATGTTCTTATAAAATTTGGAAAAGTTTTCTTTTGGAATAATACGTTAAATTTGTCGAATATGTGTTAACAGGATAACGTCGCCTAAATTGGGTGATATTTTTATCTTTCTTGCTCCATTTTTAAAGGTAAATTTTGATGTCTTCTACAGTTTGTATTTTCTTTATTGTACATTCAATGAGTGAGATGGGTTTTTTTTGGTAATGTAAATTTTTTCTCCTTCAGATGTATGCTGAGTACGTCAAGAACTTCGACCAAGCAATGACCAGTTTATCAAAATGGAAAACGAAATCGCCAAAGTTTTCGGGAGTAATTCAGGATCTCCAGGTACACACATAGGTATATCCAGGTACACAAATAGGTCTGTCAAGAATAGTCATGTCGTCTGAACATAACATTGAATTGATAAATGAATAAATAATATCTGTACTTCATACATTGATTGGCCATGAATGAGGGCAATACCCGATTTCACACTTTAACAAAATAGTTACAACATCTCATTTATAAGTAGGATTTTATTCTTTTAAAATTCATTACCAATGGCATTGTTTTAAAGGTTATTTTAAAAGTAACGGTCATAATCTATTTTGTCTATCTAATTTATTTTGAGCTATGTAATGTATTCACTTTTTACCTGTTTTTGATTCGCTTCCTTTAGAAATCTGAAAAGGACTGCAACAATTTGTCGTTGGAGCATCACATGCTAGCACCAGTCCAACGCGTCCCGCGTTATAAACTTCTTCTGACAGGTGAATTATAGGACTGTAAATTTGAGGTCAAATGGCAGCAATCTTTTACTAACCTTGTGCATGTAAATTTTACACGAAATTAAACGAAATTACAATTGCGTCTTATAGATTACGTTTCCAAGTTACCGAATGATTCACCTGACCTGGAGGAGTCAAAAAGTAAGTCATGGTTGATTTTAGTACAATGTAAAATTATCTACTTCCCATATAAATATAACGTGTTATGACTGCGGGCGCTGATACACAACAAAACATCGTAGATAGTTACTTTATGTAACCCATCCTGGAGTGTATCAATATGTTGTTATAAAAGAACACGCGTTGTACCTTCATACGCAATCTTAACTATACTTAGCCATACGTAGGAAACCTTAGCCATACTTAGCCATGCGTAGGAAACCTTAGCCATACTTAGCCATAGGAAACCTTAGCCATACTTAGGAAACCTTAGCCATACGTAGGAAACCTTAGCCATACTTAGCTATACTTAGACCACGTTAGACATTCTTATTCCTCTTTGGACAACCTTAGTTATACTTACACTATCTTAGCTATACTTAGACCGCCTTAGCTATACTTACACTATCTTAGCTATACTTACTTAGCTATACTTTCCTATTTAGCTATACTTACACTATCTTAGCTATACTTACACTATCTTAGCTATACTTACACTATCTTAGCTATACTTAAACCACCTTAGCTATACTTACACTATCTTAGCTATACTTACACTATCTTAGCTATACTTACACTATCTTAGCTATACTTAAACCACAGCTATACTTACACCTATACTTTACACTATCTTAGCTATACACACTATCTTACTTTATGCTTACGCCTCCTTAGCTATACTTACACTATCTTAGCTATACTTACACTATCTTAGCTATACCCCACCACCTTACTTACACCACCTCCTTACTTACACCTATCTTACCTTAGCTATACTTACACCTCCTTAGCTATACTTACACTATCTTAGCTATACTTACACCTCCTTAACTATACTTACGCTATCTTAGCTATACCCTACACCACCTTAGCTATACTTACACCTCCTTAGCTATACTTACACTATCTTAGCTATACCTAAACCTCCTTAGCTATACTTGCACTTAGCTATACTTATTCCAATTTTAGAGTCTCTTGAGATTATTTCGGCTGCAGCAAACCATGCCAACGAAAGCATGAAAAAAACGGTATATAATGTATTTCTTTGTTTGTTTTCCATACATAGTTAAATGCATTGGTAATTGACGTTTATTTTTTTGCATTCTATACAGGAAAGATTTACAAAAATGCTTGAAATTCAAGAAAAGTTTAGTGAAAGTATTATCACTCCAAGTCGAGTAAGTATTGACCGCGATTTGTCTGAAACTTCGTATCAAGGTCTCTTCATAAAATTGTTGATGATACTGTGATTTCAGGAGTTCATCATGGAAGGTGAATTGATAAAAATATCTGCACGAAACGCTCAAGTAATGACTAGGATTTTAGTGTTGGTGAGTAACCATTTTTGTTTTATCAATAAGGGGGTGCGCGCTCCTCACTTTATAGACTAATTTATATACAGAGACTTTATAAAGGACGTTATACTTTGAGTGCAGACTATTTTGAGTTCGTGTCGTGCGAGTTTTGATTTAGGAATTTGTCGACAGGATTTTCTTGACAGTTACTCTAATTTTTATCCTCAAAGGATACTAAAATTTGAAAACATTCCATTAAAAAACTCTTCCAAATGTCATCTCAGATAGTTACTTTTGGTTTGGTATAAGTAATCATGCCCAAATCGACGGACAAAATACGAAATTGCCAGACAAATGGCTTGCCAGTCCAAACCGTTTGCCATTGCATCATAAAAGAAGTCCCCGTGTTCGGTCTAAAGCATCAAAAACATTACACCATTGCAATCCATTTAGCATTAAAACTCAAGAACATTACATTTAACGATGATGTGGAAATGTCACTATGCTACGTTTTTATTATTTTTTTACACACTGATTTTTATTCATTTAGTTTAATGACTCTCTTTACTACTGTACGAAAGTTCCTGCTACGGGAAAGTACAAACTACGAACTTGTATTGAGCTTATCGTGACATATATTGATGAACCAGACGAAGATATTGAAAACCGCGATCTTGTTTTTCGAGTTCGAAGCAAGAATAAAATTATTGATTTTCAAGCGACTTCTGTTGAACAAAAAGAAAAATGGATTATGGCTATTAAAGAATCTATTGAACAGGCGATTGCGAGGAACAGTACATTTGGACGGAAGGTGATTTGCAATTGATGTAGTGAAAAATTATATTCTCTTAAGATATACCATCAAAGTGATGTTATATTCAGAGATGTTGTCAACAGAGATTTCACCAATAGAGACGTTGTCAATGGAAATAATCTCTATTGTCAACAGAAACGTTTTCAACAGCGATGTTGTCTATAGAGATGTTGTCTATAGAGTTGTTGTCTATAGAGATGTTGTCAATAGAGATGTTGTCTATAGAGATGTTGTCTATAGAAATGTTGTCAATAGAGATGTTGTCTATAGAGATGTTGTCTAGAGAGATGTTGTCAATAGAGATGTTTTCTATAGAGATGTTGTCAAAAGAGATGTTTTCTATAGAGATGTTGTCTATAGAGATGTTGTCTATAGAGATGTTGTCCATAGAGATGTTGTCAATAGAGATGTTTTCTATAGAGATGTTGTCTATAGAGATGTTTTCTATAGAGATGTTGTCTATAGAGATGTTGTCTATAGAGATGTTGTCCATAGAGATGTTGTCAATAGAGATGTTTCTATAGAGATGTTGTCCATAGAGATGTTTTCTATAGAGATGTTGTCTATAGAGATGTTGTCTATAGAGATGTTGTCCATAGAGATGTTGTCAATAGAGATGTTGTCAATAGAGATGTTGTCCATAGAGATGTTGTCTATAGAGATGTTGTCAATAGAGATGTTGTCTATAGAGATGTTGTCTATAGAGATGTTGTCTATAGAGATGTTGTCAATAGAGATGTTTTCTATAGAGATGTTGTCAAAAGAGATGTTTTCTATAGAGATGTTGTCTATAGAGATGTTGTCTATAGAGATGTTGTCCATAGAGATGTTGTCAATAGAGATGTTTTCTATAGAGATGTTGTCTATAGAGATGTTTTCTATAGAGATGTTGTCTATAGAGATGTTGTCTATAGAGATGTTGTCCATAGAGATGTTGTCAATAAAGATGTTGTCAATGGAGATGTTGTCAATAGAGATGTTGTCCATAGAGATGTTGTCAATAGAGATGTTGTCTATAGAGATGTTGTCCATAGAGATGTTGTCAATAGAGATGTTTTCTATAGAGATGTTGTCTATGGTGATGTTTTCTATAGAGATGTTCGCGATAGGAACGTTGTCAGTAGAAATGTTTTCAATAGAAATATTTAAGGCAGTTTCAGCTTTTCTGAAACGCAATTCGCATCCTTCCTTCCAGATATCTATGAATGAAACTGATGTTGGCAAGATTGCTCCAATTTGGGTACGAGATGACGCAGTTACCATGTGTATGAAGTGTACAGTTGCGTTCACCAAATTACGAAGGCGACATCATTGTCGTGCGTGCGGCAAGATTTTATGCGGCAGTTGCTCGAGTTACAAAGCACGGCTTGAGTATGATGATAACAAAATCAACAGAGTTTGTGAAACATGTTATAATTTATTGACGAAACACCAGGACAAATCCGGTGATGGCAATGTTAAGAGGAAAGAGAAACTTATTGCAGAGTTGGTGTTAAGCGACTATCTGTTGTATCGAAATGATAATGGGAAAATTTCAAAACGTTGGTGTGTTTTAAAAGAAGACTTTACACTTTATGTTTATAAAGCCAAGAAGGTAGCTAAAGTTTTTTTTTGTTTGCCAGTTGAAATCTTTTTTCATGAATCTTCTATGTAAAAGAGGGTCAGTTCTTTTTTCTTTCGTGATGAGCTGGATCTGAGATACGGTTAAAATGAAGAGTCAGTATCTGAGTCTGTTTTAACAGCTTTACACCGTATAGATAATATAAATTTTATATTTATATTGTATATTAAATATAAAGCTTTCCCAGTGATTCATTAAGAAAAATCTTATTTACCTGGTTTTACAACCAGCCAAATCTCAAAACACATCTTTTCACCCAAGCTCAGTATAATAATTTATTTACAGGATGTGAAAGCACAAATAAGAATTCCCTTACCTGGATATAAAGTTAAGTGCGTAAGTATTTTTTCTAAGAGAGGCAGTTAAGCAAACCTGGTGATAATTGTTATCGCCATAATAAATAATTGGTAATTTCCAGGAAGAGGAGAAAGGAACTAAACGCGTTTTAAAGCTTACTCACCAGCAAAGTCGAACTGTATACATTTTTGAAGTAGAACGAAAAGACGTTTGTGAGAGGTATGTTTGACTTTAAAGATCAGAGCTTGCCTTTCTTATCTCAATCACCCCGAACCAAAACCTCAACTGTTGCTGTTTTCATATTTTAGATGGCTCAAACATTTGGAGTGTGCAATATTTGCGGAGCCTTACCAGGAAAGAGGTTCTGTCTCCAGTCAAGCTACTACACCTCCTTCCAGCCCGCTCGCGTGATTAGATTGACACAAAGCAATTAATGCAATTAGTACGCTTATTTAAAGGCAAGAATCAGTTTATTTTTAAGCGCAATCACACAGAAACTTAGAGAAGAACGTAAAAACTAGCCTAATATGCAGCGCTTATTGTCGCTCAGTCGAAGTCACTAGTGTACCAAAGTAGTTTCTTTTTTCTTGGATACATCTATTTTGTTTCAGTGAGTAAACGTTCATTACGACATTTTTACCAGAGATTGCGATGTTTTTACCCAAAACTGTGATACAATCATTTCAAAACGAGAGTTATGTGGAAAATATGGGCCGATTTTGGAAGTTATCTGTCGTATAATTTGGTGAAAAAATTATACGACACCTAATCCAAATATTGAAACCATTAGACTTGTTAGTTTTTACAAATAATAATTGAATATTCATGAATATTTATGTGGAATCACAAATAACAATTCTAATACTTTGTTGAAGATCAGACGATATTAAATTGATGATGACCAAACGGTTTTATTTCGATACAGAGCTGTAATTAGGAAGACCAAACATTTATATTTTGATACAGGGTTCAAATATTTGAAAAACTTTAAACCTTCATGTATTTAAATAAATTGGATTTTTTGGTATTTAACAAATGATGTATTTGAGTTGTTTATTTTTATTGTTTTATTTTAATCGTGTCGTATCGTGAAAAATGTCAACAAAATGTGGGACGTTAATTTTCTTGAAATTAATATTTTTATTCATGTTTAGTTCAGATGGTCTATTCAGGCTACTCCTTCTTGCAGAAATAAATAAACGACTTATCTGTGGACCCAGAAGAGTGTGACTCCTCATACAGAAACCCGAAACTAACAAGCTCTGACGTTGTCACCTTGTTTATTGGTCATGCTATGCAAATTTGTTTTCACTCACTGCAAAAACAAGTTTCTAACTAAAATAATAATGTTCTGAAATTGACAAAGCAAAACTAGCTACAACACTGCTACTACAGTACTTTCATCCGGTAAGTGAAAAGAATTTATGTTAAGTTTTTGCTCTGTTGAGTCTATGTTCTTCGAAGTAACCTATCTACATGGTCTCCTTGGCGTCTCATGAAAACACCACTGCATAAATGTTCCCATAACATTCCTGGAATCTCGGAACCTTTCGGTATTTTCATATGCACGCACCGCGGATCTGTTTTAACTTTTGTGTCGTATGTTTGCATTGTCGCCCCAGGTCCCCAATTGTTTGTTTTCATTGCGTTCTTTACTATTACTACGCATGTATGACAAAAATAACCTATAAAGAATTGAAAATAAAGTAAAACTATGTGAACTCGATACCATATAAAAAGTGCACTCGGGTAACGTAACAAGACAATTTGAAAATGTCTTCTAGTAGTGAAGGTAATTTTTGTGTTTTTTTTTGTCAGCAGTTAAAATTTAAAATTGGGACATTAGAGTATGTTACATTGCTGTCACGAAAGACATATGTCTCGTTTTTGCTTGTGGCCCGTTTAATGTAATGTTTCATTAGTATTACATGTGCGGCAGCTTGTGAATGTTAAGGTTTACGCACAACATCTAAATGGAATTTTCAATGAATATTATTTTACTTTGTGACCAGACGAAGACTCGTTTATAAACTCAAATGAAAGCGATGATGAAGATGACTACTACGATTATAATGACGTAGATGAAGATGCGATTTCACAAGAGGAGGTTGATTTGGATCCCGAAGCATTTGAGTACCGTATTATCACTGAGTTTGAAGCCGAGGAAATGTTTGATGATTGTGTCGAAAATTTGGCAAAAAGACTTAAAGTATGAGTATACTGTATGAATTGTTTGATAAATTCTATAAAATAAATAATCCCAGCATTGAAATGTATGCTATGTATGTTAACATAGGAATCAAGATATGTTACTAGACTGTTATTGACAGCAAATGACTGGGATGAATCTACTGTTTTTCTCAAGTAAGTTGAAAATATGTGCATAATGGTTATAAAATGGGTTCTATAATTGTTTTATTGTTTCTAGAGCTGTAGTTATTGGGATGATTTTGTAGAATTTTTTATGTGAATCTACTTAGGTTATCTTTAGCATTGAACATAATTTTAAAAATTTAGGTACAACACAAATCGTAAACAATTGTTTTCTGATGCAAGGATCATTTCCATGAATGTCACTCATTCACCGCAGGCAATACATATTATAAATTTCACTTTTCAATTTCAATTTCAATTTTATTATGTTTAGACTTCATCATCATCAATCATTGTCATTTTTCTATACTTTTGTTTCCAGAGAAACCATGAGTGTCAAGTCTGTTTTCAAAGCATCAAATCTTTAGTTGATTTTGGGACATTGTGTAAGCACAAGTTCTGTCGTGACTGTTGGCTGGCTTATATTTCAGTGCAGTTGGAGAATGGTTTGGGTTTAGGTGATTCTGTTTTGAATTTGAAAGTAGATTTGATCTTTGAAAGAAGACATGTATCTTCATAATTTCCAAAACAATATTTTTAGGAATTGAATGTATGATGTGCAACATCCTTGTTGGACCTGATAATCTTCTTAATCTTGGATTAAGTGCAAAGGATTTAAAGCGCTTTAAATCTTTCCTATTGAAAGATCAGATTAGGGTTTGTCTAATTTCCATGTGTGAAAATAGTTGAAATGCTTAAAACAATACAATTCTTCCTTTGCTGTTCAGAGTCATCCTTTGTTCCAGTGGTGTCCAGGACCAAACTGTTCAGCCATAGCTAAAGCTGAAACAAGGGAGGCAAAACGAACAGTTTGTACCAAGTGTCATGCTATATTTTGGTGTGTTGATGGTTTTTACTTGTTTGAGATTAGAACAATGATATAACCAGTTCAATGTACGTAGACAGTAAATACATTGTTAGTTGTGAATCTTGGCAAAGTAATTTACAAAATACATTTATTTTGGGATACATTTACATTCAAAATATCTTAGTGGCAATTTGACTGGTTGTATATTGTTCTTTGGAACTAAATTATGACCAATGGCATTTTGTGCTTTTTAAATTATAATTAAGCTGTTTTAAATGCTATTCTTTGCCCTACAACATATGTTTCTATTGCTGGATATTTTTACTTTCTTATTTTTATTTCCCTGCTGATTTAGTTTCCAGTGCGGTCAAGACTATCACGCGCCTGCAGGTCGTGAAGTTCATTTAGAAGTTTAGTTATAATTTACTCGCCATATATAATGTGAAATGTATTATTTTCTTTATTTGTGATAGATTGTCGTGTGATAAAAAGATGGTTGACGAAATGTCAAGACGATTCAGAAACTGCAAATTATATTGAAGCAAATACAAAAGACGTAAGTACATGTATGTGTACATAAATTTGCGATATCGTGTATTGCAACTTGCCTGACCAGACTCTACATTGTAACATTAGATAGATTTAACAAACACTACGTATCGTCTAAGATGCCGTGAAAATTGGTGTAAATATGGCGTGGACCCAACCATATATGCGAATATCACGCAATTTTTACGCCATTTTCACGAGACCATACGCCGTGTTTGCTAAATCTCTCTATTGTCTTAAAGTGATCACTGATCATTTCGAGCATGTTGAGACTTTACTATAGACTTCCTGTTTATTCAATGCCGAAATTTAGTGTCCTTTGACGTCACATTACGTCGTAATCAGTCAATTCGTTGAAGAATTTATGATTCACGAGCACTTGCTCGTACCATGTGACTTATAACGTTTCGTGATTTTGACACTAAAAAAAACCAGCAGTGTCTTGAAAACGAGAGGAAATGAAGAAAAGGTTTTAAACTATTCATTTACAGCCAATGTTTTCGTTTGCAATTTTATTCATAAGGATTATGTTTTCATGAAAGATGTAAATTTACCATCATTTAATGCGTTGAAAAGAAAGTTGATTTTCTTCTAACGATTCCGGGTGGTGTGGTTTATATTTTAGTGTCCCAAATGTACGATATGCATCGAAAAAAATGGAGGTTGTAATCACATGGTGAGCTATTTATTACCTATTCTTCTCCTTCAAGATCGCTATTTGTAATAAATTCAACAAGAAATTTATAATTACATTTATTTATTGTTTTTGTCTTTATAGCAATGCTACAAATGTCAATACGGTAAGTGTCGAGGGAGGAAATGAAATGAAAACATTTGATCATGTTGATTATGTTATTTGTATTCCATTTGATCTTGACGTCAGAGTTTTGTTGGATGTGTCTGGGAAACTGGAACGAGCACAATCGTGAATACTATGAGTGCAGTATTTATAAAGAAAATCCATCGATGGTGAAAAAGAAATCTGGAACGCTGAAAGCTCGAGAGGCGTTAACGAAATATCTTTTTTACTATGAACGAGTGAGAAAATCATCAGGTTTTATATTTCATTTTCTCTCAAACGTGTTTAATATGCAAGATATCATTCATAAACTAACTCACAATTTACTGGGACATTTACATGGAGCTTTGCTTTGCTGTTCCTTCTCGTTTCTTTCTTTCTAATTACGGTGCTAATACATGACTTTAAGCTCAGACTAGGGAAAATAATACCTTTCTATAGTGGCACAATCATGGTGCTAGTTTACGACTTGAAGCGCAAACTAGAGACAAGATTGATAAAAAAATCCAGGAAAAGGTCAACAATAGCATTGGTACATGGATTGATTGGCAGTACCTCCTAGATGCCGCAGCTTTACTTGCTAAGGTGATTGCAGGCTCAATGTATGATATCTTGTGCTAACAATTATAAGGCAAAACAAAATAAAACAGATTCCGAAAACAGACATCTCATTTTCTTGATATTCTAGATGATACAAGAGTTGTCTAATCTGTTTTATTTTGTTTTATTTGAAATTGTCTGCTTGTCCTGGTTATTGAAAGGTAACGATAAGTTTTTGTTCTATTGAATGCGTATTTATTATATTTCAGTGCAGATACACGATTAAGTACACCTATCCTTTTGCTTATTACTTGGAAGATGAGAGAAAAGACTTGGTAAGTGGCACAACGACTGAATTGGTAGAATAATGATACTTCTAGTGGAAATTTCAAGTTCATGGAAACATTGCAGTATTGTAATGAGTGGAGAAAATTCAAACGAGTCATAAATAGTACAGTTTTTCCTTGGGGGGGTGGGGTGGGGGAGAATGTAAGTTATGTTCGTCGTTATTTAATGTAGTTAGTCAATACATCAAATGTGATGTAGGCTATTTTAACTGTCCTATTTTAAAATTCTTTAGGGTCTTTCTGCCAAGGTCACTAAATCTTCGAGAGATCGTTGTCTTTATCAAAAATTTGATTCTCAATTGAAAATGAAAGAATCAAAGCTGCACAATAGTTTTGTTCTAGATTTAAAATAATCGTAGACTATAGCTTGTGATAAGTTTTACTGAAAAATTTTTTGTAATGAAATCAGTGGATGTTCATCTCATAATACATGAAACAAAATTAAATGGTGTTAATTGAGAAATGATATAGATATATGAAAGATTTTATGGTTGATTCAAAATGCGAATCAAAAGCAGTGTTTTTGTAGCTTTTAACTATCCTTGGATACGTAGTTTTGTTTAAAGTTTCATTATGTAGCTAGTTGCACTTTATTTCTCAGCAGAATTGGTCTGGTCCAACTAAAAAACTGTAGATTTACTATCATGTCAGCAAGTTGCAACCGTTGCTGAATATCGGTTAAGAAGTGACAGCTTTCCTGCTCGTGTTAATAGTTCTCAATCTTATCTTTAGTTTGAATATCAACAAGCACAACTTGAACGGGAGATCGAGAATCTCTCGTGGAAACTGGAACGAGAGGAGCTCTATAATCGAGGCGTAAGAAAAGGCGCAGAATTCTTTTTTTCTTATGCGAATCAATCTAAGAGTCTTTCTTTTTTAGGACTTTGTCAACCAAATGGACGTGGCCGAAAAACGACGTCGAACATTGTTGAAAGATTTCTATATTTCATAATACCCGGACAAGACCTGTTTGTAAATAGACTTTAAGTAAAAAGCGATTTAACCGTCCGTTCATGAAGTGGAGATTTGAAGTGGAGAGTTATACGTACTGCTCCAGAGGCTCTACGGCTTATGAAACAAAATAAGAAATAAACTTGAACGGGACTTTATGATGAACCAATGTCTTTAAAAGCCATTGTAACAAGTTAACAAAGTATACCCGCCCACCCACCCACGGTGGTAAAAAATAAATTGTTCAATCCTCATTATTTCATTGTTGCGTGTGCAATTAATTAGATGACGTAATCAATACACGATTTTATTATTTAACTTATTGATAAGTGCGTAAAGAATTTCATCTAACAAGGTATGTTATCATTACTGTTTTATCTACCTTATTTTATAGTTTTTATGTTTCCCCTCTGTGTATTCGCAACCCTATGGTTCAACAGTTTCCCCATTGCTTAGAAGCTCAAGCTTAAGGTTTTCATGATGGCGACCAACGAAACTACTGCAAACAAAAAAGTGTTCCTGATTAAATTGTTCTTCCTTAGAGTACACCTCACGTCGTAACCATGGAAATAGTCAGGGGCATGAGGGATGACAGTCACGATAGCGTTGATAGTAGTCACATGATTAAAAATGGCGTTTGCGAAAAGGAAAATGACATTCACGTGATGAGCGATGAGGAGGAAGTTATGTTGCCTACAGACAAGATGTTAATCTCGAAATCAAGTTTGTGAAAAAAATGAAACTTATCCACCAAGAGTTGATTTAAGGGTTGAGTCTACTTTATTTCTCTTTGTTTTTCAAAGCGGGGACAAGAAATGCAATGGGAGAGTTTATTCCTGGTGATGGAGAAAAACCTTTTACCGAACTATGTAAGTCTGTTCTTTTTGTAAATTTATACATCAAGAAGAAATCGATTACAACACCGTTTATGCAGCTCAGTTGATTACATCTCCGTCTGTGTTTCACTCGACAATGTCATTTAGGCTCAAATTACCTACAATCATGGTCAGCGGCGGTGATTAAACATAAGTCGTGGGAAATTGTTTTGCGTGTGAGACATAAAGCAAACCATTCAATGTAGGTGTTATGTTTTTTATAGCATTACCAAGCCCAGGACCTTCGAGCTATAGCCTAAGGGTGGGGCTAACCAAACCAATGGTTCCCTCGTATTCAATTGTGGGCAGAGGCAAGGACGAGCTGAGTGAGTTGAGACAATGTATGACGTTATATATGACGCACATAACAATAAATCAATATAACACAAAACAACGTTTGCTGTCCATTAAAAAAACATCAGTGTCTTCATCATAGCTGTATATTTAGGAAATTTGAGTCCAGGTCCCAAATACGACACGAGTGATGACGTTGTGTGGAAAAGAAAAACATGCAGCTTAAAATCCAAACTGGAAACATCACCATATCGACCACACCATAGTGATCACCTGACCTGCAGTCTTGGAAGTGCTGCGTACAAGGTCGATTACTACGAAACTGGACGACACGCTCCGAAGTGCACGATTGCGACAAGATTTAGTGAGCCTGTCATTCCTGGTCCTCCAAACTCAGCCATTGAACCTGTCGACACTAAAGGTTGGACGTGTAAAATTCAGTTTCATTAAGTTTTAACTGGAATATAATGATGTTTTGTTGTTCAGGTTTTTCAACTCCGGGTCCAAGTTACTTTCCATCTTCATCCCAAGCTATGGAGAAATCTTTTGGTCTGAAATGTAATATAGCAGTAGATAATGGTGTCCCGGGTCCAGGAAAATACACAATTGAAAAAAAAAACAGTGGATCGCAGTACTCATTTGGTCGTAAAGTCAGCCATCGTTCACGTATGTCCTTTTGTTAATTTGCTGCTTTACAATTGATTAAGGCAGTTCTTTAAGTTATTTTCTGGATAAAATGTTTAGCATTATGTGGGCCAGGTCCTGCTGCCTACAGTATAAAGACTAGCATTGGTTCTGGAGTAACGACATCAATAAGAGGAAGACCTAATGTGCCCACAAGTAAGCATTTTAAAAATAATTGAATTTTCTAAACTCCAAGCTACTGACGACACTGATTGAATTTTCTACCGTGTTGATTTCATAGGAGACTTGGTACCAAGCCCCAATCATTATTTTTTACCGGACACGTTTCAAGATGCTGCACAATACAGCATGACCTACAGAACGTTCGAAACGGAAGGTACCCTAACGATTTTCGGATCGACTTCGTTTTGCAAGATGTTGCAGATTGCATTTTTTTATGTTTAAATTTATATGGATTGTTTTAATCTCAGAATTTGAAACACCTGGACCTTCTCACTATGGTTCAGACTGCAGCAAACATTGTAACTCAACACCAGAATATTCCTGTCGCCGAAGGTGTCGTCCAAGTTTTCCTGCCATACTAAACTATCCAGAATACGGTTGGTGATGTTGTCAAGTAAAACAATCTTATCAAATGTTTCATTTGCACATGCGTACTACGGAGTTTAAGGTTCATGCTGAGGTATAGGCTGTAGTCAAGGCCAGCAGAAAATGCACTTACTTTAACATGGCCAAATTGATGCTAAATGTGAAAATTATTAGAAATGTTCGTTACTAGTTCGAAATGGTCTTCGCTGCTTTTTACTCCTCTTCTCGGAAGGACTTTAAAGAAATAATAGAGCTTTTGCGCAAGTTGATAAGAGTTTGTTTTCAATATAGGATTAATGAAGAATAAACGTGTTGGACCAGACAGTTATGATGCAGAAAAAGGTTTTCACAACAACAGCTCGCCCGCGTTTTCGATTGGAAAGCGGCATTCGTGTTTGAAAAGTACGTCTGTTCCATGGCCTGTTCCTTCATTTATGTGCTTGAATAGATATTAAACATATTCTTAATGTATTGAACCAGATGAAAATCCTGGTCCCAGTCACTATACCATCAATTCACCATGTAAACCTGATGCTCCTACAGCACCAACATTCACAATGGGAATCGTTACAAACAAAGGTCAGCTTTCTCCCAACTTTAAGATACATTAGTCTGCTACTGTAACACTCAAATAAAAATTTTGAAAATTTTCTATGCCAGTCACTAACAGATCTGATCCAGGACCTGCTGCTTACTACCCAAAAACCAACACGCCAGCTAAAGGATGCAGCATGGGGAGCAGACAAAAACCCCAAAAAGGTGAGATGTTTAAATAGAGGGGAATTTTCATGCTTATATATTTCAAGACTCGATCAATAAAAGTTGATCATTACTTGAAAGCTATCAAAGACGGTTTCAAACGGAAAATTTAGTGGTTTGGAATTTCTTTATGATGAACATTGGATCAACAAAACTGGAATTTTATTGTAAAGAAAGAGATAATACCATTAAGTAAAATAGTTTAGGGTGAGCTATTTCTGTACTAGCGCTCATCCAAAGCGAAAGAAAAGCATCGATACTCTAATTTTAAGAAACATATGATATTTTATAGTTAACAAGACTCCAGCCCCAAATGCTTACAATGTGATCAAAGGTCAGACTAGTAAAGGAATTAACAATGGTTGTTCTGTGTCGTTTAAGTCAAGAGCAAGCCCATACGTCTACTCGGGATTTACAAATCTTTCCAGAATCACAACATAAAAACAGCAATTCAAGGTATTTGTAGAATAATTTTTTGGTTTGGAAAAACTATATTTTACTACTGTTTGCCAAAACTAATTCAAATTTCGAAACATTGTCATGATCTTATTAAAGCTAGAGAACCATGCAGTTTTTACACGCTGTAAGTAATACATGAAATGTCTTTGGTCAATTATCTAATGTTCTGATGTGATAGATTCTAAAATTTTTGGCAATATGGCCTGTTTGCACTGTTTATCGTCCAACGCTTATACCATCAGCTCGCACAACTCTTACTGGGAAAGGGGACCCTTGGATATGCTTATCCCCCCACAGTACTTTAAGAATATAGTCTCCTGGGTCCTCCAAACTATATTCAACCAGGAATACGTTACCTCCATTATGCCGAACATTGATTTCATTCACTGGAATGGTCGGGCCTTCGACCCCTACGAGAAGGGAACCTCGACCTGCTTTACTACAGTTGACTGTGAAGAGACTTGGTTTACCTTGAATGCCGCCGTACAGACCCGACCCGCGTGATTTACATAAGTGAGCATTGACTGTGTTGGTATCTGGAGAAACTTTAATAATAAACGGGTTTCCTGGTACGCCCTCTCCTCCTAATACAATGTTGATCTTATAATCTCCGCTGACCATTGCTGTATACGAGAGAAGATATAAGCCTTCACTTTGTTTTTCACAATGGACATCCAACTTGGCTGGACCTTCAGCATCTATAGACAAAGTTCCTGGACCAGCATCTTTTGCGTCTACAGTAATGCTAGTTTCCTGGCCCACAACTGCTTCTTTGAGACCTGGTCCAAAGACACGGATCTTGCCTGGCGCACTCTTTTGCTCTTCAACATGGAGCTTGTAAGGGCTACCGGACAATGGTACCCCCTTAAAAAAGATGTGTATGATGTAATCACCGGGTTTTTCTGGTGTGAACGATACTCCGTACGTATCATTATCGACTTTGGTCACTTCTCCCGGTATCTTTTCTCCAGAAGGTGTTATGACGTGGGACGTTAGCTCTCCAGCAGTACCCGTATGTGGGACATGCAGTGTGAATTTCGCGCCAACTTTTACATTTTTGCTTGATAAAACCGTTGGCTCACCAGATTCCCCTTTCGGTACCGTGACGATTGACTTGAAAATATCAAGATCGTTGAGACGCATGTACAGGATGTATTTACCAGTTGCCTCGGGCGTAAATGAGATCTTGTATTCATCTTTTCCATTGGGTTCGCATATTATTTTACTCGCAGCAGGACCTTCAACAGACACACCCAATTTTCCTCCTCCGGAATCCTTCGTTGACAACACATACTCACAAGGCACGCCAACATTCCCTCTCGCTTCCTTCGGTCCAGTAACTTTGGCGTTGCTCTTCAACTGCCAGTTGGCTATGTCAATATCAACCAAGAATGGACTTCCAGGGATATGTTTTCTGTCATACAACACATTCACCTTGTGCGTTCCACTATTGCGCGTCACGAAAGTGATCGTGTACTTGTCATCAGTCGTGGAGACAATCTCAGCATTTTCAACTTTCCCAGTCGGTGTCTCTACATTTGTGCTCAATTTACTGATATCATAGCCTGTCAGATCAACCTCCAGGCCGTGAGGGCGTTGTGTTGCATTTACATCATACGAAGTGGGTGTTACCGAGCTCTCTACGATAAACTCTCGTCGGCTGATATCGGCAGGTGCCGTGTACATTCGTGATGGAGATATCTAAATTAAATCCATGCCCATTGGTAAACAATTCTGACGATGATGAAAACTTCAATTATGATTTGACTGCTCACATCCAGTAAAACTTTTTTCTGACATTTTGTGAAATTCTTACTTCGTGAAGTCTTTAGCACACTCAGCACTTACCTTATCCGGCATAGAACCGTCAACGTCTGCGACTGCGCAGATGAAGGGACTACCTGGGATATGCTGATCAGCAAATTTGATGTGTATCGTGTACATCCCGGGAGCCTTGGGTAGAAAGTTAACCTCACACGTGCCATCCTCTTTTGATAAACAGTTTAATTCAGCCTTACTGGGACCTTCCACAGAGAAACCAAGACCACCACTTCCAGCCTCACGGGCATCAATAGTAAACTTGCTCAATTGTCCGGAAGTCCCTCGTTTCCAGCCTAATAGCGCAATATCGAGATAGACTAAGATATGATCACAGGACGTTGGAGAAAAGTTAAAATGAATAAGTAATGAGAATTATTATCTAGTTCAGCCATTGGTTGATTTTAATCAACTTACCCTCGCCAATTAATTTCACCTTGCTAGAGTCCGGTGGCTTGGGTCCTTCAGCGCGAACGGTGAAAGGACTCCCAGAGATCTGTTGTCCGTTCTTGTAAATATATACTAAATGGTCCCCTGTCACCACTGGCGCAAAACTCAAAGACACTGTGTTATCTGGCATTAGTTCCAAGCTTAGACTGTCTTTTGGGTGTTCATCACCTTTGAAAGTAATGTCAGACCATCTTATCGTCAATTACTTCATCTTAGGGACGACCAAGGTTTTTCATTAAGCTTCTACATTCAACATTCATTTTGTACTTGCTTACCTGGTCCCTGTAGTTTGCCTGTCAGATGTTTAAAATCCGATGGAAGATTGACTCCCGGCAGTTCTAACGCCAGGGTCAATGCGTTTGCCGACATTCTAAAGTTGAAAAATTACAAATTTTCATGACTTGTTATGAAGCGATGATGTAAAGACACGCGCGGCTCGCTTAAATAAATACGTAAAAGTCTAAATAAGGTGCATGCTTTTAGTTGATAAAATTTGGTTCAGGAAATTAGATATTTTCATGATGTCATTGATGTGGTACTTGTCGTCACTTGCTCAACGTCAAAATAATTGCAAATAATATAGATTTCTGCTTTTCTACGTTTTCACTTTTTTTGGTTTTTCAGAACTTTTGTGCGCATAAGATTATGCTTGCATATAGCTCGACTTTACCAAATAATTATTATGAACGTCGATTGCGTTGTGCATGCCATTATTTTGCAGTTGCACATCGAAATGCATTTCAATCTTTCCAAGATTGTATTTTGTTGATACAGTGCTCCAATTTTATTTACTCAAGACAGTTGTATGAGGCTATGAGCCATAAAAACTGTAAACAGTTATTTCTTTTTCACAGCTAATTATTCTTCCAAATCGCCAGTCAATGACTTTAATGTCGATGTCATTTCCCCGTCTTGAATATTGGATTAACTAAATTGACCATAAATGCGCGCTAGTAAACGCCTTTCAAGGCATTAATATGAGCCAAAGAGATTAATTTTCACAGGTCACTGTGTCATAAAGTTTTGAGTTTAGTTGTGCAAAGTGAATGCCTTACCTTCTGGTAGATCGTATGTTAATGATATGAAGGATAAATAGAAAGTAAATCGCAACAAACTCTTCTTAAATGAAAGCAAATTCTCTAATAACAAATGTCAAACTAGTAAGATGAATTTGAACTGATTTAATCAAAGAGCGTTCACATGTCTCCGTACAAGTCCATTTCATCTTGATCTTTTTATCATTAATAATTTTCTACAATCTACATTTAATTTGTACATTCGTGTGTTTCTATGAAAGCCAAAACCACGTGGAACACAAGAAAACCTCGCTGGCGTTTATTACACCTGTCGTACGACATATCAAAGGTGCTTGAATCAGATATCTTTAAGTTATCGAGGTCTACAGTTATGACAGAACACCAACAACAGACGTAATTTTAGTCTATCACGACTATCTTTTTGTGCTGATCTATTTGTAAAACCTTGTGAACGGATTGCAATCATTTGCGTTACTTTGCTACTGGAAAAACATTCATATTTAGAAGACAGGCTATAGCTTATAAGTTTACGTCTCGTATTTCGTCCTTCGATTAGGCAATATGAAATATTGATTTGGTGAATCAATTGTCTCTATAGACGATATTTAACCATTTGCTTTACATGCAAAAACATTATAAATGTTTGTCTGAGCCATTTGTTTTATGACTATGATACCTGTACGCATCGCTAAACAAACTATAGTACATTGTGACAACAAGTCGCTAATGGCAGTGAAGATATAACGTTTTGATAATTTTTACCTCAAAGACGTATCACTCAAATTATACTTCGCGTTGTTGAAGGCGAATCGTCGGATATGAACGCAATTGCAAGTGCCGTGCAACAGTGCAAAGGGTATTTGTCTGCTTGTATTTAAAATCAAGCTTTATATGAAAGTTTTGTTTTCAAAGAACGGAACAGGTGTGGTCAGTCTCAACCAATATTGTCTGTGCGTTTATCCTGTCATAAGAGCTCTAATTACCACATTTGCTTTACAAGGCAAGCATTTTGATGGATGAAATGAAGTCGTATTCAATGCTTGAACTTTTATAGACATTGGTGCGGTAGACGACACGAAACTGTGTACGGTGTACCTCATTCTAAAGTGTCAATTATGAACTATGTAAAGCTTAAGCTGTTCATCTAAGATTAGAAGTTAAATCTAATTTTCTGTGGTTTGAATATCATTTGCAATCTACGTATTTGCTGCTGTATTTCCTTATGTTATTTTTTATCATTATCTCCAGCGAAACGAGCGTAAACAGCGCTTGGCCTGGAAATAAAAAAATCCAGGAAATTTAATTTTTTCCCAGCAAAACGTTTCATGCCGAAGGAGCCGACGTTTGCCGAAGTAATTACGGCGAAGCAGCTGTTGTCAAACTTCTTAGTCATAAAACTTTGGCATTTATGTATAACTCGTGTGTTTCTTTTCGGAGTGGTTAGCAACAGCAGGCAGTTGTTGATAGTTGTTAGGCACCTTGAATACGCCATTAAGTGTGAAAAAAAGCAATTTATCTGGATTTGTCTGTCGCTGGAACAGTTTTGGAATTGTATAATTAACTGTGTTGTAGAGGTAAGAACAAAGTTTATGAAGTTTATTAAACAATTTGTCTAAAAACGGGATTAGTTATGGAAACATTGTTATCAGATTATTGTTAGTTTGTCTTTGGATTACCTCAACATGAGGCAATCGAACGCAAAATGTGCTTGTTGATTTTAAAATATTAGTATAAACACGTCTGTGGAGGTTGAAACCTCCAAATCTTTGTTATTCTAAGAAAATTATTTGGCTGGAGTTATGGTTTTATTTTGTATTTGTTGATGTAATATAAGCAGAAAGGAAGGTGAGGAATTAGAACAAGCTTTCAATTTACTTTAACACCAACGACATATTTTTGATATAATAGTATATTAGGTGTTCATAATGATATGAATGATGTCTATAGGTTTATACATGAGTATGCACACGTTTTAACAGCATCATATGCCTTAGGCACTTAAAATCAACTTGGATTACGGGTAAAGTACAGTCATGCAGTGCCTAGACCATTTGTGTGGGACATTTAGATAAGGCAATGTAACATAGAAATAAGATTTAATAGCTTGAGATTTGGTATTTTAAGGATCTATATACCTCATTTGCCCACGTCATTGGCAGCTGATCTTAGCAGGTGGCAATTCATACATAATCCGCTGATAATTGTTGTATTATTTTTATTGTTTCAGAGTACAAATGGACTATGTTATGCATGAAAAGTAGAAGACAGAAGCGCATTCACTAGATGGCAATTTTAGAGTTGTAGCCATTAATAATATCATCTGCATTGCACGATGGGAACAAACAGTAAGCTTCCAAAGATTCGTGGACATGTTGTGTTTGTTGGAAGTAAGAGTAGTGGTAAGAGCAGTTTATATCAATGTATGAAGTCTCCCAACCCCCATATTACCGAAGACTCCAACTGCTCAGTATTGGTGGAACATTGGACACCATTTAGCAATGACAGTCCAGGTAGGTATATAGCTACATTATCGTGATGCATGTTTAGAAATGAGTGATTTCCTTTTGTATCATTTGTAATTTAAGTATCGGATGAATGTCGCAAGTATTTTGCTGACATGGATGATAATCTGGATGAGAGTGTGGTTGTTTGGGATATCTGTGGATTAGAGGTGATTTGTGTGATTATTGTTTACAACCATAGTAATAGTAGGATGCTACCATTTAATATTACAATCATAGTAGTAGTAGGAGGCTACCATTAAATATTACAACCATAGTCATAGTAGGAGGCTACCATTTAATATTACAACCACAGTAGTAGTAGGAGGCTACCATTTAATATTACAACCATAGTCATAGTAGGAGGCTACCATTTAATATTACAATCATAGTAGTAGTAGGAGGCTACCATTTAATATTACAACCATAGTCATAGTAGGAGGCTACCATTTAATATTACAATCATAGTAGTAGTAGGAGGCTACCATTTAATATTACAACCACAGTAGTAGTAGGAGGCTACCATTTAATATTACAACCATAGTCATAGTAGGAGGCTACCATTTAATATTACAATCATAGTAGTAGTAGGAGGCTACCATTTAATATTACAATCATAGTAGTAGGAGGAGGCTACCATTTATATTACAATCATAGTAGTTGTAGGAGGCTACCATTTAATATTACAATCATAGTAGTAGGAGGCTACCATTTATATTACAATCATAGTAGTTGTAGGAGGCTACCATTTAATATTACAATCATAGTAGTAGTAGGAGGCTACCATTTAATATTACAACCATAGTAGTAGTAGGAGGCTACCATTTAATATTACAACCATAGTCATAGTAGGAGGCTACCATTTAATATCACAACCATAGTCATAGTAGGAGGCTACCATTTAATATTACAATCATAGTAGTAGTAGGAGGCTACCATTTAATATTACAACCATAGTAGTAGTAGGAGGCTACCATTTAATATTACAACCATAGTAGTAGTAGGAGGCTACCATTTAATATTACAACCATAGTAGTAGTAGGAGGCTACCATTTAATATTACAACCATAGTAGTAGTAGGAGGCTACCATTTAATATTACAACCATAGTAGTAGTAGGAGGCTACCATTTAATATTACAACCATAGTCATAGTAGGAGGCTACCATTTAATATCACAACCATAGTCATAGTAGGAGGCTACCATTTAATATTACAATCATAGTAGTAGTAGGAGGCTACCATTTAATATTACAACCATAGTAGTAGGAGGAGGCTACCATTTATATTACAATCATAGTAGTAGTAGGAGGCTACCATTTAATATTACAACCATAGTAGTAGCAGGAGGCTACCATTTAATATTACAATCATAGTAGTAGCAGGAGGCTACCATTTAATATTACAACCATAGTAGTAGCAGGAGGCTACCATTTAATATTACAATCGTAGTAGTAGGAGGCTACCATTTAATATTACAACCATAGTAGTAGTAGGAGGCTACCATTTAATATTACAATCATAGTAGTAGCAGGAGGCTACCATTTAATATTACAACCATAGCAGTAGTAGGAGGCTACCATTTAATATTACAACCATAGTAGTAGGAGGCTACCATTTATATTACAATCATAGTAGTAGTAGGAGGCTACCATTTAATATTACAACCATAGTAGTAGCAGGAGGCTACCATTTAATATTACAATCATAGTAGTAGCAGGAGGCTACCATTTAATATTACAACCATAGTAGTAGCAGGAGGCTACCATTTAATATTACAATCATAGTAGTAGTAGGAGGCTACCATTTAATATTACAACCATAGTAGTAGTAGGAGGCTACCATTTAATATTACAACCATAGTAGTAGCAGGAGGCTACCATTTAATATTACAATCATAGTAGTAGCAGGAGGCTACCATTTAATATTACAACCATAGTAGTAGCAGGAGGCTACCATTTAATATTACAATCATAGTAGTAGTAGGAGGCTACCATTTAATATTACAACCATAGCAGTAGTAGGAGGCTACCATTTAATATTACAACCATAGTAGTAGGAGGAGGCTACCATTTATATTACAATCATAGTAGTAGTAGGAGGCTACCATTTAATATTACAACCATAGTAGTAGCAGGAGGCTACCATTTAATATTACAACCATAGTAGTAGCAGGAGGCTACCATTTAATATTACAACCATAGTAGTAGCAGGAGGCTACCATTTAATATTACAACCATAGTAGTAGCAGGAGGCTACCATTTAATATTACAACCATAGTAGTAGCAGGAGGCTACCATTTAATATCAACATTCATAATGTATATGGTTTTGTTTGGATTGATGATGAAAAAATCACCAAGTAAAGAAAGGTGTAAATTTCTTTCTGATACTTTTTTTACTTTGTGAAACATCATTTTTTTAGTCTCTATGGACTGTTCAACAACTATGTTTTCCTCCAAAAGCATTATTCATCATTGTCTTCAGTGTTCGTAAACTGCATGATGCCAAAAATGTCCCTCAATGGGTTCAAATGATTCAAGCTAAGGTATGTCGCCTTTTATTGTTCATATCTAAAAACAATGTTGATCATAATCTACCAAACACTCAAGTAACAACTTCGTTCAACTAACGCATTTAGAAGTTCTTTTTTTGAAATGAAAAACTGCAATCATTTAAATGTTTAGTTTGCCTTTTCACTGTGAAATGCAAATGATGATGGTATATAACAGTTAATGATGATTGGTGGAATCTGTGATCACTTGTAGTAATAAGTATCTTGTCGCCATGCTTAAGATGGTGAAAACTGGAAAAGTAGTCTTTCGTCCCTCAGAAATTTTCAGAGAAATTGCATTTGGAAATAGCATTCTAAGTTGGTATTTTTTAAAAAAATTCTCTTGTTCAAAATACAAAATCTTCGTTGTTCATCATAGAATATCGAAAGGATTTTCACGTTGATTTGATGACATGTTATGTTAGCAGTATTTAGGGCGTCATTTTAGGTCTCCTCACCAAGTTTATCTTTTTGATAGTCTGGTATCTCAACACGTTTTATACACTTTATTTACGTTTTTAGTCCGTCGGTGCAAACATTTTAATTGCTGCAAGTAACTGTGAAGTGTTTGAAGGCTCATTTCAAAATATCTTTGATGACATAAAGGAGTTAGAGACCAGACAATTGCGTGATATCAATGCAGAATTAGACGAATTGAGGCAAGCTGTCGATTTATTGCTTTTCTTACAGCTTATTGTAGTACTATAAATGTAGCATACACAACGTTTTAAACTTCACATCATTAAATTCGTCTTTATTTTAGAACACTGCCAGGTAATTCATGGGTCTCCTCGCGCATTGAAAAGTTGGAAAGAATAGCAAAAAACCGTCCGAAAATTTCACCCACTATCCACGTGACTAGCGCTGTCTCAGGAAAGGTTCGAACTTTTATGTATTGTTTAGTAAATAGTAACGAAAGTTACCAAGTATAGTATATTTTTCTATGGTTGATGACAATATACCATACACTTCTCTATGGTTGATGACAATATACCATACACTTCTCTATGGTTTATGACAATATACCATACATTTCTCTATTGTTGATGACGATATACCATACACTTCTCAATACATGATGACAGTATACCATACACTTCTCTATGGTTGATGACAATATACCATACACTTCTCTATGGTTGATGACAATGTAGCATACACTTCTCTATGGTTGATGACAATGTAGCATACACTTCTCTTTGGTTGATGACAATGTAGCATACACTTCGCTATGGTTGATGACAATGTAGCATACACTTCTCCTTGCCTGATTACAGCACTGAGATTATGCAATCACTTCTTTTAAATAGTTTTTGTTTCCAGGGTGTTCCTGAGCTACGTCGTGCGATTCTTTCTCATGTTTTCAACTGTCCACCTGTCAACAAGCAGCTGAGCGAACAAGACATGAAACTTTTTCGAAAACTACGGCATGACGGAAAGAGGATAGCACTTACAACTCAGAAATATCACGGAATTTTGTCTGAACTCGGTGTCCATGACAACGAGGAAGTAATGACGCAGCGGTTTACAGAAAAGGTAACGATAGGTGAAAGTGGTGAATTTTCATTAGAACAACATAAAATGATTCTTTATAACAGTAATTTCAAAGCGTCCTATTTCTAACTGTTTAGGTCCTGTTGTCTCGCGTTAAGATTGCTGGCTTATTTGAACAACCTGACGACGCAATCATGATCGTTGACCCTAGCGGTTTTGCGAACGCATGCGCAATGATCCACCGTGACGAGAGCCCGCAAGATTTTGTACAGAAAATTCAAAGGTCGCCGTTAGTGGAGAGATTTTGGCCAACGTCGACGAGACCGAACGACTGGACCCTAAGAGCTGCAATTGAGGACATTGTAAATCGAGGAATGATTCGAGAATCGTTTTTTCCCTTGTGTTGGCAGGTATGAAAACATTGTTTAACAAAACGTAAAATAAGCAACTTATTATTTAGCACATTATCAGCAAAGGACACACTATCAAGTGCATTATGAACACGTGACACGCTGTCTAGGGCTTATGAGCACGTGACACGCCATCTAGTGAATTATGAACACGTGACACGCCATCTAGTGAATTATGAACACGTGACACGCCATCTAGTGAATTATGAACACGTGACACACTATCTAGTGCATTATGAATACGTGACACACTATCTCTTGCTACATCAACATATGGCTTACTTTCTAGCGCATTAGCAACAGGCGACACACTATCTAGTGCATTATCAACGTATGGTTTACTCTCTAGCGCATTATCAGTTGTCAACACTTTTTTTCGAAGACTTATGACATCGATGAAGGCACTGTAAAGCAGCTTATTTCTGCCATGTTGAAGCTTGGTGTTATTATCGAGGGAGCTCCTAAGGCTGGCTACGAAATTGAACTTGCATTGTCCTATTTCAAAAATCTGTCCGTCACGAAACGTTATTATTTACCTCTGTTGTCAAAGCTTCCTGTCGAATTACCGGTTAGTGGAAATTTTCATTTTTTCAGAGAATCATGTTTGATTTATTCAGTTGGATATATAGTACTAAAATTTTATGCACGGGATGTATTTATTCATTGCTGAACTGTCCTTTCTTGGATTTTCTGTGATCGATCTTCTGTTTTTTAATGTTTAATTCATCCTGTTATCACAGGAGTCAATTTTTTATGACTACGTGCAACCGAACAAAATGAACCAAATTTTTGCAAGTTCCATGCTAAGACTTACGAACTTTTTTTTAACTTCCAGCGAGGATTTTATTTGTTGATCCTGTTTCGTGAAACATAGAAACGTAAACTTGAACAACTGTATTGATGTTATAGGGTGAACTCTGGCCCAGTCCTACTCCTTCATTAACAGTTTCTGTAAATTGGTGCTTCGAGTTCCAGGAAGGTTTCTGTGAGAAAATTCTCTTATGTATCTTGGCTGCGTCCAAAAACGCTCAACCTTCGCTTTCCGTTCTTTCTTTTTGGCGAACTGGTCTTATTGTCAAACGTGGCGTCGTCGATGTACTCCTGAGTATCAAGTCACGTGCATATCACATGACTGCTCGTTGTGCTGTTACGTGTGGTAACAGGCCAGCATTGAATATGGCGTGGAGTACGTTGGCGAAGTTTATAAACATTGCCGAACGTTATCTCTCTAACTTTCCTGGTTTATATTATCGTGTAAGTCAATAATATAAACAAGTTTAATAAGTGAGGTTAAATAGGATCTCTGAGGAGCATGGGTCTCGTGTTGGGATAGTTAGGAGATGAAAATTACGTTCATTCCCTCCGTCCCTTGTTAATCATGCTTCTAATACGAAAAACGTCATCAATTATCTTTTGTGAAATCCGTTGAAATCAATTTGTAATTAATCATAAATCCTTGCGCATCACTATTCTGTCCTATCGTAGAAGCCACCTAGAAACTTTTTCCTGTCTTTTCGTTGTTAGTTTGGCTGTCATAAAACATTAAATGAGAATGTTAAAAGTCTTCATCGTGTTCTATGTGACCATGCGGACAATACAGAAGACTCCTCTCAATATTTATGGCTTATTCCCTCTATCGGTAAGGAGCGTTTTTCCTATTATTCACACCTAAATAGAACAGAATCAATTGCTTTATCAAGCTCAGATTTCCATTATAGCAAATATGTAAAGAAAGGCTCTACACTGATCAATATGAAACCAGTTAATTCAGCTTAAGTTAAACCATCTTATAATAAGGGGCATAACCAGCCCGCAAATCAGTTCATGCTATGTAAAATTTTTCACAATAAGCACGATTTATTACTTTAGACATTTATTGCTTTTATACAGTAAGTGTGTGAACACCAAAATGTTTACTTTGCGTGAACAAACGTGCGGGATGGCTGGCTACGTCACATTGAACCGATTACTGGTTTCACTCATTACCTTGACTTCATTCACAGGTCCTTTTTCAAATGACTGTAAAACTGCATTGTTACCATCGAATTTGCAAGAGTGGATGCAAAATTTATTAGGTATAATCAAAGTGAAGTTAACTTAAAAAGACCTTCGTTCAAAATACCTGTGTTTATTTTTTCCAGACCAATCTACTGTATGTCTTTGTTATTGTGAGAGCAATACAGAGGAAGCAGAAGCACTGGGATCTAGTCTTGAGAGTGCTGGTCTTATCACATATCTCCGGTCGTCAAAGATTTCTTCCACTGACTGTAAAAATCTCCTGGAGCGGTGTTCTTTAGTTGTCATGTTGATCACAAAAATGTATGTTTTGCATCGTTTTTCATTCAAGTTTTCTGAACAAGTCTGCCATTTGCTTCGTTTCTCCTTGTGGTAAAATTGGGTCACCTTTCTTGCAGTCGCTAATTTAATGTTGTTCACTTTCGTTGCAATCATTGCTATGCGTTTAAGTGTCCGTTTTACTGAAAAAGATGTGAAAGATAGCTCAGTAAGCTTCACAGTCATGAACGAAGTGAGGGGAGGGAGATTGGGTTTAGTGTAACTTTGCATAGGTTCCCATATAAAACCCTGATTGAATATAATGAGCAAACTATTTATGCGAACATTCTATTTTGTCATTAATTACTTTATCTGTCTCTCTTTGTCAAAGTCAGCAATAATCTTGTAAAAGCGATTTTTATTTCTTCAATGTGGTTGGGATGTGGGTAAATGTGATTGGGCGAAATGTTTGTAAGCGTCGTAGCCATTGGTTTTCGTAACCAAAAATATTATGGTATCTTTGCAATTTTTTTTTTGTATTCATTTTTAGATTTCTCGAAGACTTGAATTTCCAAAAATATATCCACGTGTTCGAGGACCTTAAAAAACACATAGTTGGAGTTAAACTTGAGAAAGATTTAATTTCTCCTTTCAACAACACAGTGGACGTGCAGTCCGATCGTGGAAAGGATAATTTGTTTGTGTTTGATCAAAAACAGTTAGAAACATTATTCACAGTGTGTAGACGCCATATATTTGGTACTGGAGATATTGAATCGCCAGACACAACAGATCACGTGGTACCGGAGACTTCAGATTTATTTACCAACTCTCCTACGCAGACAAAGGAACCTGTGAGAGAGACAAGCCAAGGGAAATACGTTAAATTTCAGACTGATCACTTGAGTGAAGACTCGGATGACAGCAATCATATTCGGCCTTATGCTGCTTGTACTGTAGCTGCTGCAATGGTTGGTGCTGCTGTCGAACATTTGAATCAAACCAGGAAATCAAGTTCTGCGGGCATGCGGGCTGCAAATGCCACTGCGAAGGTGGCGCGGGCGGTAGCTCATGGTGATGCTGACGCGGCTACGAATGCAATGAGTGATGTGGTAAAAATTGTTGATAAGGTTTCGAACAATTTGAAAAATATGAATGAAGATACACCTCGTCGTAACAAAAGCAAAACATGTGCTATCATTTAGGCACAAATTATTTTCTGATTACATTGGAATTACCATTTGAATGACTTAACTGTTTCTTCTAATGAATGTGTTACCAAATTGTGTCTATTTAGCACCCCTTAAGTAGCTAATTCTTTTCAGACCTTTCAAGAGGGGACGTTTTAACGATTAGGGACTTATTATTTAGCACTGCCTAAAGTTTTACACAGTTCCATGAAAATGCCTTACTTTCAATAATCGTATTGCGTATTAGGGAGCGCAAAATTGAAAACCAACTGTTTAAAAAGAAATTTTATAGTGAAGCATATTTCAGTAGTTTCTTTAGTATACACAGCGGGAAGGGGGTGATAAAGAGGGGGATTATAGTTTCCTATACTCCAAGCGGGAGGAGATCTATAGAACTTCGCTTTTTTAAAAAAAATCATCACTATGACGTAACATTGGATAGTAAGCTTGTATAGTACAGACTTACACGGTTTTTGCCTTCCAGTACATACATTCATCTACACCTGTTTTCATTAAAGGCATTAAACTGGCATACTATGAATGAAACAATTTGACCACGTTGAGAATTTTTGTATCTTACTATATGCAATACGATGTTATAGTGATATTGTTTGCAGAATGAAAAAAATTTTTTAAAACATCCTTAGAAAAAAGAGGCAAATCCATCCGATTCAATTGAAGAAGTCATTAAGTCATTTTAAATGTTCTTTGTAATGTAATCAGAAACATGCGATGAGATTTCATTTCGTAAAAACGCAGCCAGCCCGCTTGTAATATATATCGTACCGATATGCAAATTCTATTTCATTATTGGATTCTGAAGAATGCTGATGTCCTGAAATTTACATAGAATAGTAACAACTTTATATAAAGCTTAAATACAACTTGCTAGTTGGCTACTGTAAACTAGAAATAAAATAAAATGAATTATGTTTTGACTACGGCTGTGCCACTCCACAGTAATTCTCTTGTTCATTCTTATGCTGTAAGTTTTTGAGTAAAATGATAAAATAGTCCAAATTGAATATTTGTGCGAGTCATTTCCTGCTGATCACGTGATAAATTAATAATTGCGTATTGACATACTTTGGAGAAAAATTTTTAACTTTGATAGTTGGAAAAGAATTGTTGAATTGTTAGAAGTTCGTGGTGATTTAGACAAACTTTCCTCGTGAGGAATTAACAAATGGTCTCATAAAGTTGTTTATTTAGGTATTTGATAAAGGTAAGCGTCTTTGACCAAAACATTAGCGTTTTTCATCGAATTTTTGTTGTCATCAACTATAATTAATTTTATTATGAATTGATATTTGGTCCGAATTTTTCGCTGTTGAAATATGAGACTTTCTTATTAACTTTTAAACTCATATTGGCACGAATTTCAAAACCTCATTCTGGTTCAGATTTTTGAAATCCGTGTGGTTGCTGGACGTTAGTGCGAATATTTGACAAATATTTGTTGTAGTTTTATTTTTCCGTTTCAAACGAACGTAATACTTTAAGATATAACAGTAAAAATGTATTATTTTGTTGATATCCACCGAAATAAAGTAATTTGTTGTTAAAGAATGTAAAAGTACGCGGATATTTGGTATTAAAAGCGTTAATGCCTTCTTGGTTGGCAACTTTCAATAACAGTTATAACAGTGATGTATATTTAGCTAAAGCATAAATTACGAACTCATTTTGTTTTGTCTATGTTTCTCATAGGCTGTCTTTATAAATACTTGTTCGTGTTTTCCTAATTTCCCACTTTTTTTCGTTTTCAGTGCTACGAAAATGATTTGGGTACCTATCTCTATTGTCTTTTTGGCATTCGCATCGACAGGTAGCGTGTACAGATAATAATTCCCTAAACGAAAAGCCACTTTAAAGACTTGTCCTATGATTGTGTGAGTAGTTTAGTTTAATGTAAGTTTAATAAACATTTACAGGCAACACCCAGGAACAAAAACCACAGTTGATTACTACTGAAAATAGAGACTACTATGGTTACATAAAAGACTTTGAAGGATTTTCATGCCAGGCAAAAGGAACAAATCTCAAATACAGATGGCAACATAATGACCTTGTAGTGGATCCTGATTACATTCTCAAGTTTCCAAATACTAACACTTCAACTCTGAGACCTCTTATTCGAAATGTTGACAAAAGTTATAATGGTTTTTATCAGTGTTTTGTCAGCAACTCCATTGGGACCATCTTTGGACGCAAACACTTTGTACAGTTTACAAGTAAGTCAAGTTTCTTTGGTTTATATTTAATAGTGTTATGCAGTTATGCCTTCCATTTTTTTTAGAACTATCTATACAGTTAAATTTTTGTTCTTGTGTGAAGTTGTGATGGAAAGTTTGTTAGTATACTCAAGGAATTACAAGTAATTTTTAGTGAAAAGATTTTGTTCATTTTGCAGTTGTTGGTGAATTTTTTGAACGTCCTTCAAATATACCTTCTAATGTAAATGGTGAAGTGGGCTCACCATTTATGATAGATTGTCCACCTCATCAAGAAAGTCAACGGGTCACCTATAGATGGTGGTATGACGCTGATGGTGAAAGTTTACCATTACCTGTTAGCGAATATTATTTTGTTTTACAAAATGGAACATTGGTTTTTTCTATTCTCCGCGATACAGATGTTGACTTTATCAAAAATAATAATGGAATTTTTTGTCGAATCAGTGCCAAAGTTGACGTTGATCGTACTTCACGTGACAGTAAGAAAATTGTCATTGTAAAGACAACTACAGGTAGTGCTATATTTTCTTTAGGTAATATTATATCTACTTTAACTGGTACTAATTCTCTCTCAGCTAGTACATTGCTATCCCATTCAGGTTATACAATGTTCTTTCATGTTGCACCATATCCCTTATTGATCATACATAAACACCCTTCTATGTCTTTTTCTATCCTCATCAGCTAATTCATTGTTCTCTTAAGGTTATTTAAAAGTACCATAAAGAGGAGATGTTGTCATATTTAAGTATGGCACTCATGATAGTAAAAATACTGATGAAATGGTGGTTTTTTTATAGTTACATCAACACGAAGTAGACCAAACATAATAACAGACATTGAAAGTAAAACTATAGATATAAATACACAGTCTTTAACATTGAAGTGTTTTGCTGTGGGATAGTAAGTATAATATGTTAATATTTGTCAAGCGTCCGCTCGAGGGTTTAAATATTTTTGTTGATTTTAGTCCTCAGCCAACGTTAACTTGGTACAGTATTGATAGCATTGGCAATGCTGAAAGATTAATAACTAATGGAGGAGATTTCAGGCTTGCACGTTACAACCAGCATTTGACTATATCAAATGTGGCAGACGGTAAAGCTGGAAAATATCGATGTAAGGCAGGCAATTCTGAAGGAACAGCTGAGAAAGATGGACTGGTGACTGTTGCAGGTGCTTGGAAACTGTTTTTGGCTTTGAATTGTTTTAAGAAATTCACGATTCTTTTATTTTTTTCATTAATTTTGATAATCTTATGTTTGTAGAAAAACCTCAGTGGATGACAAATGGTCGGTTAAAAGATACAGAACCACCTCTCTACAGCCGTTTGACATGGTCCTGTGGTGCATTTGGTGGAGCAAGATATACTTGGTTCAAAGATGGAGTTGATTTGTCAGGAAAGTTAGTGAAATAAAATATTTATACCGTGTTATAAGAAAAAACTTTCTCAACCATGTTTAGTAATTAGTATCTTTGAATTAAACATTTTGCTTTTTCTGAGTAGGCTGCTTGTAGGTTCGTCCCAAAATCGTCTGACAATCATGAAGTATGCATATATTGACCCAACCCAAACTATCTTTTAATTTCAAAATTTGAATTGTGTGAATCATTGTGCTAGTAATTATTCATTGCTACAAATCACTTTGCTAGCAACCTGCGGCTGATGATGAAACATTAATGCACAAGTTTCTCTCTGCCAATTTTTGCAATCGGCACATCCCAACTAATGGTGCATAATTATGTTTTGAAAAATGATAAATTATCTGTGTTTTTTGTGTCTATTACAGTCTATTACTGAGGACATATTAAAGCTATCATTTTAATTAGATTTATTGGTTGAATGCCAATTTGTGTAGTTGCGTTTTACCAAAACTTAAACTGAAACCAGTTAAAGATGTTTGATTCGCAAAGTAAAGAATGCGATCATTTCAGTTCTATCTTTTATTGTGTATATATAGAACTGGAAGCGGTCGGATAGTCATAGATGATAGAAAAAACGAAGGAATATCTTACCTTACAATTACAAATGTGACAGACCTAGACAATGGAATGTATCAATGCACAGCAGCTAATGAACTGAATATTCTTTACTCCACTGCCCGATTAAAAGTATTTGGTATGTTTTTCATCTCTGAAATTTTGTTCGTTGTATTTTACAAAAATCATACCAGCAAGTAGTTGCGTTAATCTTACGTTAAAATTATCAGTAGGGATTGTTTTTTTGATTTTTTTTTGTTTTGTTTTGCTTTTAGAGAAGAAACCTGAATTTAGACAAGAAATGGGTCCTGTAACTCTAATTGAAAATACCACTGGTATCATTATATGTCCTGTTTTTGGTTCTCCTTTACCGAAAGTCACGTGGAAAAAGAATGACTTGATCGTTTTGAGGGATGGAGTGGGTGTTGTACGACCGGGCGCCGATAAATCCCGCTATACACTGAGTAGTAATCAATTCGATCTGTTGATCTCTAATGTGCGAAAAAGTGATGAAGGTTCATACAGTTGTCGTGCTGTGAATCGTCAAGGTTCTGTTGAAGGATTCAGTGTTGCAAAAGTCGGCAGTAAGTTTTTTTTTCATTCATGTGTGAGCAAAATTGTGTAAAAAAAGTGAGAAGTTCAATATTTTGATTGCGTACTCTTTAATTTGTGATTGCCCTGTTGTAATACAGCATTAATAAGAAACTGTGTTTAATAAATTGATGGTAACATTGTCGTGGAAATTTTGAAAATCTTACCAAGTGAGCATGCATGTAGAGATGGACTTATTTTGTCCCTTTCTATTTCATGATGTAGCTACTGTATCACTTTACCTTCCAAGATTTGCTTATGGCACCCCTTCACTGTCTATGATTGGCTTGCGTTTCACGAGTCCTTATCTCTATCAACCTCCCTTCTGTTGCAGTAAACACTCAATGTACGAGAATGTGACCATTTTTCTTCTTTCATATAGAGGGCATTTCATGGGTAAACGCTCCAGTAAGTAATGACAACGTTACCGTTACTCTCCGTTTTGAACTGGACTGTAAAGCAGAAGGCGACGATAGTTATGAAATCAAGTATCGTTGGTTACGTAATGGTTTACCGCTGCAATATAGCGCCCGTATTCACTGGGTGAAGGAAGCTTTCAGGCTGGTTATACTGGACGCAATAGTAAGTGGTAAACTGGAGTGATATCGCCTATGGCTCCCTTTAATTTTTAAATAAAGTAATTTTACTTTATTGTTTGTAATAACACAACTTGGTTGTATTTGATCCAAACTGAGCTCTCCGATAATTAAAGTGATATTTTGAACGTAGTTTATGAAAGAATCAACCGCCACTTTAACTTTGTTTTACTACGTGTCACGTGAATGTATGTTAATAATTTATCCTCATCAGGTGGATGACACTGGTACCTATACTTGTATTGCATCAGCAGAAACACCGCTGTACATTGAAAGGAGGAAAGATGTTGAGATCATTGTCAAAGGTACTGTACTATATGAATGATTTACACCTCTACTGTGTTCAATATTTATAAGCTTCTGTTTTCTATATTTATACATTAGACATAGTAAGTCGTTGGTAATGCGGAAGCATTATTGCAGTATAGACGATATATGTAGTTATTTCACAAAATAAATTATAACCAAAATTGTATACACGTGTATAAATGTCAATTTTATACTACATGTGATTTCGTTGACAGCACCTGCCAACCCCCCTGACATTGTTAGAGTCGAGGGCAGTTGTTGGGATAGAACTGCTAGTTTAACATGGCGAGTTGGAGCATTAAACAATGAAGA